TGGTGATCGGACTGGAGGCCGTGATAGAATGAGGAATCGGGGATGAACTTTTCCGAAGTATTTTGGTGCAGGTCATCAGGCTGTACGAATGAATGAGATGTACGAATTATTATAACTTTGGGAAAATTAACTTTTTTTCTTTTTTTAATGTGGAATGGGGTGAATTTAGGAAGTGAAATGCTATAAGGCAAGAGTACACGGCGGTTTTTGAGGAGGTAGAACCCTGGATTCTTTCATTTCCGACCTATTATACGGTGTTTTCAGCCGTGCTACTATTGCTATTAAAACAACGAAATCACCTTTCCATCAGTAAACGGGATAATTTTAGATATAATAAAAAACTCGCTGAAGAACACCAAGCTCATCTATCTCATTAAAAAACACTATAAACTATGATTTGTCTTCTTATTTGGTATGTAATATATTCGTTTCTGACTTTATATTTTTTTGGTAGTGGAGGGGGGCGATGAAGTTGTCTAAACTACTTTAGGGGGGCGATGGTCAAAAAAGTTTGGGAACCACTGCTCTATACTATACAATTAATTAGAAGATAAACTTATATTGAAATAAACAATATTGGTAATACAGTCATAAAATTGATCACAATGTTTGCAATCGCAATCTAATTATGTTACAAGAAAACTGAAAAAATTAGAGAAAATTTCACATTATATGTATATATCGTAGCAGGGCAATCATTCAGCAAATAGAATATTAAAAAAAACAGTTTTTAAATCAGCAATATAGTTATAAAAGGTAATTTCTCACAATGTTTGCAATTGTAGTCTAATAATGTTATAGGAAAACAGAAAAATGTCACATTTTATGTATATATATACTATATAAGACAATCAATTAGCAAATAAGAAAAGAAAAACAGTAACATGTAATTTAATAGCAAAAAATCACTCGATCGATTTTTATATGAATAAATGCAATTTTCTTTTGTGTATCAGGATTTTACCATTTTTTTATTGCTATATATTTCTTGTTGTCACGATTAAATTTATAAAAAACATCAAAAATTGGTTTTCGCTTCTGGATCCGGCATCTATATATAAAAAAGCGGGCAGCCAATAATACACAAATGATAAATTGTATTTCTGAAATGTCATCAAATCCCATAAAATATTTTCTTTGATGGAAAGATCAAAATTCAAGTTATCTGTCTTGAAAACAATCCATTGGTCTATCTCAGACCAAAATTTACTAGTTATCTGATCTCACAATAATAAAATAAATGCAAAAGAGTTTCGATATATAATTTACAATATTCACACAAGTTTGTTTCCACTAGCCCAAATCCATATAAAACATTATTTAGTACTATAGCTTTATAAAAAACAGTTTCATTTGAAAAGATCTCAGCTTTGTCTCAATAGTTGATGAATATGTATTTATGAAATATTTATTCCACTGTACAATAGGAATAATAAAAGATTCTTGCCAAAAGGAGTTGTACATGTTTGGGGGGACAAACTGTTTCATTATTATTATTTTATAGGCATTTTTGCATGAATAATTTTCAGTGGTGGTTGAAAGAAATTTACCAAAATCAAAGTCCCAAAATTCGACATAGGATAGCACAATGTCATTCCATGGCCGGCAATCAACTAACTTCCTTAATGTTAAACAAGTTCATAGACGCCATCTTGTGCCATATTTGGAAAACGTGAAATAATGAAGTCTTATGGGAAATTTTCGTCAGGGAGGATAAGATGCCCTCACTTTAAAGTGAATTGTATATAAGTGGAAGAAAATATTGGGCACCACATCAAATGTACCGTCGCCAAGATATTTGTCTAGATATATTTGTCTAGATGTTCAAGTAGTGATCGATCTCCAATAGCAACTATCCGATGACGATCCTCTGGGCCAGTGTCATGCAAACTGATATCTAAACATTCGCTCGGAATATTGAAGCTAGTACTTGTAGGATTCGTTTAAAAACAATTTTTCTGTCGCCTTACTCTTCGTATATCTGCCTCCAGAGTCGACTTGCTTGGCAAGCGCATGAGTACATCTGCTGATCTGTTATTCAATACTTCACCTAAAATATATCTTGTCGATGTATTTGATGGTGTTGATGCTGCTTCTTTTAATGTTGCACGAATGATCCCAACTTCTGTCTTAATGCTGTAGCCAGAATGACTGTGATATCCTAGTTCTTTTATTACATTTTCACCGATTGTAACAACAGTCGATTTACATCGAAATTTCCTAAGCTGACGGCATGTCCAATGAATAGCATCTGAAACCCTATCATTTCGCTTACAATATTCGCGGCCTCTGGAGATCAATAAGTCGTTTTCTCTTGAGGTCTTGGATAATGTAAGCACCATGTTTCCAACTTATTTTCGCAAAAGGACTTGTCATATTCGCAGCGGCAACGTCCTAAAGAAACAGTTCGGAATTGTCAGCGAGGAAAAAAGGGCATTGATGCGAGGAGAAACTTTGCGCGGGACCGAACTAACACGAATGCAAATGCTCATGGATATAGATGTTCATGGGTGCAAATGTCTGTGGGTGTAATTGTACGTGGGTGTAAAAGTACGCGGGTGCGAATGTATGCGGGTTCAAATGTCCGTGGGTGCAAATGTACATGGGTTCAAATGTCCGCGAGTGCAAATGTGCAGGCTGCAAATGTTCGCGGGTTCAAATGTACATGGGTTCAAATGTCCGCGGATGCAAATGTCCATGGGTTCAAATGTCCGCGGGTGCAAATGTCCAGGGTGCAAATGCTCGTGGGTTCAAAGATAATGGAACCATAAATTCGGGATCGAACCCCCTTCCTTCTAATATTTTTGAAAGACTGAAAAAGACGCTTATAACTTGCGAGATTGCATTTTGTTAATATCGCCGATTGTTTTCGTAACGTGTGACATGTTTTTAGGCCGCAAACATCTTTATGTCGGGGTTTATTCTCCCCCAATCACAAATTGTCCTTGGCATACGCGTCTATTGTTCTACGAGGACGACGATAATTACTTTTCAGTACTCGTGCGGAATTGTGAGTTTAGCGTCAACAACAAGTTAGTATATTATATTCATCGGCAACGACATGCTAAAAATATAGAGGTTAATCTGACGCCGAAATTTCTAGATTGAAAAGCGCATTATATAATATGGAAACTAAAATCTAAAACGAAAGATAACACTCACAAAAGATTAAAAACCCACTGTAAATCAAAAACTTTGGTGGTATTTTTCGGTATGTGACGATATATAAGATAAGTATATGGATCAGATTTTTATTGGGAAAAAAGTTAATATAAATCTTCTGTATTTCGTCCAGATCTTAAGATTTTTTAAACGGTGATATCTTAAATAAATTGAGTGAAACCCTGCGAAAGGACGAATTTAGTGTTGCGAGAAGATTTCAAATTTGTCGAATTCGTTTAACCCTGAAATCTATCACATATCCACACAATCAGTTATGATTGATGGGGACGGCCACAAACGACTTCATCAAATTACCGGAATCTTATAAGGGCAGAACGACATTGTTTCTAATATCTTATTATAACAGCGTTGTTCAGAATATACAGTAGTCCACAAGAACTTTGTTTCATTGTTTCTGAATCTGCAGATTGCTGAAGTAATTTTGAGTGTTAATGATTTTATACATATAAGTCGACGCAACCACAGGTTACATTGATTCAGATTCAGATATTTCAGATTCAGACACATTTATACCAGCAAACAAGGGATTTTTAAATATATCCGTATCTGTCAAGGTAATTTGTACATTGCAAATTGTATTGAGATTCTAACGACAACCTTGGGATTTTGTATTGGCTATATCTTGATAAAAATAATCTTGAAAACTGAAAGACTCAAATCTGACAAATCCCAAGATCGGGAAAATACTATTGCAATCTATCTATAGTTGGCAGTTTAATACGTATTTGATGATTTTTCAGAATAGTAATCTTTCATTTTAGCAATTTTAATAGTAAGTACTCGAATAGTTCGCGGAGCCCCTAGGTTTCTGTCACGGAGCCCTAAACTAAAGCCATAAACTAATGTTGCTGAAAACTAATCACGTCACGCAAAATTGCGTACGTTCTCAAGTTGTAGACACATTTTTGCGCAAGTCACAGTACTCCATTATGTCGCAATATGCAGGCGTCATTCAAAAAAATTGAAAACCCGCTACGCCTAAAACATTTAACCATGGAAAATTATTTACTCTTAATGGCATGACAATATCTTTGGGAAGTTTTACTCAAACCCGATAAAAATGACTCACGCACTTTTATTATTAGCCTGACGATATTTTAAAGTAAACAAAGCCACTGAAAATCTTGTTTTACAACAAATGTTTTGTAACAATTATTTCTCAACAAATGCATGGTGTTACCCAGATATATTAATGCATTTATTTTTTCTTAATTTTTGTAGCTTTGGAGATAATAGCCGCTGAACATTTTAAATATAGATATATGTTTTTTTTATTTGTCTCAATTCGAATTTTCTAAATTTCATTACGTGATAGAAAACGCCTGTTCCCAGACTAGAAACAACTCATATGAATATAAAATTGGAGGGAGACACGCTTTTTCTAATTGGAATGTTGTATGTAAATTAGCATAATACGTAGAGGGTTATTTTGGATCGTAAATATACGTATGACGTTAGACGTAAGAAAATGTGCAACAGGCCTACAATGCAGTGTAGATTAATATTGCCACCTGAATAAAATATATGTATATATAATTTTTAATCAGATAGATATGGCAAAATCTTCTAAAATGTTCTAGTTGCACAAAAATGTTGCCACCTGCACACATAACGATAGGCCGTCGAAGCGATGACGATCCTGCTCCAATTACGAGAAAAATAATTTATTTTAAAGAATATAATTGGCTGCCTCCCCACAATATTTTGATATTCGAGTACGTCAATGTTTAATTGAGCACGGTCTTCCATTCTATATAACCAGCGTTTCACGGAAGACTCAACAGTGTTGACGAAACGATAGCAAGTAACGTCTTCAATAGCGAACGGAACAAAATGTTTCAATACACCGAAATGTGGAACGAAATTCAGTACAACTTTACATCGAAAATCTGCGTTAAAACACACTATCGTTTTCTGAAAACATATCGAAATACTTTCACCGGATCATCGGCTACCACCGCCATGCTTGGAGTCTTAAGAGACATGCCGCGGTTTGAAAAAGCAACGACGAAGCAGTCGAAGATGGTTCTCAACAAGCTATTGCAAAATCACATCATAGAAAATGTCAAACCATCTGACAAAGATACAGGATTTTCAAATTCAAAAACGTTATACAGGTAATAGCAAAGCAACATTAAATCTAATAAATGAAACCAAGTCAAATCATTCATTTTATTTTAATATTCATAGTTTGTTTTTTATTCTAGATTCTGTAGTTCGAGTTTCAGTGACCAGGAAGAATTTAGGGAAATATTGAAACAGATTGCACAAAATGTGGGAATGATGATCATTTTTACTTGACGACGTTGAAAAATCTAATTTGCTTACGACCGAATGATAATGACGTAGGTTGCAAACCTATTTGAAAAAGAGCCGTAGGAATGTAGACGTTGAAAATCTCGATTTCAATCCATGTCTTCGGCTTGTATATTTGTGAGGGATATATTCAAAGCTGCAAATCAGCCCGATTGGTTTCCGAAACATTTTAAATTACGAAACGTGACTCTCTACTGCAGTGGTTCTCAACCTTCGGGAGCTTTTCAAGTGGTACGCGAGCAGCTTTGAATTATTGCGACAATCAACTTTTGAGTTGGCTGAAATATGCCGACAACGCTTTATCCTCTATACTATATGTATTCGCCGAACGGCCTTTATGAATGTTTACTCTGGCATCTATTTCCTTGTTTATTCCGTAACCATAACCAATCAGAAAAAAGTCAACAATGGTAATTTCTACAGCCGCTCAGACACTTCTGTCTCTCAGACAGATATTCAAGTATGTTTGTTAAGTATACATTGCCTCGTTTTTGTAGTTTTGTGTGTTATTTGTCAGTTTTCAGTTGTGTTTCGAAAAAATAGCTGTGAATTAAATATCTTAATTGTTATTGACTTCAAAGAAGCATTAATTTAGTTGGTGGAATCAAAAATGAGTCTCGCAAATGCTGCGATGGACAAGGCTAAACTTAGCTATATCAGTAGGCCTACCTGCAAACGGCACATGGTTGAATAATTTAAAAAAAAGGGTTAAAAGTGTTTCAAACACGTAAACCAGCTTATGAGCACCAACAAATCAAAAGACTCTCAAAATAAGTATAAAACTGCAACAGCAAAGTATACGGTAGTAAAAAAATCTGGGGTCAAGGGTCGGAGAAACGTCCTATGGATAAGTCCAGTCTTTAAAGATCGCCCTCGCATGCTATTGTCCATGAACGAATCGAGATGTGCATGTTATGGTCCGTCTTGCGAATTAGGTCACAAAAGATGTAGTATCACATTATAAAATACTCCCATAGCGCATGTCTTGTACCATTGTTCCCCGCGTCAAAAAGGGGATTTTTCGGTGGTACGCGGACAGAGTAAAAAACAGTAAAGTGGTACGCGGTCATAAAAGGTTGAGAACCACTGCTCTACTGGAATACAAAGGAATGTTCGGGGAATGCAAGCAACTCTGGGTTCCTGATTTTTATTCAGCCATTTTGTTTATAACTTTATAAAAAATTATTAAATAATGTTCAAATGTGGATGATGTAAAATTATTTACACTTACCTCAGTGAAGCGCTAGATGGGTACCTATTTACAAGTGCATGGCTTTCGACTCCAACACGCGTGTCAAAAGTATATGGCAAAGTTGTTTATTGTTAAAATCTAACGGTTTAGACCAGTGGTCGACAACCTTTTTTAAGTGACGGACCGGTAAAACCTGACAAAAATTTTGTAATAAATTGTACGAGTTACGTAAAATTTATTTGGCATATTCGAAAACAAAAGTGATGCTGTTCAATCGAGATCTGCATTTGTTTGCAGCCCATTAACTGTTTCCAATTTGAAGACATGGTCGAAAGTGATACACGTAACATGTTGCTTGCGTCCAGCCTATTTCGGGATTTCGTCGTTGACATCACTCAAAAACATCGTTGACATCGTTCAAAGAAGTTTTTAAAAAATTCATTGCCTCATTTGAGAGCTTAGTATGACAAAGGAGGCAAACTGGACAAATTTCGTTGCTGTCACGTACGGTTACAAATCCAACAGTCCCTTTGTTAGCGAAAATCATTTTGTTTATTAAGACATCTATCTTATTTGGACTGATGTGGAACTTTCTCACGCAGAGGTAATATCGATGCAGCATTATTGCGATATATTGACGTGAAAATTATTTGTAAAGTCAGACATCCTGCTCACATGCGTTGTGTTTTTCTACTTTGCTATTGTGTGATGTTTTTTAGTTGTAGGGTTTGTGGTTGGTAGATTGCAGAGGTGTTATTTTGGCCTTGTCCATTTTTGTGTCACCCCTCTGCGGACCGATAGTAACTTTTCCGCGGACAGGCAATGGGCCGCGGCCCGGTGGTTGCCGACCACTGGTTTAGACAATCAGTGAGTATGCAAGAATAGAAATATTTCAAATTTCATGTAGTTCTTATTCAATGATATATCTTTATGATGTATTCAATATACGTAATATCAAGAGTGCAACAGACGAAAAATTCAATAAATAAGTAGCATTCCAGACTGAGCATTTTGAAACTGACTGTTTGTAGTAATAATTTGTGTTCACAGCGTGAACGAATAATGGGTCAGACAAAAGCAAGTAGCCTAACTTTTTGCCCAAAAATACACAAATGGGAAAATGTTTATTCTCAACGTGCGGTTGACCATGGACTTTATGAAAAAAAAGTCAAGATCATTATACATGCTTAATATCCAATTCAATGTTTTGGAGGTTTTGCATATTTTGAGTGTTTTTATTTCCCGTTAGGGCCACGTATTTTGAGATTTATGAATCCGATCCAACTGTTCTACTACAACCAATTAGAATATCAATTCCGATTATGTCAAATACCATTGCAGCGGATTACTTGATTCATACTTTTTACACGAATTTACTACAAGCGTTTAGTAACAATTTAAAGAGGGTAATCCCGTATTATGTCTACCTTGTTAGGGTTAAGCCATAATTTTATTCCGATTTTCCTCATTTTAGTTCTATTAAGAGTTTGGGGACTGTCTGTGTTAGACAAGTGAATATCCTTCTGCCCATAGGTTTCAGTCCCTTTACACAACTTGATTTAAAATAAGCGAACAAAATTAGTTATCTGCATACTTCTGAAGCGCACTGTACATCTTTGTGGGGGGGGGGGGATACCCCAAATCTCCGTGCTAAGTTCCGTACAAATCGAACAGGCGCAAAAATTCTCAGTAAACAGTTTCGTATTGTTGACAGAATTCTCCAAACAACGATTGCCCCAGATGAAATTATGGTATCCTTCGACGTCGTTTCACTTTTCACCAATGTCCCGATAGACCTGGCGCTAAGAGTAATCCGGAAACGTTTAGAAAATGACATCACACTTAAGGAGAGGACTAAACTTTCTATCGACCAAATTTGCGAAGCACTAACAATTTGTTTAAGCGCAGCCAATTTAAGTTTTAGAGGGAACACTATCAACAAATTTTCGGAACAGTCATGGGATCGACTGTTTCGGTTGTGGTAGCCAATATGGTTATGGAGGACGTTGAAGAAAGAGCCTTAACGTCCTTCCCTAATAGCCCCAGAATTTGGGAACGGTATGTTGACGATACCTTCAACCTTATCAAAGAAGAATTCTGCGATGCGTTTCATTACCACCTAAACACGATTGAACCTAGTATACAATTTACTATAGAAAAAGAACTGAATGGGTCTATCGCCTTCTTAGATGTACAGATACATAGAGAGGAATATGGAAAATTAACGACCGATATATTTAGGAAGAGGACACATACAAATCGTTATCTGAATTTTAATTCTAATCACCCGGTAGGACATCAACGTTCCGTTATTAGTAGCCTTATTAATCGCGTCAAATCTCTAATATCCGATGAAAGAAAACAAAAGCTGTAAATAAACTTTATTAAAAAGACCCTAAGACAAAATGGATATCCAAAGAAAATGTTTAGTAATCAGAGCAACCGTCAAGATACGAAAGAAGAACTGAAACCGATCACGTCAACTACCATTCCATATGTTAAAGGACTCAGCGAGAAAATTCGAAGAATTTCAGAAGATGTAAGGATTAAAGTTAGTTTTAAACCCCATAACACAATTGACCAACTACTTTCTAATGTCAAAGACCGCCCGTGCCCTAACAAGAAAAACGGCGTGGTATATGCAATCTCATGCGTTGATTGTTGCTCTATTTACATTGGAGAAACGAAACGAAGTCTAGAAACTAGAAGAAAAGAACATCAGCGTGATGTAAAACAAAAGAAATTTGAAAAATCGGCCCTTTCGAAACATGCCCTTTCTACTAATCACAGCATTGATTGGGATAACAGCAGGATATTGGAACATGAAATTCACTACAGGAAAAGACTATTTCTCGAATCTTATCATATCAACAAAGAGAAAAATTCAATGAACGATAAAGAAACTACATTGTTCCCGCATGTATATAAATCACTGTTTAGATAGTCGCATAATTGTTCGAACTTGCGCTTATTCACTCGGATATATTATCATATTGTCCCTTTTTTTCAGTTTTTCACGCCGTTTAATTTTTACTATCTTTTTTATTTTTCTACTCTATATATATACGATAGTGTACTCTTAATATCATGCCCTGATGAAGTTTTTCTGAATAGAAATTCGAAACGTCGGCAAATTATATCGTTTTGCTATACACGGGTTGTGCTTTATTTATCTTTGACATGAATATACCTGGTGGCAATCATGCGCAATATTTTTGTTAGGTTATTAAGTAAATATTACCAAGTTAAGGCGCAAACCAATGTTACAGTCGCACAATTCGTTACATTTAATTCAGTAATAAAATGGGATAATAACCCCGAAATGAGGGGTGTATTACGTTAGGTTAAGTATTTTCTTAAAGATGTGCCAGAGGACGTCGATAAAGAGTTTTTTCTGAATGCAACCTAGGATTGAATATGCAAATCCAATTTCCACCGAAAATAAGGAAATGAATATTTTGAATAAAAAGCGTTGTCTAAATATATGTACAGGGTCTCCCAATAAAATGTAGACACATATATTGTATGAATGTATACACATTATAAATAACTCTAAACGGGGTGTTTAATTAGAATTTCAATATTTCAGAAGGGTAAAATATTTACAAGTATCATTTTTTTCTTTTTTCACGAACTGTTCTCAAATTGACGCCAATTTTGATAAAGACACTGCTGACAACGCAAAGCAATAGAATCGCACACACATGAACAATCCCCTCGGTATTTGGGTGCATTCGTGATCAATGGTTTCTCTCAATTCAGCAACTGTTGAAGGTTTCACAGCATACACTTGGTCTTCAAAATATCTCCATGAGAAAAAACGTGGCCTGAGGTGAATGGGGAAGATACCTAACATTGCGATGGTAATGTGAATTTGTTGAAGATGAAAATCTTCATCCTTAGACTCTTCTCTAGTGCTTGGTATCACAGTTACACTTTTCGTAGCAAGTTCAAGTTGGTTACACTAGCGCCAAAAAAGAACGATCCAATTGATCTTCTCGATGATAAACCGTACCACTCTGTCGACAGTAATATGTGGATTCTCAGGTTCCCAATAGGTGCAATTATGGCGGTTAATGAAACCAACCATGAAACTTGAATGTGGCCTCGTCACCCCACACAATCTTTGTTGAAAATCTGCATTTTTCTTACATTGTTGTTAATGCCATTTGCAAAACTGTATTCTCCGGTCTGGATCATGTATATATAAAATATAAGGGAAAGTACCATAAATTTTGTCTCGTAATAAATACATCAGGAAAATATATCATTGAATAAGAACTACGAAAAATTTGAAATACTTCTATTCTGATTGTCTAACCAGCGATTCTCAAAGTGGGCATGGCACGCCGGGTCAACATGTTAGAACTGTACTTCAGAGCCACAAGTCGAGTAATAGTGGATTTCATAAAGACCAGTAATTGGATAGTGTGCTACATTGACAGTAGGAAACATCCATTGGGTATTTTTTCAATCTCGAAGAATAAAACAAAGTTATGTTTGAGTCCCGAGTCAGGTCTCTCGTTTAGTTAAGTCAAGTCCTAGTTCGAGTCAACTCGTTTGTATGACTCTAGTCTCTGAAAATGGTGACTCGAGTTGAGTCTATCTTCAACCATAACATATCTGCTTTGCACATGTTATAATCTTTGAGAGTGCCCTCTTGTTTAAATTTGAATCGAATTATTTAAATTGCGTATAGATTAAACTGTAATTCTTTTACCTGCCTACCTGCCTACCTGTAACACAGGCATCTATACTCCTGTACTGTACAAGGCTCATTTATCTGTTTCTCATATTTATTGAATCAAATTAAATGCAAATTGAAGTAGGGACAAATACAACAAGTAATACACGTAAGATCACTCCCTTCTTCCTCTTATAATGAGATATTTATAATAGAAAACAATGCTAATATGAATGGGAAATACGTGGTATATACAACACTCTTTGGTATAACATTTGAGTAAACATGATACTGAAGGCTATTTGTAATAACATAAAGTAAAATTTGTATTTTGACATTTCACAAAAAAATGCCTGCACATTCTGTTTTCGAACAAGATCCATCATATTGAGATATTGCCACAAAATCTTATTATATCAGCTGCCACAGTTCCTCTCATCTTTTTCTCGGGCCGCGATTCCATTTTTAGGTAGAGCTGTTTAGCAGCTGGTGTGACATACATTATTCTTTAACCCTATGTAGGGTTACATTTGGTTGTGAATTATTGGACCCGATGTGGCCAGTACATCGCGGAAGTGGGAAGTTCTGTGGCTCCATCTTGCGGCTGACATGCTGCAATGTTGACAGAAGACATAGAGATGGCTCCTGATATTCCTAGAAGCAAAAAAAGGTTTGTTTTAGATACAACAATCTCATGAATAAATTAAAACCTAATCCAGACCTTCAAGATCTCAAGTCCACGTGATCCTTTCCAAATCGGGTATATATATCGTGACTATAGGCTGTTGGGAGTCAAATCATAATATTTCCGCGTATTGTAGATTTATTGGACACGTTTATTGGACACGTTTGGTGGCCATAACGATCGTTTCAAAATTTTGTTGTTGTTATTTTCTTTCGTCATTATTATCATTAAAAAATCGCTTTTCTATTCGAATACTGGACCAATTGCTTTGGAATTTTCAATGGTTCAAGATTGATTTTTTTTGCCAGAAGGCTATTACTTTCATTTATTCCTGAATTTTATATGAATCTTATAAGATCTAATATTTCATCCAAAATTGCGCTGTATTAATTTTTAATTATGGGAACACGGTTTTTAATCCGCCAAGCGTGACGGCTGACCGTGAAAATTCTTGCGACTGAAAACCCGGAACTTTTTGAGTGTACGGTACCGGTAACGTCAAAGGTAAACCCTGCTTCGCTCTAGTCCACGTGTCCATATATTTGAGCGTTGCTCTCTTGTTTAAAGTCTCATGAAAACCAAAACAGCTATTCCTAATGCCATAAATATTTTCTATTTTCTGTCAGATAAGTTATATCAGCTTTGTAAATATACTCATTTCAATCTCAAAAACTACGAACCTCCATGATGTCCGGTCGAAGATGACGTCGCATTTGTGCAACCAGTTGGTTGGAACGAGTAGTAAGGGTTTTGATGTGCGTCGTTTTGCTGACCACTGACATCATTGATGCGATCTGGACTAACAGAACAATCTGACAGTTTTGATTCCAAATGTGTTAGTCTTGGGGCATCATAACCAACAAGACCCGATGTTGCCGGGTATCCAATCTCTGCATGGTGCTGGTGATTCATTTGGTGTATGTCGTGCATTCCAGAATATGGATATGAAAGTGCATCGGTGCGATAGTGCTCTGAAAATTGAAAAAAAAAAAAAAATTTAGGTTTTCTTAGAAACATGAAAAGGCGTTATGTGAAATGACTTATTATATTGTGATCTCCAGATGCAGTTATTGTTATGCTAAAATATCCATTTCAACCAATTTAACTTGGTGGTGAATTTGAAGTCAACCTATTACATTTAAATGACCATGATTTGAATATTAATAAGTAACAACAAAAAATTATTATTGTTATGTTTTTATGTGATAAAATATTTCATGTTATTTACAATTTACATACCTGGTACCATCCCAATTTGAACACTAGCTGCGTAAGCAGGCATCCCATTGTAAGCTTCGGTCATAGAGCTCAAGGTAGTTGAAGCTGTAAAATTGGATTAAGTGGATACAGTAAAACTTAATTGTTAATCTAAATATGTGGATTTTGATATGTGGATTGGAAACAGATTTTGGTATTTCTTTCAACATATTTGGAGCTGCTTGAGTCGCCTTGTGTTTAAATTCCTGTTATTCGATTCGGTAAGCCATAAAGCAAAGAACAAATTATAAGAGCACAATACTGCCGTAAACGTATATTCACCGATATCTCAAACAAAACAGAAAAATGTAGGGTGAAACACTGAAAACAAGTAGCTCGAAACAAGGGAATAAATTTTTATGAAATACTATCATCATCAATATCTATTCAGCAAAGCTATTTCTAGAGCCCGAGTGCTGTCCTTTCCCCAATATTGGAACTATACTTTTGTTATAGTTATTGGAGTAAGGAAATTTCTAACGTGACATATATATTGTCTTTACCTGGAGAATGTTGTGAAATCGGATGGTATGGTTGTGTTGGGCCGTACACGGATGCTATCGACATTCCATTTGAACTATTGATACTGCTCATCGATCCGTTGCTTAGACTTCCGCCACTTCCGGCGCTGTTGCGCTGACTTCGGATTTTCTCCTCTCGGCGCCATTTTGCTCGTCTGTTTGAAAACCAGACCTGGATTCTTGCCTCGGGGAGATCGATTTTGCTTGCTAGTCTTTCTCTTGCAAAGACATCGGGATAATGAGTGCGTTCAAATTCTAAAATAATTTTTTTTTAAATTTGATAATGCCGTATCTCAACTATAAATATATATGTATTTTGAAATTGTGGTTTCGAAATAGTTTTAGAGATGATGGCTCCTTTCTATCACACCGGACCGATTCCCGTGATTTAATAGGTTATAACTATAAGTGTGAACACCTTTGTTGATAAAAGCGGTTAAAAAGTGCGTTTTTGGTTATTTATTTCTATTACAAGAAAAAAATATATATATATATTGTAGGATGCCGATGCTCGGAAAATTTATATATATATATATACCTTTTTCGAGTGAATCGACTTGATCTTGGGTAAACGATGTTCGATTTCTTTGTAATTTTCTTTTTAATTGTAGACGAGCTTGTGTTTCCTCCGTGGTTTCTCTGCGTGAGTTATCATTTCCTTGCTCACCTAGAAACCAGAAAATATATTTGATGAAAAATTCAAATTTCCAAACTTAAGCTTCAATTTTGCACGAACAACTTTCCATTATATCTCTATACTAACGGTAGTATTTTGGATGTTTTGCATTCGAAAGCAGGCCTATATATAGTGTCATATAACAAGACTACATCACTAAGATAGCTCTGGAAGAATCTACTGCATTAGCTATCTATGATACACATTATTCAAAGATGTTATTACAGAATACGATTTCTGTTTTTTTTATGCTGGATAAGCCAAATTATTTAGACTAATGAGAGGATTTAAAAAAAAATAAAGTCAATGTATATAGTCGAAAAATAATAGCAGAATCTACCAATAAAATATAGTTGCATCGTTGCATTATATTCTATATTATTTTATTAACCTACGTGTCCCTATATCATGTATCAGGTCTAGAAACAGTTATTCAGTTAGGATTACCATTTACCCACGCTCAAAACATAATAAATCAGTTACTAATTATTTCAATGGGACACACAGTACAATTTGTAGGGCACAAATAAGACTTTAAACCGTACTAGAATAGATTAGAATACAAACTTTCGGGGGAGTGTATAACATATTATTATTGGATTTACACTAAGTCGACCACTGCAATCCCTTTCATAATGTTGATTCATGTCCATACCTAACCAATAACATAAAGTCATCATGTAATCATCTAACAAGACGACAAATAGCGACTTTACTACAAAAGAAGTAGTGATATTACCAAACTCGTCTCTGTTATTCGACGTTTTTATATCCTTTTTAATCTATTCGACAATGTGTAAATATTGCGCCGCAACTAAATTATCATTTGATCTACTAATGGCACAAGTATGACCAAATCATAAGTAGCATTACCATTAAATATTGGTTTTTCAAATTGTACCCTTTACTCTATTAAATCACGACTTAGCTACGGAAATCTCATACCAATGACGTGGGTGTTTTGATCAAGGAGATCTTGCCTCCACCTGGAGGTATTGTTCTGTTTACCAAACAAAGGGATCAAGTTAAGATAGTATAATGAATTGAACTCACACATCGATGTAAAAGTGCTAAACTGGGATAAAACAAAATTCTCGATTTTGCTAAATCGTGTAAACTCATCTAATCTCCTTCTGTCGAGTATCATTGTACAAAATCTTCGATAATAATCAGACCAAAAACCTCTTCACGTAGATTGCAACCGTATCCAGAGGTACAAACGACATGTGATTCGTGTTGGGCCAATTGTTAACTTTAGACACCTGCCAGTACGCTATACCTACAGCTAATATATCGAAAAACACTCATCATGAAATACTCACCCGGAAAAATGTAAAAACTTGGATTTTAAGTGCATCTTACAAAATTTAATTGAAAAGATCATAAGAATTTAATAGAGCATGTTTGAGTTGAACTATATCTTGAAGTTGTACCAAGTATTTATGGCATTGAATGATTTTTAGAGAGTTAATAATCCTACAAAGTAAATAATCTTAAATTGAATATTAATTCAAGTAACTAGTATTTTGAACTGTGGCAATGAAACCAACAATAAAGTAGATGAGCTGTTGGATATTCACAAAAAATAACCGCCTTCAGTATGATATCTTGTCTCGTAGAGCATTCTAAGGAATTAAGACTAGGCCATAGTCCAAAACAAATAGCACAGCAGGAGGCTCCGCAATTATTCAAGCCTGTCATAATTCTGACCAAGAATTTGCTTGGTACGATATGACAAGCACTAGAACGGAGAGAAATGCTGGCTTCTTGTGTTCAATAACAAAGGAAAACGGAAGGATTAAGGGAATTTGAATTTAAAGATTATCTCAAGTATACGCCATTAAAATTTTCCGAATATTGTTCCATGTGTGAATAATTTTTTTCATCTATTCTCTTAGGCTACAGTCTGAAAAAGGCAAATATATATCTCAAATTTATAGTGATTTTATTTAGCTAAATTTCGATTTATTACGTTATTGAGAAAATTTGAATTTCATAACATGTAACTTTGTTTTTAATAAAAACCTTAGAAAATTAGTTCTTTTTAACAAATATATACAAAAATGGTCAGGTAATAATTGCAGAACGCACATATTTATTATCTGTTTTGAATCAAATCGTCGATCAGAAATTCATACATTACTTATTAGATTGTAAAATCAACAGTTGATGAAAACGCATATATATTGTAACACATATATAAACTTTCTTTAGTGATTAATTTCACTATGGATAATAAGACCTACTTAACCTGACCAATACTCCCACAAGACGTTACTAAAAATAGTTTTCAAAAATTAATCGGGAATAATAAAAGGAAGAATTCACCAATTGCTTTAGCTTTTCGTATTTTTCGTCACGTCTATCTTTATGCTAACATACACTGCAGTTATACAAGGGTAATTTTAGCGAAATATATATAAATAACTTAGTTCTGGGAGAACGCAGAATTTTCAAACTTTACTATATTTGACGTTATGTAAAAGAATTTGTTATTCAAGAAAATGTTGTAACGAAAATTCACCACGATTACAAGCTAATTTTACACGAATGCACAAATTTTTGACACACACACACAAGATCATAAATTTCCCATCTGCAAGTCGTAAACCTTAAAAATTATCAAGGCCTGTACATATACATATGTCTTCTAATCTATAAATATATTATTGAATCATAAACATAAGGTGAAAGATCAAACATAAATGCATCGCATAAAATTCCCAGAGTTCAGAGTTCAGTAACTAAGTTTAAGGAACCTCGCCATGACCCGCGAGCCAGTCTTTTATGGCAGGTCGTCTTGACAATGTCATCACGGCCGGAATTCATCGCGATGCAAATTGAAAATATCGTGGGTGAAAAACGGCGCAAATTTTAAGCAAGACAGCTCGATCATTGAACAATATTAATATTATTTCAAGCCGAGATGTTGCGACGACGCCAAGGAAATAACGATTTCCGTTAAATACGTCTTTTGTGGCGTTAATGGCGGTAGCTTGCGATTGAAATTATGTTTCACATAACGTATAATGCGCTTTAATTGTCGTGGTTGACATTTCCCAAAAAACATTCTTTTCCATTTTAAAATGCGAAAAAATGTTAGCAGTATTTTTGCCAAAAATTTAACATTTGTACAAAATATAAATACTCAAATGTCTGTCGAAAAAATGGAAAAAATATTTTAAATGTGCTTTCTCTTTTATTTTTACTGTAAAATATTGCAGATCATTTTAAGATTATCATCAGTCAAAAATTGTTATAATCAATTGAAAATAAAGATTTAAAGAGGTTCAAAAACTTATCGTAAGTTCCAGAAGTATATTGTAGCTAAGTTGACTAATAATAGATATATATATAATATATTGCATTTTTACAATTTAAACTTGTAAAAGTGGTTTTTAATTTCCGATAGTTATCTGTAGACAAATTTTCACTCTCGCGAGTCACAAGTATCGTGCCCATGATACGTTATCGATTGCTTGAATAGTCGGGATATCATTCAATACCAAAAATGCCTGAAAACCAAATAACGATTTTTATTTTCATTCACAAAGTTTTTGTTTTGGATCATCCGCTTATGCATATGACATATATTATATAAATATAAATTATTTTACTTTTAAATTTAAATACAAAAATAGCGTATTTTAAAAATAAATGAACCTTCTCACAAATGTGTTTTGAAATGGGAGGATATTAAAAGTAGACAGTTTTTCCAGAGTGCTTGCTGTAAGATTACTGGCCGTGAATCAATTTCTATATGCCATTGCATATTGCATGCTATTATACTGTGATCAGACAGTATAAAAGAAGACTATCTCCATGTGCTTGTGCCTGCATTTAAGTATAATGTATAGTAATATTTACACCCGTTCTATTGTAGTAAACTCAAAGTAACGCACAGCTGGTTATTTTACGTGATGAGTTCCGATTGTTCCGGATTATCGAGCAAACAAATTTGCCACAAAAATTGATACCCAACTTACTCTATATATAGGGTGACCCCCAAAAACGGAATCCAGTTCATTTTTGAACATATTGTATGGTTTCCATTAATTGGGGTCACCCCTGATGGAAGTACACTAAGCTACAATTAAACATATTAGTGAAAATTTATGTAATAAATGCATATTCATGTAATAAATGCCTAATTTTTGAGCTTAGTCAATGTGAAAGATTACTAAATTCGGCTATGGCGCCCGGAAATTGATTTATATTGTTTTTCTGCAAATGGCCAAACGTAAACCACCAAAGTGATTTATTAATTTTGCAAACAGACTGAATATACAATATTCGCCTAAAAACACCAGGTATATACTAATAAATATTTTCATATATAGTGAATGACTTTTAATGGAAAATTCCGTTGTTCAAAGAATTCAGTAGCTATTTTTGAGATAGAACTACGGATAATGCCAAATCTTTTGTATATATGTTAATAAATAGTTTTTTTTGTCAAATCTTTTTTGTACCACTACTTTTAGTATTTTTCAATTTGAATTCCATTGACAAACGATGTCAAACGATACCTTGGCATTTTCAAACTGGCTATTGAAAAAACTAAATTTTCATTTTATTTATTTTAATAAATATTCTTATGCAGGACGCAGGGGATGTCATGTCAACCGTTTTTTATTTTCGGCGACTGCGGTAGCCAACGAAGGCGTTAAGGACACCGCGCCAATTAGAGAAGTCAATAATCGAGGGGTAACTCTCTGGGGATGCTCTCTCGACAAAGTACGTCGGTGATTCAACAAGAAGATTATTATGCATTTTTTGTCTCTGAGATATTCTAATGAGGGAATTGTGATTTTTTGCTAACTATGAAATATTGTCATAAAGTTCATCTGAATTCACAAGTAATGTTTTGCTGAGTATTCTAAACCATCAGCATAGTTTTCGTTTTTAAATATTGATATCCGCGACAGCACCAATCAATAGACAACAGCAAATGACTTTATTGATTTTTCACCATTTGAAAAAAATTTGGTCAAACTAAATGAAAAGAGTATTTTATACGTCATGAAAACCTCACACCCCCTTTTTTCTAAAATTATATTCTAGTTTTGCAGTCAAAACACAATTATTTCATATAACGACTATGATGTCAGTTGCTGACAAATTCCGAATTATTCTCTTTGCCTTGAAATGCGTTCTCATCAGATTGAAAAGCATTGACCAATTGCCTCGAAATTTCCAGTGGTTAAAGATTATTGTTGTCGCTAGTTTTAATATTATTCATTTTTATATAAATGAAATTCTTTTATATAAATAAATAATTTTCATTCTGAATTTAAATTGAATCCCTACATTCCCAAAACTATTACAATAAAAACAAAACAGCAAAATTAAATTTTAACTCGACTTATTTATAACAAGCCACTCTCAGTTTTACACTATAATATTGGACAAAAAAAATCCAATACGACAAATCTCATTGAATAAAAAACATATGTACGGTCACGGAAATTATAATAACATCGATATGATATCGATAAAATTATGATTACTCTTAAAATAAATAATCTTCTTCCGTGTAATGTATTTAGTAAAATGATATCGGATTTTTTTTCCAATAGTCAATATGTATTAACAATCAGTTGATACTATCTCTAATCGGGTCGTATATTAAAAAGATATTGTAAGGAGAATTATTGCGTATATAGAAATTGTTTCATTCGTAAATGTTATTTTTCAACTTTCCGATTTTGTGGTAATGTCGAAATATCATGTGATTCATGATCTTCGAGAAGTCAATATAAATCTATGAGATATTCTGGACTTGACATTGTTTTTAGTGTATTTTTATTAAATGTTTTAATTCATTTACTTATGTATGTATGCAATTGTATTTCTGCGTTTCATGCTTAATTTTATCGTATTTTGAAAACTAAAATCAATCAAAATTTTGTAACATGGTCTCATCAATTTCAAATTTGAGCCAATAAATGTACCCAGTAAAATAAGCCTATAATCTGAATTGTTACAATCTATGCGTTTCCATTTGTTTTTATCTTCCACTATTTAACCAAGGCAAAATTATACAAAGAATTGTTCCACGTAGATATTTAGTGGTCGATTGTGTTTATTCTTTCCGATTAACAACAAAACAATCTTAGAGCTTTCGGCTCTTTTTGTGACATAACAATGATTTTGTAATTTTTTAAATTATTGTACGGACTGCCTGATGACGCACAATACATATGTAAAAAAGCAAATCTGCGAAGCGCAATATTCCAGATTTAAAGTAAAGAAAATAATCTTAAATGTCACGGTTCAACTAATGAACATGATGGAGTTTTTCTTTCTCTCTTATTAGGTGATAATTTTCTTTTGATTTCAACAGTTTTCGCGCCTTGATAGAATTTCCCGCATGTTTTTAAGCAGTTTAAATCCCAGTAACCAGTCCCTGTGTATGTCGACGAAAATTCTATTTCTTTTACGCTGCTCTAATCCGTATTATTTCCGCCTGCCTACGTCCGAGGACTCGGTGATAAAATGCTACCAACAGAGCATAAATTAGCGAAATTTGCACGTTGTCCTGTCTTTCTAAGACTTCAATTGAAAAAACAGTAATTTTCAAAATGGCGCTGCCCACGAGAGGCGCTAGTAATAATCAAATTATAATTGAAATGTTCGTCAGTTATTTAATCGATCAGCAGAATATGAACCTATTCGATATTAAAGTAAAAATGTAACATAATGACATTTATAATAGTTTTAATCATGAAACTTCCGTTTGTTGGTTTTACTTTTCTTACGTTTCTAAAAGCTGATATTCTACGTGAAGCAAAAAACAGCTGAATTACACGTTTCTAAACAAATTGCTCTCCGACCATTTTATTGCCACCCGTAGTGTATGGCTGTGCCCATACATTGTCGAACCGGACGCTTCACTCCACGGCACATTATATTTCACACCAACATCATGGTCTCTAGCCGTTTCAAAACGTCAAAATCCGGCGTAGCAGATCGTCCGTGACCGACCAACATTAATTTGATAGGAAGATTATCACACCACCGCAAAGAGGGCATTGAACCCAAACCCGTCAATCATATATATATAGTCTTATATAGTTCGCTTGCATCTCCATGGCAAGATTTTTATCGTTTATAACATTATACTACATTTCCTGGTCCAACATGTTATATAAAATTGAATTAGGATTGAAATTTTCAACGTTTCAAAGTGTTTTCAGAAGAGAAAAAGGAGGCCAATTTCTATATTGAATAGTATCGCTGTATTAGTTTATGGCAAAGGGCTCGCAATACCGCAAAATAACTTAATATTGTGTCTACTTTTCATGTCAAATATCTGGTGAAATAGTCCTATTTTACCTTGATATATCGCAATTGTCCCGTTTGAAGTAATCTGTTCTTTTGCATAAGATCCGTTAGAATGCCAACTGTTTCGAGGACCACCGGCACCATTTTCAGGGCTGTAAGTTACAATTCCACTAGAAAATTTATCACTGGTCAAGTTTCTGAGAACTCGATTGATTGAAGAGACCTGTTGTGAATATATAAACATATAATATATTACATACCATATGCTTTGTGTTTTTCATAAGAGACTCCCCACTTTAGGTTTGAAAAAGTTCTTGGTAAGTCCAGGTTCGCTACTATATCTCTTGAATGGACAATTGAAAATTGTATTCTTATTTTTGTCAATTTTGGGTAAGGAGGTGGGAAAGAATTTTTCAATCAATTCTTATGTTTAATATAAGCCTGTGACTTAATCGTAAAAGAGTAAGATCCATACATGTCCAAGCTGTTAATAACTATTCTTGGCTCCACAAATCATTATAATTTGATGAAAAAAAAAACTTACGCTGGGTATATTTTCTGCATTACAGATTCCTTCATTTAACAACCGATCCCTGATTTCCCAAGCAAAAATACTAGGGCATTCTCTCTTGTATAAAGCAATACGGGCAACTACTTCCGGGGTCGCGACCCGAGGTTTGCTTCCGCCAATCGCGCGTGGTCGAATCGTTCCTGTTTCGTAATACCTGATTCAAAATAGTACGGAAAATATATTACATTTGTTTAACAGTATGAAGAGTACAATTTTTCTTTTCTGATTTCCAAGTCACCTATATATAAAATATAATTATTGACAGCCGGGCTAATAAAAGGTAGGAATGACAAACCACTGACCAGCGGGCCACAAAGTGGTCCACCGCATTTTTGTGACCGGTCAGGTCACGAATTAATGCAAAAAACACCGATATTTCAGTGATTGAGAGTGGCGATAAAACCGGTCTTAATTCAACCTAACAATAATCGAACTACGTCTCAAGAACTATTCATATAGTTGGTAAATCTTTGATAAAATGTAAAAAAAAATACTTAATTTTTACCTGGCCAATATCTTGCTAACACATCCGTTGGAAACTTGCAATATTCTAGAAATATCACAGGGACGTGCACCGTTGTGTGCTAATTCGACAATCTTTTGTCTTGTGCTATCCGGAAGTGGTCTTCCGTTTACGAACATCCCGCCGAGTTGATTAACACCGCTGTGACCAGTGACGTCACAAGGATCTGAAACACAAAAATAAATTATGAGATGTAGCAGAAATCTACAAGTAGGAATATCTATTTGTATAGCGATTTGTTTGTATGAACAAAGGCGACAAATAATCTCACTTTTCGAAGATTCAACTAGAATTCACAAGCCAGAAACCCAACATAAACCCAACCCAACATGAAGTAAGCATAACAGCAGAAATAATCCATCAATTAAATAGTGCATATCACCCTCATCCCCGTGTGCTGGAAAACGTTGGACTTGGAGTAGATTTTATTTTCAACGGCATTCTACATTGGACACAAAACGCCTTGCCGGTAACTCTTATAGCCAGAGCACAAAGTGTATCTCTAGATGGTACCAGAACGAAATTTGACGATTCCAAATTATATTTCTGTTTTGTTTTCTTAACAAACAACTGAAATAGTCAAATTTTAATTCGAAGACTTCAACCCAAAAGGGCGAAACATGAAAAAATTATTCTGAGAAAATGAAGAAAACATATATTTTTAAAACTTCTCGAACTTTTTATTGAAATAGTTTGGTGAATATGGCTTCAAACTTTGATTAAAGAACCAGCTTAAAAAAGCATCTATTTTTTTGTAGTGTTTCAAATCAAATTTCCTGAATGTTAACATTCGCCCCTTTGTCTTGAAACCACTCATGTTTGAGGAAATAATTTTCGTAGCAGGATTAAGATCTGTGACCTCGTGAACGTCGTTATTATCGTTTTTATTTTATCCCTATCCTTTTTCTCCTCAGCATTATGCCGGGATAATTAGAGCTAATATCTTTTACTATCGGTGAGATTAATCCCTAAAAAATCAATTTTGTTTTTTAGATACAGAAAGTCACGACACAATCGGAGACATTATTTGTCACTGCGATCAGATACATAATTCGGAAAGGTAATCAATATTAACGGTGACGGTTGAAATCCGAAATCCAAAAACCGACAGTTAAAACAAAATAATATTATAGCGACAAGAGTGCACTCGATGCATATATTACTGATTATTCATTTTAACAAAAATATTAGAAATTTAAAATAATTTAATTTCTGATGTTATGTTACATTATTTTATTTGGTATGAAAAATTCATCTTCCTGCTGCAATACCACAGTCACAAAATTTGCTTGTTAGTGAAATTTACTTATGAGATTTGAATGTTAACAAATTTTTATCGGTAATTCAACATTTAAATCTCAAATGTTAGTTTACCCCATATCCATTTTTCATTCATAAACTTCCCGAGTATTTGCGTTAAAAGCGTTAATTCCTTTCGATTGTTACGTCGAGACGCTGCCGTGTAGGAATTTTTGTAATCTAAGTAATAATTCGTTTTTATTCTTTCTAGTCTCTTGAGACCCAGTCTTAAAAGCAATGTAGCGATAATTTTGTCGATACCGCGGTTGCTTTAGCCAACTCGGTTTCTCTTATCAAACATATATCTGTCATGTTTTAATTCATCGGTTTGTCGCTCGTTTTATTCATAATAAATTTGCCGGGAAATGCCAAAAAGTTTTCGAAATAGTCCACGAAAATAGACACAATCTTTGAAGAATATTACTATAAAGTATAAAATAAAAGGAATGAGCGAACTTCCCTGTCGTACACGCCCATTTTATACACAACGTGAATGATCATTATTAAATGACCTTATTGGTTTATGTCAAAATGAAGCTTGCATTGTTTCAGAAGCTGAATGTACTGCTTGCTTACCCATACTATTTTTTAAATGCTAAATTGTAAATATTTAATTCCATTAATCAGCTTTGCGATTGCGATCAAATATAATATGAAAATTAAAAGAAATTAAACCAATTTTTTTTTAAAAACAAGTTGGATAAAAGTAGGGTTAGCTATTATTACAAAACCATCTTTAAAAATAAAATCAACCTTTCATAAATAATAACACGCGAGTTCCCACAATTATTAGGATAAAACATTTAATCATTCCGTAAACTAGTAAGCTTATTATATTTATGAACGACCCGAAAAGACATTTTTAACATCGTTACTTCGCGCCCAACTATGATCGAACATAACTTCTCGGTTTGGTGATATATATAGTATAATAGGATTTAATTTTTTTAGATGACTGTCGAACAATTCCATTTGAAATATAGATTACAAAGCAGGGTGCTGGTAAATTAGGATAATCTCAAGGTGTCTAAGGGGTTAATCTGCAACCCACAGGTTAATAGCTGATTAATAATATAGAATATTATATTCCAAGATCTTTGAAATGATTTGATAGTTTTTCTTTCAGCTATAAGACAAAGACTACTAAGATTCCCCACACGTCTGAAAAGCGTGCGCTACAATCTTTGTTATAACCGAAATAGAGAATGATAATAACCGAAACGCTCCTATTGTGTAAAAAAAATAAATCTTTTTTTTCCCCTAAAATTTTAATAAATGTTGACTGGTTTTCACGTATGACTCCAGATTTAGTTGATAGGGGGCACACTTGTGGGGGTAATCATGGCCCGGACGAAAAATTGCATAGCTAGACTCGGCATATACCCAAAAGTTATTTAATTAAAATCTCAGAAGTAGACTCAAAATTTAAAATAACTCAACTATTCAAATAGCAATAATAATTTTTGACAAAGTTTTCCACCTAATAAATAAAAACAATTTTTTTTCAAAAGATAATTCTTTGTTTAATCGACACCTGTGAATGCAAGACCACCTTTGCTTTAATCTAGTTCGTAATTTATTAGGCCATTTGTAAAATCACATATACAAAAATATCGACTTATATCTTCAACTCGTGCCTGATAATTAACAATTTGTCGTCTCGTCGTTAAGCGAGGTAAAATTGAAAATTGATTTGCCTAAATAGACTTAGGCTACTGGTCAATAACAAGTATTTTCTCTAAGAAGCATTGCGAGTAACCTTTCATTATAAGAATTTTTTATTTAGAATCGATTGGGAAGCATCATAACGGCCTTCATATAAACAGATTGGGATTTACACATTCATATTTCCAAAAAGGCATTACCGGGATATTTTAACAAAATAGAAAATATTTGTGAATAAAGCAAAATTGCAAAAAAGACACAGTTGAGATTATTTCAAATGTAACTTGATTTGGATTATTAATTTCACCTATGTCCACCTAACTCGAAATTTATTAATACGTTTTATCTATAATTCCAAACTTAACTTGGGATAACTAGACAAAATCTTAAGGATTTGAATTCTTAGATTTATTGTTGTGGGATGTCGTAAACAAGGTATTTTGAGTAGTGCAATTAAGGCCAAAAACTATATCTTAGTCCATAAAACAATAAAGTAATCATACATACTGAGTATCATTATACGTTAAGTTTTTCTTAGCTGCCAAAATCCCTGACCGTAAACAATAGTTTTATTTGCGGCGCACTGCGGGATACCTCGTAATTTATCCTTCCATGAGAAATTGTACTGCAGTTTTTTTAACGTAACCCATAACTATTTCTGATAATTTTGTAGAGAAACCTAGATTGAAAATGACTATAAAATATGGAGAATTTCTTAGAAAAATTATCCACGAGGATTAAAATCGAATAGCTTTTAATTTTTTTTGTATTATGAGTGTACTAAATTTCTATGTTGATGAAACAATAATTCCAAATTCACGACAATCATTCAAAATCAGAAAACAATTCTGATCTGAGCAAAATATGGGTGTTATCGACGAAATATACCTATATTGTCTTAAAAATCGCCCCTAAAATGTAATTTATCACAAAATGGTCAGCGACAATCAATTTTACATAAAACATGTTTATTTTGAAATTGTCTGTGAGAAGTATGTAATAAAATCAAATATTGTTCTCATTGATAAGCGATTTCTGGGACATCTATCATGATCCGGTTTGTTATATTTGTTTGTTTTTCGCGATTTCAAACGACAAAACATATTTCGTTGAGTGGTTTCTATAAGATGACATATTTTTACATAACGTTTGGATATATTGAGCAGCTGTGGGTTATTTTAGAGTTTTAATTCATTCAATGTTATGTGAATATTGCTGCGTTTTCTGGTTTTGTTGAAAAAAAATTGGTGATAGATCAAACGTTGTGAAACACTCAAAAACAATAATAATAAAACGCGATTTTTCATGGGTTGTACTCGATATTGGTATTTTTAACTAGCGTGAATTTGAATTTATTCTTCCAGTTTTAATCAAAGTTTCGAAAACATCGTTTACAATTTGATTGGTATTTATCAACCAAAAAATGTTGCATGACAATATATATGAATATGTATGAAAACGGAAGTTAGCTATTTTTACCTGATATATTTGCCACAATCGCAAGTTACTTCATTGGTGATAGCTTACTAGAATTACCGCTTGTTTTCATTAATTTTCCCATTTTCGGTTTCCATAAATAGCATTTTATCACATTGTATATACAACAATATTGCGGTTAAATGGAAATCAAAATCAAACGTTTTAGCGCCAGTTATCAGTGTACCAAAGATTGGTTATTGTTTCAACATACTCATATATATTTTCTATATCTAACACCCCATATTGTCAACCACTAACGCAAGACGTATGTCTTTATGATAACGTAATTGATTTTTTTTACAAATAAAGATTAGACGATAGCAATGATGTATCCCTAAACACCATAACACATATAAAATACATGCCTTATCAAATAGACAGTCTATGATCGCGTATTTGTTTACCTGTATGTGATAAACCATCACCTCCGAGACACAATGCTACTGCTGATGAATATGGTGCTTGATAAGACGGCATATGAGCTGACATCATCGGTCCTTGGTGACAAAGTTGGTGGGTGGCCATCTCTATACAAAAGGCTGACCAAAGAACGTTGTTTTTCCGAATTTGATATTCAGTCGATTGTCGATGGTCAGAAGCAAATGAAATTTAGGTTTACCCGACTTTTTGTTTTGAAACTAGGATAATACAAAAGAATAAATTGACCTAAAAAGATTTCTTAGTAAAAGTAAAAATATAAAAACTGGCACAAGCAAGGCAAAACATGGTGGCATCTGTCGATTTTAAAACTTATCATGCACTTATTATCCACCCATGGATTATAATATATCGTAAAAATATAAACTTTTAAGACGTATACACTAATTGTACTCTTACAAAATACTCCTTGTTTTCCCATATTCTGTGCTATAAATGAAATTGTTTAAAAGTTCGCATCAGGTTTTGCGTTTCTGCGTTTCTCACTACCTTTTTCGTTTCACGATTTTGAGACAAAATGGCGGATTCTATCATCCGTTTTGCTCTCCTCGATGTCAAAGTCAAACTTTATTTTCTTGACTTCATTTTGTTTTGAGGTAAAATGCGAAATACAATGTAATTTCATGATATGCCTCGATGGTCAATAGGACCCTAATAGAATATAGCCAATAAAATCATTTTAACCAAATCGGAACTAAGTAATCGAAAGATTATGTTTGTTTTTTCTACCTATTTATTCTTTCTATAAACAGTTATTCCTCTTTTTATTGACTTATGTCGTAGCCTTAACATTACTCGATGTACAATTTACAGTTTTTTACAGTACAATTTCAGTAAACTATCATGCACAAATTAATATACAGAATATTGCGCAAATCAAACGATTGTTCGATAAAGTTAACACGTAAAATACAAACAAAGCAAATATATGCACCAAAATACAATGTTTCTGAAATAAAGCTACTTGCTCTCGAAGTAAAAAAATACTGCGAGCCATGATTTAAGCGTATTATTCAAACAACAATTCTCAAACAACAAAACTGATTGAGTCAATGTGTCAAAATTTTGTCCTTCTCGTTAGATGCAAATCCTATTTTTATACATTTTGAAGATACAGCCAGTACAAAATGAACCAAATTTTTTCTATTTTGTGACTATATTTAACTCAGTTGTACATACTAAGAACTAACCACAGATAGCATCCTAATAAAGAATAGCACTACACTCATTCTGTCTCTAGTAGCGGGTTAGCTAAATTACTAAATTTAAGAATGACTTTAGCTCAATACCTTTGACGTAGAGTAAAAGCCTTCTTTCAATTATATTACAATCCTCTTTGGATGTAGCGCAGTGTAGTAAACCAAGACCAAAAGAGAATAATCTTCTCTCTCAATACATAACAATAAAAGGGGATTATATTTGGATTTAAAAGAAAAAAATGAAAGAGACCATCAAACGATTTTTTCTTTTATCATAAACAATAACTGATAATTCAACATACACGAAAATCAAAGCCAGTTGTATGACTTCTTTTGTAATATTAAAATTGTCTTTAGAATTCTATTTCACAGCAAAGTCAAATGCAAAATATGTTAAATAATTTTTATTTTCACATCATCCCATAGAGCTAATATTACAAATATTGTTTGAAATGTGGATTGATAAATACTACAGTACTTTAAACAATATTCTGTTTGTTTTTATTAACCCGAACAAGCTCTGATAGAAAATCAAAATCATTACTGAGTGCAAAATTTTTGATGACGATTTTTAACACCACGATTCTTTGGTAACAATATGGCGGATATCTTCTCGAGTGTTTCAACTTGTCAAAAATTCTCGCTTTTTATTATGACCAAAAACATGTAGGCCTACATCATTACAGCACATGTACAGCATAAGCCACCCTTTTTAATACGTATGTTTATTTTCATTTGAATTTTTCAGTTACAAACGAAACCTCCACTAATACAGAAATCATAATATTATATCGTCTCTATATTTTGATACATATACCTTACGCCGCTTGCTTTTGACACTGAAATGCTAGAAATGGGGGAACGACCACCTATGCATCAAACTTGATTAACTCTGCAAATGATGCATATATAAGAATTACTCACTAAACTGACGAATTCGACAATTTTAATCCAATTATATGGGTAAGTGACGATGTAGAAAAAGAAAAAAAATTTATAAAGGTGTGCAATTTTTTCTCCGCGTAGTCTGGTCTATCAATCAATATACAAACAACGAAATATTATGCTAATTGAGAACGACTATAGAAATTTCATGAGAAAATCAGACGATCTCTAGACTCGTGACATTTTACATATTAATTGTGGGAACGAAGGTGGTCTCGAAGGCTCAGTGTGACGCGGAAGGCGAGAACGAGGCCGCGAAGAGAGACTTCATCCCAATACCTGTCTATCCCGGGGAAATACGAACCAACTTCTCCCCATTCTCAAATTGCTTCGATGCGGTGGGAATTACTTGTCGCTCGCGTCTATACTTTTCGCTTTGTTACGCTCCACGGGAAGCCATTTTGCTTTTTGTGATCGAAGAACATTGTTTTCTCTTTCGGTGTTCTTGTTGCCATTTTCTTGTTCCTAATTTGTTTTCTTAATGGAACAATTAATACTGAAAATGATGTGATTAAGACGTTGGAAATCAATTGTCTCCCGTGACGTAATAAATTGCTAAATAGTTAGACTATCATTCAGAAAGCGTGGGAATAAAAACACATTATTACGCGAGGAAGCGAAAAGTTGATGGTCTCTTCCTGAGCAGAAGGTGTGTCGAAGAAACTGTGGATTGTCAATCAAGTTCACTTTCAAGTTCCATTGATATACGAGGGACATCGAAAATTTGATTTGAATAAATTCCGATTTTGTGATTTAAAATCACACGCTAAAGCGCGGGGGAGCCTACAACCCCTGTAGTTTTTTTTTGTTGCAATGCAATTGGAAGTATTATATTACAAAATGGAACAGTTGTAACTTATTAATTCTCTTCAATTTGTTTGCAACCAACTGAACAATAACAATATTTCAACAATTATATATATGTAATGCATCAGGTCACGTATATAATTCAACACATGCAATAAAATACACAATCCTCAGTTTTAATGTTGGAACGCCCTCCTTTTTTATTCTGTGTTATCCTGATAACGCCTCTCTCCTTATATAGTATAACAGTTATACAAACCACAATTATGCAATGGCCAACCTGATGGAAGGAGTTCGTATCCTTAGGTAAATATAGACCTGGCCTTAAATTCTTTCAATCTCGTTAAAGTCTTTACGATTACAGGCTTTGTAAACACAAAACCACATATTTCATTGTTTTATACATCTGACTAAGACTAACTTGAAGATTGTAATTTTGGTAGTAGCGCATTCAATTTATGTTATGATATAGAGATTTTTTGTATAAGTATAATAAATAGTCCAATAGGCGTTGATTTCGGTGTGTGTATTCATATTTGTTACCTGAATTAAATGCTGTGGGAAACCTAAATGTGTTGAATGTATCGCACACGTAGATATTTGGAATATCGTCATGGTAATACCCGAATTGCGTAAGCCATTTTTGGCGATTTTGAGTTTTTTATAAAATAGGTATTTAGGTAATGCTGCGCACCTGTCTGTTAACTCAGATTTCATTTTAGGAATCCCGAAACCCATAAAAATGAAGATTTAGTATGACATGACATTTGTGCAATTGTTTCGTCATAATGAATCAGCATTGTTACCGCAGGACTATTGTGACGTCACAAAGGAAAAATAACCTCTGCGAAGTATTTTCGAGTTTTTGCATCTCGGATTCTAGCTTAGCGAGTATTAATTTGAATTTATACTACAGTGTAGGAAGGCGTGCACTTGTGATATTCATTGTCCGAGTCCAATTCACCTTGGTTGGCTTTTATATTGGGTACATTGCTGTTTTATTCTTTATATTTAATCTTAGTCTTATTTCGGTGGGTGTGCAGAACGTGTTATATTGATGAAATTTATATTTTTAAACATAAAAAATAATGTAATTAAATCTGATTAGCTATTTTGGGGATTAGACATTGTAGATACTGAAAATTACATTCGTTTTTGGAATGTTTAGTTTTCAGGACTGGTGCATATAGTAAAGATGCAAAATTGCGTATGTCCCCAAGTCATAGACACATTTCGATTTCTGCCTAAGTCACAGTGCGCCATTATGAAGTCACTTAACTGCCTCATACAAATTAACTTAAATCCGGCTAAAGTTTTTACAATTCATTCAGAATATAATTACGACCGATTGTGAAAATTTGTTTCTATATCTCACAATCACAAAATTTTACAAAACTGAATATATTGATTTTTGTCTCGGCCTTACCAAGAATTCGGTATTTAAGTTGCAGTGAATGCAGCTGCAATACTGCACCAGATGTAATATTGTGTCGTGGACTCTCTGAATCGAGGTCAAATTTCGTAAGTATTCTGAATTCAGCAGTGGGATTCAAGGGGTTCGAACTGATTTGTGCGAAGCCGTTCTTGATAGGGCTCGGTATTTTCGAATACATATTGATTTCAGAATCGGATCGAATATTTTTTTTAATCGAATCGAATCTCGAATACTTAGAAGATATGTCATTGTATGTGATTTTCTTACTGTGATTAGTTCTCCAGACACATAAATTACTGAAAACATAGAATCTATAATTCATACGGTTCGCTAAGTGTTCACAATAAGAAACTTGTTTCACTCGGAGGAAAAGGGTCATATGACAGAATTGCATTTCAAATATATTGCTTCAATAAAAAATTGAGGGATTCTCCTCGATCTATGGCGGACAAAAAAGCAAGATGGCGGCGATTCAAAATTCTAGTTTGAACCGATTCGAATAATTTACTGTACGATTCGATTAGAACATTCGATTCGAAATGCCCATCCCTAGTTCAAGGAATGTTGTCATAATCAGCGAACCCAATCTTGAGCTGACGAGTGACGACTAGTGTTATAATTATTGTTTCGAAAGTTATGTATTACATTTATGCAAAGCGTGTCATGTTAACGTAACATGGGCAATGACATTCATTAGTAGATCAGATATATATAGGAAACTCAGAATTGTCAGTTTGATATTTCAAACTAAATATTCTAATCATACACTATCGTACGAAAAGACATAAAAATGTTTATATATATTCCATTTTTTACTATTTACTTTACTCAGATAATGATCTGGTATAGTTCTTGAAATAACGTTCTCTATGCTCTATTGCGCCATATTTCTCCAGTTTATCGTGTTTACGAATGCCGAACCGCATTAAGCCAGCGATGTGTGCATGGGCAAAATACGCCAAATTACTTTTACCTCTCTATTAAATTTTTTTGGAGCTTTTTAGATTTTTCGGTGTCGGTGTTCGATAACCAGCTTTGGTTCCTCGAGGCTTCCCTTCCCCATTAAAATGTGCGATTATCTTTTTTTTCTTCGTATCTTGTGTGAAATAGATTTTTTTTTGGTTGGAAAAAATGAACTTGACTTGACTTGCCATCAGTTTTTTTTTATATATTCCAACTTGTTGACTTGTTGAATAATTCCTCCGGTTTAAACAACGAGTGGAGTTCGTCACAACACCTTGAAAATTTTCTTAAAAATGCCGGCATTTTATATAACTACTGAAAAACATTTTCCTTTTAGTTTAATATAGAATTTTGTGAAAGACAGCCTTTTCAGCAATAGGGCACCAATTTTTTTTTTTTAATGTTGAATCAAACCTTTTTCAAAATGTATATCTGTCGTTTGCAAGATCAAAAAATGAATGGCGGAAGATATGCAAGGATGTAGTTTTGCGAGAACAAATTTTAGTGAGAATGAAGCTACACGCAACGGATTTTCGCGAAAATGTGGTTATGTGGGAGCAACGACTAACATACCGTGTGGGAGCAATTATTTTCAAGATTTATTTCGTCAACCAGAAAAAAAAACAGTCATATATAATAATAAATAAATAATGGCTATAAAAAAATACGCTTTTTTCGGTATAGAATGGAAGGAGCGATACGACCATGCGGCCATCGAAGTCAGTCCCCTCCAAGTTTACGCTGATAAATTCACAGTAAAATATGATTATTAGAAATGGTTGAAGTTCACGACACGAAATTTGAAAAAACAAACAAAAAAATGAAGTAAATAAAACTAATTAATTTTTTTCCGTGAAATCAATTTTTAAATGATGAGATTTGTGAAATGAAACAGTTTGGGCAGATTTTCAACTATTACACTATTATTTGAAAGTGAGGAGTAAACAAATAAAAAACAATTTTGGCTATTGGACTACTATACTCAAATGTAAATTTGGACACATAACAATTGTTCGAATCAGCAAGGAGCCAGCCTTACATGTACGAATAAATTTCAGAAGATAAACAACATGGTACTCATGTAAAACAATTGTTTTAAGAGAGGAATCAACCTTACAACGAGAATATCGGTCAGAGACCGAGGACTCATCGATCAAAAGTTAGGGGATCCCCCCAAAAAGCGCTCTTACTCCATAGTGACAACTTGTGCCCCATCACTAATCGATTAATAACTCGCTAATTATACGATATAATTCGCCCAAAATCAATAGGCTTCTGGTCCGAGATATGATGAATGCACATGAAAAATCTGGAGCAGATTCAATCTCGTTTTCGTGAGATATCGCGTGCATCTAACAGACAGACAGACAAATAGCTATCAACATACTTACCGATTAAAATTGATAAGTAACAAGAATGGACTCCGTTGATAAATTTGTTGTGCGCCGGCGGAATTTTACACTAAACTAGTTTCGCGTGTATTTATTTTTGAGAGTATGTAACTATGCAATAATTTAAATTAGCAGTAACGGAATTTTGCGTAAATTTAATTGACCGTCATGTTCTTCTGCAGTTTAAAAACCTAAAATATATTTTTTATTTGACAATGAATTTTATCCAACAGAAAAAGTTTTTGTCAATAATAACATTGCTCATAATATCATAATATCATTGCGTCATGTTCTTCTGCAGTTTGAAAACCTAAAATATATTTTTTATTTGACAATGAATTTTATCCAACAGAAGAAGTTTTTGTCAATAATATCATTGTGTTCAGGGTTGAGTGCACGGAAATATTTATAATTTAGAAACATTAGAACTTGGCCCAAAATTTGTTAGAGAAAAAATACAATTTTTCGAGAATCATTTTCTCGAATGGTTTCCCTGCAAATAGTTTCGCGCAAAGACCCCAAGCCATTTGTAAAGCGATTTCCTGGCGACATCTCGTGAGGATACGTTTCGGTTTTATGCAAGCGAGCAACTTATATTAAACATATTTATACCGTGTTTTGTGTATGGCAGTGTGGTGCACCTAATAGAAGAGGAATATAGTATAACTTTGGGGTTATTAGTCTATACGCTCCTTATTTTGTCTACATAATGAGCTTTTGGTATAAAAATTTCGTGTTATGACGTCATATATAGGGGGTGACGTTTTCCTATAACTTGTGGGTTGTGTTTATTCCATTTCATTCAAAGTGACTATAAACTGATTTCAGGATTTGCTTTGATTTCATTGTAGTTGGCTTATACCTGTAGTGTACCGTATACGGTGACTTCATAACTCGTTTTGCTGTTGTAATATTCGGGTACCGGTATCGCTGGTTTAGTGCGTTCCGGTAATTGTTGATGCGATGGATGCTTATGTTATATCTACTGCCAGACTACCGGTACCGTACTGGACTAGTGTCTGAATGTGAACGAACTTGCGCTGTAGTCAGGTACCGGTAGTAGCCTACCGTACCTATATCTGTATATTGATTACAAGTTAACTGAATACGGTACTGGAATACCAGTACCGGAATAACAGAATAAGTTATTGCTGTATTGCTTCATTCTGTTATTACTGCATGTACCATATTGTTTAATGAATAGAAATTTATTTTTCAGAAGTTTGGATGTCTCCAATCAAAGTTTTAGTTCCACCATAGTACTTTGTTATATCATTATCATATTAGTTTTCATGTCCACTGTGGTTTTATGAACAATGTATCTCAATGTCATTTTCAAATGTCAAAAAAGTCGAAGTGCTGCATGGCTTCAATTTTTGTTATTGTCAATCGTAATGTGCGGGTTAGCATGGGACCCAGAATGGATCATGCCAACCAACAAGTTATCTTTAAGGTATGTTTTCAATTTTCTTTTCAGTTATAAAAGGAATTCTTTACTAATACTGTAATATAATCGAATAAAGACGGTATTGATTGATTTTAGTTAAATACTGAAATATAATATAGTTGAAATGAAGAGCTTTTTTAGCGCATTTAATTTGCTGATCATCAGAACAGCAGCTTTCTGATCTTCAATCTTAATATCAAATAAATATTCTGCCCATCATTTCAGCGGAAAATTTACTTTTATGTATTTGGCCTCGTTGTTGCTCAAATCCTTATTTGAAGAAAATTTGCTCAAACTAGTTGTACATGCACTCGATCAATGAATTTTCTGGTGATCAACTTGTCAAGAGCTATTGAAATTTTACTGAATTATGGGGGTGAATTATTAATCAATAAATACCGATTTACGTAATGCTTTTGTCGATTAGGTCAATAAGCTGGGTAAATACAGCTATGACAGTAGGGCACAGTTCTTCAATTCCAAGATTTCCCGAAATTTGGTTCAATAAAACAAACACTAAATTTGTCTCTGAAACGAGTGCGTCTGGCGTGACTGCTGGATTGCTTCATGCTTGTCTCGATAATATTTCAAACCAATCGCGACATATGTTGGCCGACACATGACCAAAATGTTTTTTTTTGGCAAGAAATCTTGAATGCTATGGTAAAACTTTTTTCCCATTCAATAATAAGTGTTCTTGTTCTCTCAGTTCTAAGTAATCTTGAAAATAAAAAGTTCTTTTGTTTATTGCAGAGAAAAAGTGGTTGAAATGTTTACACATGCTTATACCTCATACATGGATCATGCTTACCCAGCTGATGAACTAATGCCTATCGCTTGTAAAGGAAGAATTAGAGGAGTTACCTTGTCAAGAGGAGATGTTGATGACACATTGGGGAAGTATGGACCTTTTTATTTGTTCTTCTGAACTCTATTTCATCCTAATCGTATCTGTTTATAGCTAACACAATAATTATGATGGCGTTACAAAAATTCTTTTAATTGTATCTACATGTTTCCATAGTTTTTTTTTATTAATCTTTACTTTAAGGAAAATTTGTATAGATATTTGTATTCAAAATAAATGAAAAAATTTCTATGCCTAAATTTTCCCCTTTAAAACTTCTGCTTTTGGATTTTTTTCCATTATGTTGTGTACTCAACAGTCTGACATACCTTTTGCAAACTAAAATATGGGCCACCAATATGAGGATGCTGCAAAAATAAATATAGCTTATTGATAGAAGTACGAAGTTTAATCGGACCTCCTGAAGTATGCGCACCCAGATGGCGCACAACCTGAACTCAGGTTGTGTACCAGGTTAGGGTGCGACATCTTGGTGCGCATACTTCAGAAGTACCGTTTAATCTTAGATATCGTTGTAGCTTAATCGCTCATTTCTGACATGCCATTGTTCGAAATCATAATCTTTTTTTTATTATGTTTTGAACTTAACAGTATACCTTCTTTAATTTTAGCTTCTCTTTAACGCTCATCGATACTCTTGATACATTGGCTGTTCTTGGAATGTATGATGAGTTTGAGGAGGCAGTTCATAAAGTTCAAAATGACGTTAAATTTGATGCTGACCTTGTTGTGTCTGTATTTGAAACCAATATTCGTGTTCTTGGGTAAGTCTTAGCATCTTTTGTATTATATTATTTATGGCCGCAATAACCTGATGCTTCAGACTTCTATTTGTAAATCTTGTGTTCAAATCCCATTGGGTACCACCTCATCTTGGTGTAAAAAATTGGGTGGGTAATGCCGAATGGGATACATTCTGGTCCCCTTCAAAATAGTAGCTCGTATCAGTGGCTTGTACCAAGCCTTGCTCAGAACATGTGAATAACTGAGTAGCCTAAGTGAAAAAGTAAATTAAATGAACATGGAAATGGCTATAAAATTTTTCAACATCATTGGTTCGGTGCATCATTGGTTTTTCGTGATGCCTGAAATTGTGCACACAAATCACAATAAATCGTCCTTCGACAGTTTGGGCAACCCTGATCTATTCGACTCGCATTTTTCAGGAGTTTTTTATCAAACCTATTACATTTCTTGGCACATTTATCACCATTTTCATTCATACATTTGAAACATTTAAAGTACTTATCTTCAAATTAAACATGATTGTCTTAACGTAATTAAGCTTGAAGCAAATATTCTGAAAAATCAATTTCATTGTTGAAAATTTAAGAAACAGAAAATTGTTCACATGCATCTGAAACTTATTCATCATGATTTTTATATATATAAACTTTTAGTCATTAACCTTCCTGTATGATTTCGTGTTAGAAAATACAGCTTGCTATGTAATTAAGATCAAGTATAAGTCAATTATGAATCATGTCACACGAGCGATGTCCATCTATATTCATTCTGATTTCTGACTAAAATAACCAATGATTTGTTAGGAAATGATTACGAACATGTTACTGTTAACATTTTCCCATTCATTAATTCATGTGAAAAAAGTTTTTTTTAAAACTTTAGTTTCATTGAGTATTTATTCCAAATGTTTCGAATAAAAATTATTTTGATTGTATTTTCTAAATAAATGATAAACTTCTCATTATTATGCTACAAGTTGTCAAGATGAATTTCCCCAGAATGCAATGTTAAGGTCTCTTTTCCTCTGATTCAGATAGTAGGTAAAATTGTGCTTTAATTTGTAAAATTCAGAACTAATATTGTTAGCCTGTGTAGCGGAATCATATTATTTTAATAAACCATGATATTTTGGGGGATTAGATGTTCTGCAACTCGAATCAAAAAAATAAGTAACAAAATAAAATGATGAAATTCAATGGATATGAGTTACCACTGTGTTTATATTATATGTGGGAGTGTGACAATAACAACACTTCAATTAGTTATCTTTGTTATCATATACCTAAGTATTGTTAGTTACTGTATTGTATTTTACCTATATTTTTTGATATGTGGACGCTGGACAGGCAATTTTAAATCATTTGATGTGTTATTATAATGCTTTAACGAAATGGGATTAAGATATGACCTAAATATTTTGCTCTGCGCCCTTGTTACGTGCCACTGGTAACAGATATTCCATTTGTGTATTATGTTGAATAATTCACAATGATTTACCATATGTTTTTTGTATCAATCACAGAGGATTACTTGGAGGACATGCAGCTGCATTGGAAATACAATCAAAGCATAATAGAATGAAATGGTATAATAATACATTGTTATACATGGCAAAGGAAGTTGGAGACAAGTTATTGCCTGCTTTCAATACAACAACTGGAATACCAATGTCCCGTGTAAGATTTTTTTACATCAATGGAATAATTTAATAATCAATCCTCAATGGGATGGAAATATTTTTTTCTTATGCGATTATTATTCTCAAATCTCAATAATATCAGCATATCAGTATGACATTTTCAATACCGTTATCAAGATGTATTTTTTTTTTAAATTCAAGCATAATATCAAATATGATTTGACATCAAAAACTCTTATTGTGTTTAATTTTTTCAAACAAGAAAGAAGAGGCCACTCTGACATATACAGATTTGTTTCTTGGCTCACACCACACTCTTCATTCATGCCAAAATTATGTGCTGGTCATTAAATGCAGTATCTGCCTGGGTATTATTATGTAATCAATAGAATGATACTCTTTTAATTAAAGAAGTATTTTGGACATGAAATTGAACTAAGGATTTTTTGGTATTATGCTGTTGTTGCTCTGTACTGCTTCAAAATGTTCAGTGATTAAAGATAAACTATTTACATTTATTTCAAAAATTTTGGTGGGCTCTATGGGATTGTTTTTGTGTGTGGGATGACGTCATCAGATTGAAAAATCGTGCACCTTGTGGTGTTTCTTCGTTCGCATTCGTTGCTATCCGGTGGTCTGGCAATGTCAGGAAGACTGCGGTACTGGCAGTCTACTGTGAAAGATAAGATACCCTTATGATACCCTTACTTATGTTTTTTCTTCTATACATATCTATAAAATGAGTGAAACATTGGAATTCATATTTGATTAGAAAATAATACCCATTTCTTGGAAGACGTTTTGCTGTATTTACATTGCCATTTTTATAGCTTTTGAATTTTGTGTAGTAAATGTTTGAAACTAGATTATATTTCTTAATCACAGGTAAACCTAGCAACAGGTGCAGTCAGGAAAGTCAAAGACAAAGATACTTGCACGGCTTGTGCTGGAACTATGATAATGGAAATGGCTGCATTATCAAGATTTACAGGTATATTTAATTCTGTGACAAATCATAGATCTCTATTCTTTGTGGTGTAATGCATTCTATTTTAAATAAATTCTCTTATTTTGTTCTGGTTTTTTCTAATATTTGCTCAGCAACATTTCAGCTGATTTGCTGTGTTTTAGATTATTTTGTTAACGCTATCAACATGACCCACTTTTCCCAGGAGTTTTAAATCAAACCTAACACAGATGTTGGCAGTTGGCACATCAACATTTTGATTTGAACATTTAAAACATCTCGTCTTCACACCAATTAAACATTGTACTCGATTGGTAATACACATCTAATGTATCTTCCCTCAAAATGAAACCTGTAGTTTATAGGGCGACCCAATAGCTCTTTATTGAGGAGGACATTCATATGGGCCATATATCCATTTCTATTCCAACTATTTTAGCTATGTCCGTCAGAGGCCTTCGATGCCATCATAGTTGAGTCTAAAACTTCTTTAACAACGTCTAATCGTCTATCAAATTAGGGCCGAACTCTCTAGGTTATTTTCACAGCGTAAAATTATATTTTATCTTGGTTCAAGGTGATCCAATATATGAGCAAAAAGCAAGAAAAGCGATGGATTATCTGTGGTCTAGAAGGCAAAGATCATCTGATTTAATGGGAACGGTGTTAAGCGTCAATAATGGTGAATGGATAAGGTTAGTTGCACTCCATGCTTTGTGCAATGCAAATATTTTGATGTGTCATAATCAAGATGTGTCCTTCACTTACCTCATGATGTATTAAATATTTGAATCTCTGATTTGATATAGTAATTTCTTGATTCTAGGAAATCTTCAAGATAGTTTCATTTTGTACATTTGAAGTTTGGTGATCAGATGAGTGTTATGACACTATCAGTCAAAATACAATGTTTATTTTAACTGTTTTGTGTTTTCCAAATGAATTTCTATGAATTTGCAATAACTTGTTCAAATTTCTATGTATAATATGGCTCTATATAGGATATATGCAGTATTATATAATGGAAAATAATATTTTGGAATGTATATGTAATAGTAAAATATTTTGTTCATTCTACCCCTGCTGACAGACAATGCTGAATAGTTTATGACCATCCTATATATCCAGCAATCCAGGGTTTCAAGACCAATAATTTGTGCAAAAAAAACTTATTTCAAAATATTGCAAAGAAATTGGTGCTCTTTAATAAGTTGATTTAAGCTGATAGTTTAAAGAAACGAATTTTAATAAAAAGTTACATGAGTTTAAAATTCAAAAAAATTTGCTTAGTTTCTCGAAACAGAATTTTAAGTTTAGCACTTTTGGGATAAAACCCCCAAAATATAAGTTTGATTAGATAAAATACAAATATTGTTCTTCTTGGTTGTGACATAAAATTTACCCTCAATTTAAAAATAAATTGAAATTCTTTTGTTTGCGTATCCTATATCCTTGTCATTCGAAACCATTGACCCACCTTGAGGTGACGTTTGGAAATTCAAGTTCGTTTTACTATTTTTTTCTTTGCAAAACTGAACAGGATATAGAAGTATATTAATAACACAATAGTGTTTGAAGCATTCTGTTTAACGAGTTTGCTATGTTAATGGCATTTATAAGAATACAGAGAATTTGAAAATGAAAATTTCTTCAAACAGTGATGAAATACAAGCTTAGCGAGCATATTTTTTTCAACAAACAAACTTTTTTTCAAAATTCCAATATTCGCCTTTTTGTCCCCAAACCTTTTTCTTCAGCATTTTCCATTTTGCTTCAATTTTTATAAAATATAAATTTGGCAAACAGTGATTTTGTTTATAAATGGATCCACTAGAAAAATTAGAACCAAAATCAATTCCATCACAGAATACTAGAATAAAAATCTAATTGAATGTGTATATTTCTAATTTATCACCAATACTAGCTTTTCCCCATCCCTTTTGTTAATAATGTTTAACATTTCATCATTTCCTATTATGCTATATAATACAGCAACATATCCGTAATTGTGAATATAATTGTATATTTTTTGCAGGAAAGAAAGCGGCGTCGGTGCTGGTATCGATTCATATTATGAATATCTACTCAAATCTTATATATTGTATGCAGATGAAGAATATTTACAACGATTTAACACTCATTATTCTGTACGTATATAATTTTACATTGTATCAAACCAAATGATTATCAAGTACCCATATGTGACTTGAGGTTTCTAGTCTTTGTAATGAATTGGAAGTCATCGTTAGTGTTATGTTATACTATGTTACGTAGCTATAGTATATTCGTATCTGTAACCTTTTCCTGATAATGCTGGCAGACTGATTTACAATTCAGAATGCTGCAATAGTGCATTGTGGCAAGGCAACTTGTACTTCTTATCAATTTAAACATACTAAACCTCATAATTATATTGGATAATATATAGAAGCACACATAACTTTACCTGAACATACAAATTTCTAGGATAACCTTTGATCCCAATTCCCAATTGATAATTGCCATACCTTCTATGGTTTCAGTTTCAAATATTTTGAAAATTATTGAAGATTCAATATATTCAGCATTGTTTGTTCTCATATTGGGAGACTTTTAGTATAATTCCATATGAGCCAAGAAAGTCATATCCAGTGAGTTTTGGCTTGATAACCTCTTGTAGAATTAGTCAAAGGTATTATACTAACTAATCAAGACGTTCTTCTTGTGTGGAACTTGTGCTTTGTGCCGTATATTAAAAAGCTATTTATCGTCATTATGATAAACCAGGGGAATTTTGTTTTCAGGCAATCAAGCAATATATAAAGCAAGGACCTCTTTTAATTGATGTACATATGCACAAACCCAATGTTGCTGCAAGAAATTTCATTGATGCACTCGGGGCTTTTTGGCCTGGTTTACTGGTAAGGTTTGATTATACACTGTAGTTAAATGAAACTTCCCAAACCACTGATCATCAGCACTTTTCGACAAATTTTGTTGGTACTAGTAACTCGAACTAATAATAGAACTAATATAGTCGAAATTCCCTTTTTCGTAATGTTTTCTACTGTTCAATTCAGAAGTTTCTGAAATGAGCATTAGTACCGTACATAACAGGATAACTTCGAGTTTATTGGAAAATAGCAATCTATTTTCCAAAAAATTATTCATTATGCCTGCTTGTATTTAGGGTCATTTTCTCTCTATCGTATTGTGATTTATATTAGATTAAGTGAAGCCATTTCCGTTCTATTAATCTATCAAAGTGTATGATTTGCATATTTAATCTTGTTGAAAGCATTTTGCCAGGTTACACCATGTAGTTTCATTTTTGTTTTGTAAAAGACACAAGCACCAGTATAACCGCTAAAAATATATTCCTAAAAATGAATTTTACTTTCAGGTTCTCAAAGGTGATCTCCAGCCTGCCATCGAAAATCATGAACTCTTATATCAAGTATTTCTCAAACATAAATTTCTTCCTGAAGCATTTACAACCAATTTTGATATTTATTGGGGGCAATATCCACTCAGACCAGAATTTGCAGAAAGCACATACCTGCTGTATAAGGTAAATTATTATCTTATGTAAAATGATATTGTTTCAGTGTTATGACTCACAGTGCTAAGCGATAGAAATACACTTGTGATCGCACCTCCGATTACCCTGTGCGGGTACGCTGGTTTGAATCCCACAGGGGACAATTATTTGGAAAGAAATAGCTAGACTACTCGCAATCATAGGGTAGTTCATGTAACCACTGGTCGGTCACGGTTTCCACTACCATCATGTTCATGTATCTAGGACAAATAACTCGCTGACTGATTTCATACCTGACATGGACTGGTAACCAGATGAGAGGACGTGGTACGGCATATGATTATGCTATCTTCTCTCCTTTCCATTCCCCTGGGATAAATAGGAAAATCCAATTTCTTGAAATATCTTTTGTAATGAATGTGGTTATATGTTTAGGCAACTGCAGATCCTTATTATCTCGAAGTTGGAAAAACCATTATAGAAAATTTAGAGAAACATGCAAGAGTTAAATGTGGATATGCTGGAATAAAGGTTTGTTGTTCTAGTTTTTATAAATGAGACGTTTTTCACAAGTAAGGCTTGTGGTTTGCATACTTTCATGATCCATTGCTCACCAGCTCTTTTATAAAGATACCTAGTTTCGCTTTTAAACCATCTCCATCAGTTATTTTGTTACATGTTTAATAAGAAAAATGCCAACAAACGAAAGCAAAAGACTGAATGTATGACAGTCAAATATCTAATCAAATCAGTTGATTTACTTTAAATTAATTTAGTCAGTTTAAAGGCTTTTGCTCGTGGGGCATAGAGAACGTCTTTATGTGGCGCCCTATGGCCCAGTTTGGGAAACTCTAATCTGAACTAAGCAATCTCATTTACTTTCAGGCAGAGGAGAATTGTTACAAATTTAAATTTTCAATTTTGCAAATCAGAGCTAATTAGTTTCAAATGTGATTGATTTAAAGTTTGTCATAATTTTTCTTTTTATTTCTATTTATTTGTAGGATGTGCGAACTTTTAAGCATGAAGACCGGATGGATTCTTATTTTTTAGCTGAAATGTTCAAATATCTTTATCTTCTGTTCACTCCTGACAAAGAATTAAGTTTTTTACCTAACGGAAAGTCTGCCATGCCAGGAATTAATATGGACGACTATCTTCTTACCACTGAAGCACATCTTTTACCACTGAATTTGTCTAATATGGCAGTAAAAACAAACGATACTGCTGGAAAACCAGTACGTACATATAACCGTGCATTAAGTATATTTTTTATCATTAGACTGACATCGCATTGGCCATAACAATCTTTTGAATTAATTGTCCATTTATTTGAGCATTGCTCTTTGAGTTATTTATCAATAAAGGAATTTTTATGCTCGTTGGCATAGTTTTATTAAGAGCTGTGAAACGCAGCACCAACAAAACAATTTAAACATGAATCATATTGATACTCATTGATTCACTGTTTTCATTTGAGCATCTTTAGTGGGATTCAAACCCATTTAATTTGATTATCGTTGGTTCAGTTTTTTTTTATAATTCTGTTTTCTCATACTTTTATGAATTCACAGGAAAAACAGATTAGAATATATAAGTTAGTATTACTGTCTGGCGTCTGCTATCTGCTTCTTTAGTGTTTATCTGAGTCTCTTGGCAATTTAATATTTGAATGTACTATTTATTGCAGTGGCATGCAGCCGTACATGCAACTGGAAATGCTGGGCGACACTGTCCAAACAATGAACTTGTAAGACCAACCAACCTCCGTCCTATTCAAAATATCAGAGAAAAAGTAAAACAATTTTTCAGAGAGATTCATCCGGAAGAACCTCGATCTTGTAAAAGGTATAAACTGGTGAATTTTTTTATCCGAGTTTACAAAAGTATGATTGTATCTGTGAAATCAGTTATCTTTGACAGGGCTTTTCAAGCTGAGGGTCTGAATCTCCATTGAGTTCTCGGTGGGTTGCGAAATGGCTCAAGGGGGGTCCGTGGTATGTTTCAAAAATATTATTAAAGTATTGGCACTTGGCATGAAAATAATTTCGAACAAATGAGCAAAACATGTCCTGTTTAGACAAATCTGAACGTTACACGCTCGAGTGAACTGAGAAATTTTATTTAGAGAAACAAAGAAGCACGCCTATCCCAGTTAGAACAAAATCAACAAAATTTTCGTTCATGTTGTGTTTATTGTAAAAAAATTCACACTTTTTACGACTACTAGATCCATCTAATTCAAATTTTATGTACTTGAAGATAAAAATAATCATTAGTAATTTAGGCTATTACTTTTATTTCTTGTTAAATTATGCCTGACATTTCACCCTCAATTTTTTTTCCCAATTCAAGGGCACCCTTTCATATGTCATTCTGTACAATTTTTATGACATACATGATTTTATGACATGATTTATGACATGACATACATGATTTCAACAATTTTCTGGAAATCTGTTTATTAGTCATTTGCCCTCCATCATGTCTATATATTTGGCCATTGCTGTCTCATTCATGTACAGTTTGTTAATTGATAATGGAAGTTGGAAATCTTGAATATCATAATCGTATGCGTCTTAGTATTATATCATTCTATTCACTGTTAAAATATTCCTGTTTATTAATTAACTATTGCTAAATGAGCCTTCAAAATTAAATCCAATTCTTTCTATATTTCTACCTGTTTCAGTGCCAATCCATTCCAAACTATTGAAATAAAGGAAGGCACAATCAAATGGACAGGTCCAAGATCATTACATGCAAAGGACTTCCAGGCTGCTAATAAGGATCATCTTGATTTGATTAAATTAATGGGAATAACAACAAAAGTCATGCAAGAAGGAACGATACAGTTAGAATGGCAGCCAAATTCTGCTTCTTCTCCAACTAATGCGAAGGTGTGTATTTCGTTGTAAACTGGGTGGCCTAAATATTCGAAACAATTTGTTTTTGAGTACAGGTTGACCCAACAACAAACCCATAAATTTTTTAATTATTTCTACGAGAATGAAGAAAAATTTATTTAATTAACACTGAAACTTCTGTTTGTGTATAATTGAACCCAAAAGTAATCCAGGACACTTTGCACAAAAGTTATGTTCTGTCTGGAATATAAATCCCAAATACCTGGGTCCTTTTTTTTTGGATCACCCCGTATATTCAATTTTATTCATTCTTGATTTCATGTTTCATCTGAAAAATTATTATTTTGAGTAATCAAAAATTGTGCACCTTGTTACGGTTCCACTTCTGCGTTAGGCTTAAAGATAGCCGTCCAGTAGTCTACTGTGGACGATTGCATACCCGTAGCTTTCTTTTGGTCTTCGCTACCATATATTTGAACCTCGCTCTCTTATTGAATGGTCAAAAGGCAGCCGAGATGCGAGGTTTGGGTGACGTCATCTCACTCGGTGACGTGTTCGAGCATCGGATTCCCGCTGGAATACCGCAGCATTTTGGACTAGAATTTTTTGGCCGACTATCGAATTGTTCGAGTATCGAGTCGTTCAACAGTTGTATAATTCCATTATGGAATAATTTTGGTAACTTTTCTGAAGTCTTCATATAGCATTTTTTTCACTTTTTTAGGAAGGACAAATCTTCATGTATGAAATGGAAGAAATGAGAAAAACATCTGCAGATACACAAGTTACACCAGTACTTGTTCAATTACTTAGTCAACCATATCTGGGTGCCGTTGTTCTCAAGGCAGGACCAGCACAATTTGGTCCAGATTTGAACAATGTAGATCCGGTAAGAACCGATTTCTCATCTTAAGTGAATATTAGAGTCACTGCTATTCAAATGTGTGTGTTCTAGGAACTCATTGGTTCAAATTGTTTTCCTGACTGTATTTTATCACTCTGGTAAAATTTCACATATATTGAGGGTTTTCCTTATTTTTTTTTTATCTATCCTATTCAAGCTATCTAAGAACCACGCTCCGTTAATTATAACATGAAGGCCTATTTTACCCCTTTATATAATTAGCCTATATATTATGTGTTGTGTGATGACTCTCCTTTTGACAACATATTTATGTCTTATGCCCCGAACAAGACTCTGCACGAGTAGCCTACTGCTTGGTAAGGAGATCTTATGGAAACCTTCTCGGTTCGGCATTACTTACCCTCTTAATTACACCCAGGGTGAGGTGCTGGCATTGGATTTTACCCTGCAAGAAGGTTGAGTCTAACGCTTCAACGACTAGGCTATCGATCCCACACTTGGGGGTACTTATTGGGAGAAGGATTGAAAACCTTTAAACCATAATTTGAAAATTGGCTCGAAATACTTCTGTTTTCTTGGTATAATTCGTATCAGATTTAATTTTGATATAACTATTCTTGTTATTTGTAGGTTTCTGGACCTCTTGTCTATGCTAATCCGTATGATGGATGCTCTCCCCTTGTGAATGCTGATGAAATTAAAGGAAAAATAGCAATTACGCAACGTGGTGGTTGCATGTTTGTTATTAAAGTCAAGAATATTGAAAATGCTGGCGGCATTGGAGCGATAATTGAAGGTACTTAAATAAAATATTAGAACAGCACTCAAATTTTTGGACATGAAATTTGAATGCCCATTATGGCATCACTGTATTATAAGAAATTGTGCAAAATTGATGGGTTAGGTGGTAGGTAGCCCAGTAGGCATGAGGCTTAAACCAGAAATGTATAACTTGTCCTGCCCGATTAGTGTAGTTAATACTGACGTCAACACCAAATATTCTCATGACTTGAAATGTTTTTTACTTCAAGTTGATAGTCTATAGCTTCATTTCGAACAATGATTTGAACCGAATATACCTCATCATATGAAAAATGAAATGCTATCAAATTTAGTCACCCTGTGATATTCTTGTCCATTTACTGACTGCAGTATCAGTAATGTAGCGTTTTGTTGTCTTATCTTGATTTATATAGGAAAATTATTTCTTTTATTCAGATAATACTGCGGAAACAAAATTCGGAGAAGGTCCTACTTTCACAATGGCTGGTGATGGTGAAACATCTACTGGGATTCCATCTGCTTTCTTGTTTGCAAAAGAGGCCTCTATTTTGCACACTTGTATAGGAGAATTTCAAGCAGAAGGAAGACCTCCATTAGAAGTTTTAATTGGTACTGAAGGAGAACCATTGGGTAGGTTTCTATTCCACCAAACGTATCCACAGATTTAGAAAATGTAACTGGTTTGCTACTCAACAGTACTAGTAGACACCAGAGACTCCATATGATTGAGCCCGGAATTGTTTGAAAATATTTAAATCGAGGTGGCCACGACCAGGCCCGCTAAGCTATTTAGTGTGGCACTTCTCATCAATCCAAAATTCCTAATATGACAGTATATATTTAAAGAGGCGCTCACAAGGGGAAAAATGCATTTTTTGCTCTTGTCGCTGCGTTAAATCTTTGGTCGTTTTATCCGGTGCCTTTGTTACTGTAAGGCTAAGCGATAGCTACATTCTCTTCTTTTGCCTGATAAACATTTAACCAGTTAAGGGTTGCCACAACTTCTGACAAAGCTGATGTTAACAAACTGCAAGAACTCGAAATTTCTAGTGTCCCACTAAAATGGTAAATAAATAAGATGTTTCATTGTGAGAATTTCTTAATCCGTTGTGTCCGTGGAATAACTAATTTTTTTGTGTGGTCCAGGACTCCAGATAGATGTCTGAAATTGGTTATATGGCCCAACGACAAAAAATGTTGCACATCTCTTATTTAAGTTGTCACAAGTATCTGATGATACATTTGCAGTGGGAATAGACAGCATTCAGGAGAATTTAGGAATTTTTTGCTGTAATTTGTTCTGTTAGTCGAGTGTTTCCCAACCCTGAGCTGCAGACTCAATGGGACTGGTTTAGTTTGCAGACATTTTGACTACATGACTAGCATTTTTACGGATAAATACTATTAATGGTGCTCCCGAAGTATGCGAACCAAGATGCCGAACATCGGAACGTAACATGGGTAACAGGTTAGGGTTAGGCGATAATTTTTTTCCAATTTTCCTTATTTTAGTCCTATTATCAGTTCGAAGACTAGCCAAGAGCCTCCCGTAGTATTTATACCTAAAATTATGGCCTAACCCTAACCTAGTACACATATCACATTCCGATGTCCGCCATCTTGGTTCGCATACTTCGGGAGCCCACTATAAATTATTATAACATAAAGCAATTGTTCACAGTTATACCATTTTACTTGCGCAATACTTCCATTGTTGTTCTTACAATGTATTAGTTTATAATTACCGTAGTTTTCCGAATTCATGGCAAAAGAAAGACAACCTGATTAAAAAGGTAACAAATATCAGTGAAATAAAATTTTGAACTGGTTAAATTTTGGAACAAGCCAAATTTAAAAAAAAAAATTTGGAAATGAATAATAGTTTGAAATTGAATGTCCAGACCCCTATCCAAGGTTTGAGGCCCCTAGGATTCAACCTACCTTGCTAATGATAAATCCGTCCCGGAAGCATTTACATATGAAGACAAGTACCTGAAGCTCGTACTCGTAGGTTTACTCTGCTACCTGATGACGACATCAAATGCGCTTTATTGACCACCTTATTTTCACATTCTCAAAATATGGTAACAGTCTCTCGGTATGCTTGTAAGCATTCCTCAACAACTTATAGATAGATACCTTGGTAAGGCAAAGTGGGAAGTTTTAAGCATGTGATAATATATACTTTGCTTTTCGTCTAATTTTGCATGTTTTCTAATTACAGAGGAGGTAATGAGAAAATATGCCAATCAGTTGCCGATACCCGATTTAGAAAATCGAGAAACCAATATAAACGGTAATTCATTCTTTTTAGTTCCTTTTGTATGAATGTTAAAGTATATATAGTATTGAAGTTCATAAAACCTTATTGCAGTTGTAATCATCAAGTGTGTGGTTGAGATTGTTGCAAATTAATAGCTTTTTGGTTTGTAATAAATATACAATTTGCTGTATTCGGAATCTAGAATTCGCTTATCAGCAAGATAAATTCAATTTAGTCATATATGATGACCTTTTTGATACTGATATTGATAAAATGCCGCTTATTAAATAATATTGGTATTTGGTCCAAGTCGTCCAACTATTTCCATCTAGCTATGCCAAGGCTGACCATTTTTATTTGTAGGCATTTAGACCTATGTAGGTATCGTTTCACATATATGTTTTTGAAGTCGTGAAAAAATCTGTTCACTGAAACAATTAGAGTGATTCATTCTTTTCCAAATTTTCAGTGGTTATCAATGTAATAAGTCCTAACACATTTTTTTCAAAGTCCACATGATGCAGTATTTTACCTCAAATGTCGTTGTATTTATAGTTTATTGGCAATCTTTCATATGCCTTTATGTACAATTCTTCTGACATTTGGCTGAAACTCCGCTGATATTTTTTGGATATATCATTCATTTGACATTCCTCTCTTATTCCTAAACAGACGACGGTGAGGATCTACCAAATTCCAAAGAAGAAGTAACTCCGACGCAAGACACTCAAAGTATATTAGATGAGTTTGAACGAAATGAAGATGAAACCAAAATGGAACTTGAAACTCCATTTCGTAGTAACGAAGGCGATATAGAACAAACACAAAATGCAGTAAATGATAACATTAACAAAGACGATTCTAACTTGACAAAAGATAGGACTAATTTTTCTAAACCCGATGAGCTATGATCAGTTGTAAAAATTATTATTATTAGCTAGCTTATTAATTGGAATCAGCAGTATTCCTGTAATCTATATTGTCCTTACTGTATACCAGCTATATAAATATGCACTTCAATATTAGATTATGCTACAAATGCTAGTATAGTGGTAGAAATATTTGAGGTGAAGAATAATTTACGGCGCTTGCAAAAATATACATTGAAAGTGAATTGAATTTCAGAGTTAAACAACCCAGTGATCATGTTGAAATATTATTCAGTTATTCTTTTTCTTGTTAACTTATGAAATAGCCATAGGGTAAAAAAAATAATTGTATTCATTATTTGGCATTCAGAAAAGTGAGGGTATCGGTGTTGGATAATAGACTCTGACTTGAGTTGCGAGTCATTGGTCCTGACAGTTAATTGATGACGAGTTCGAGTGACTTGAGTCGTGAATAAATGGTTAGTCGAGTCAGTCACTCAAGTCCTCCTTAAAACTTGAGTCTGCTTCTCTGAAATTATGGCATGGAAATTCTTGAATAACGGAATACGGTATGGTTTTCTTGAATAAACATGTATCGGAAATTATGTGCGATTTTCATACTATACTCATGTTGCTAGGAACATCTTTTTTTCCAAATGCTTGTTATAATATTTTTTTGTGTAATTGACTAAACTTTTGTATCATTTTCTATATTTACAAAATTGAATATTTTGCGAAACAAAAATTGAAATATTTAATTTATTACGGTATTTATTGTCAAAGTTATTTTTACTTTTGTGGTGTTGTATTGTTCTTGACTTTCTTTTCAATAATAGTACCTTACTATTTTTTTTTGAAGAATAACACCAGGATTGTGTGAGTGATGCTATTCGATTACATGGATAACACTCTTCGTGGTGTTGATAAGTAATTTTATAAAAGCTGAGTTCAGAGGTTCTGGAAATTGCCTATCAATTCGTACATGATTGTTCTAAACTTAAATCCTTTTATTATCTGGATGACACAGTGCTTTGACAAAAAGTGATAAAAATACGGATTTCTCAAATTAACAGAAAAATAATCCTGCCTTTCTGATCAAAATAAATGATATGTTTATCTCGTATTATTGCTGTGCAATTCATTTTGCAACTAATTTTCTGTAATGATAATGCTTGACTGGTTGGTCCAGGCGTAATATTTGTGCAAAGATTAATTTAATCAGTCTTAATCATCAAGATTCTGATTCTGTCTGGAAAGTTATTTTTTGAATCAGCCAAAACCTACCATTTCGCAATCCGAGTAAAACAAGTGTGTGATGTCGTAGTTTGTTAAAATGTAGATTATTGGCTATTTTATTTTTTATTGATTATTTCATATTTCTTTTTGCACACATTTGAAATGTACAAAGAATAATAGGAGGGTGTGAATACTGTCTTCAGTGTACAGAATATCCACACAAATTCACCTATTTGGGAAACAAAAAATGCGTGTTAATATGGTGATAGTTTATGTTTTGTTAAATATTATACTTTATTTTAATTTCAATTTGGTGGTCTTCCAATGATTGTGAGAAATCAGTGTTCACTTGGGAAACAAAACTACTTTTATTTACACTGGATAAATGCATCAACATGAAATTGAGCAAATGTGCTTTAAAAACAGGATTTTTAAACTATAACACTTACTTGAGAGGAGTTTTTATATTATCTGCTCTATTATCACACTTAAAAATCTTATTTTATGAGTAGAATTTGTTCATCTTCCCTTTGTAACTAACACCATTTATAGGGCGGTATCTGGTTAAGTACCACCTTTGCATATGTTTTTAAAAAACGAGTGGCAGTATTATCTATCACAACTGAATTGGTGTGTTCCAATTCTGCCAGTTTAAAATACTTTGGTTATAAAGTCAGATTTTTTTCAACTAAATCAAACTATTGTTGCCAGTTTGATTCCAATTTTCTAATATCAGCACAGTATTCTCATATTATATTATTCGTCTACCCAGGCCACAATATTTAATAGACCACCGTCTTGGTAAATTCGTTTTTAATTCACCCGAAATAAGAATTCTTGTTTACAGATTGGTAATGCTGTTTCTAAACATATGCAGTATTCTCATTATACCAGCCACGTTTCCTGTCGTTTATTATTTGTCCCAAGCAATGCTTTCTATCTATTATGTAATACTTATGCACTGGCCATATATGGAACATGTATAATCGGTGCATTTCGTCTGTGGAGCATGTACAAAAGTGCATTAACGAACAAATACGTTTTGCCATTTTTTTATGTGTGGTGCATGTTGAAAATATTTTTTATCTGTTTTATGTATGTTCGATTTTGCTACAGTGCAATATCTCTCAACATAATTTGGAAATAGATGATATCGAAGTTGATACATATTTTCCTCTTTTGTTGAGTGTCGTTATTAATATCTTCCCATCCACCAGAAGACAGGATAGGATTCACCTATTTATCATATGGGAAACCACGGCCTCGCGTCCGGTTACCGTATCAGTCGATGTCGGGCATGGGATTAGTTAGCTAGCCAGTTATTTGTTTTCAGATGCGTAGACTTGATGGTGAAGAAAGCCCTAACCTACCATCGTTTACTTGAACCACCCTTCGGCGGCGAGTGTATTCCTAACGCTTAGCACGATGCGCTACACCGAGATTGCGTTCAGGATTTAGACTTTTCATATATTTGTTTCATATTTATCCTGAAGGAGCACCGATAAGACTGCTTAATCATACCAATAACCACGGCCTCCGCCCAGTTACCAGTATACGTCTGATATTGAAATATTCAACCATTTTCGTCCCGGATGCATGGAGAAATCCGTACACATTTAAGTCAAAATTACTGCCCGAATACAAATCAGTTTGAAATGCGTGTCACGATTATGCTGCTGGTAGAAAGCCACAGACCGAATATATGTTAAGAATAGGCCGGTAAGGCATCAAAATCACAACATGACTGCAGAAAATAATGCGGTCCCTCTGGTTTTTGTATTGGTGTGTAATCAGTGATGAGCTGGAAAATTCGTAACAACCGGAACGCACCTAATTCGCAAAAAGGTAATATATTTACAACACGACGCGGACGTTTACAGACAGTGTCTGTTCTAAGATAGAGTCGAAGAACTGCAATCAAACATGAAGAAATTATCTGAAGTATGTCTGTGTAAAATTACAAGAATATTCATAGCAATTTGATACAAATGCATTATCAGAAAGGTATATGATAAATCTTCATTGAGTCAAAGGTCGGAGGAACATCTATTACACGTTAATCATTATTTGCACGATGTGATGTCAAAAGAATTACGAATTATGATGTAACAAAACATAAATTAATAACTCGTTTCACCAGACAAATTAGACTTTTTGTACCATAATTTTATTTCAACAACAGGAACGCGAATGCAATAAAATGCACCACAACCGGAACGCCGCTCCGGTGCGTTCGGCTGCAGCTCACCACTGTGTGTGATATCTGCCTCAGTGGTTTAAATGTAGCGCATGAAAGTGAAAAATATAACAACTTACTTTTCATTGCATAATCATAAAAACTGCGATTTTAATTCTGAATCCTAAATTACATCGTACGAAAAAGATCATCTGCCCAGTGACCAGTCACGCTTCAATGATCACCTTGCTTCTGCAAGTTTGAAGTGAACCCCATGTTTGGCAGGCGGACAGTAATCAGCAGTTATTTCATTACCATAAAGAAAATACACTTTATGCGAACAATAGAAAGAAAAGACACACATTCGAGTTACTATGTGGGTTCCCTCATCTTTTCAACCATAAACATCACCCAGGATCTTCGTGCCCACAGATTTAAGCCCGCACGGGCCACTGCAACCAGGGTTATTTTCACTCATGTATACTTGCACTCACCCACCAGTAACTTTTATGAAGTATATTGGGTGTACCTTGGGAAACATCGTAATCTTTTTTAATTCATGTTGACAGGCACGAATGCACGATGAGTAAACACGGCACAAACATACCAATGCGTCGAAAGTCCCACACAACATTGAATCTTGCTTTCAGACACCGTTAGCGGATACTGTTGTTGGGATTACTATTATTGGGCTGCAATATGGCAAAGGCGTTCTGCGTTAAATATCTCACTCCGAACGATACGGATAGTCGAGCATGTTACCAAATACAGTGTATTGCAAAGGGATACTCGACAGAATTCTGCCAGATAAATGATAATAAATATATACAGTACTTTGGTTTTGAAGAAGATTAATTCCGACCAGTACATTGCTACCAAACGAAGATGTTCTGCAATTGTCCATTGTAGTGTCGTCATCAGCTGGAAATATATCGCCCCGGGCAGCCATGTTGTTAAATACCGTGTTTCAAAAAAGTGTTCAACAGCATTCCCCTGGTAAAAGATAACAAATACCTGGGATTAATAGTCCCATTGACGATACCATTGATGACAAAAGAAAACGTTCCGCAATTGTTCTTTTAACAAAGGTTTCGTTTCCTGAGTATACTGCAGCGATAATTACGCGATATTTTTTTCCTCGTCGGATCGCTTGTGAGTTGTGACAGTATCGTTCACGCGACGGCAACGGATGAGCAGAATGTAAACAAACCGAATATTATTAAACACTTGACGAGGGTTAGTTCTGTATTTTATTCACGGAACATCTGTAAATCGTTTCGTGAATGTCCCGGGATTTATTTTGGTGATATATCCCGAGGAATTCCCGTATTTTGGCTTTTATATTGGATTGTTTTGTCGTATATTACGACACAATGATGAACCAAAATTGTCATTTCGGGTTTTGCTACGCTGAAGTAGAATCGACAACTTACAAATGAAAGCTACAACGTTGTTCAGTCGCGCTTTGTTGTCAGCAAATGCAAAACCAAGATGCGGATTTACTGCAAGGCCTTTATTTGGAACAATCTCTCGCAAGTATTGCGAAAGCAAGGAACTACCAGAAATACGGAAAAGTTATAACGATCTCAAGAACTTTGTACAAGAACGCTTCAAACCTAATTTTCTCATACAACAAGAGCACGTATTCCCAGTCAACCAAACAGACCTGTCGCAGATTGACATCTATGGATTCGACTATGACTACACGTTGGCAGAGTACTCCGACGACATGCAAATTTTCATATATCAAACGGCAAGTAAAATACTTTGCCAGAAATACAAATTTCCGGAGGATATCATGAAAGAAAAGTACAATCCAGATTTCTGCGTTCGGGGTCTTCATTACGATATCAAACGTGGACTGATGATGAAAATTGATGAACGACATATCGTGCAGTTGGACACTGTCTTTCAGTAAGTAGTATTTTTATTTTGGATGAAATATTCCTGTATACATGTATATCATATGAACTTTTGAAACTTATTTCCTGTTTGTCAGAAATTACGGTCAATGTTGCACTAAATAAACCTTAGCTGTGCTCACTATGTAGGCCTACAATAAAACGAAAACTTGCATTTTTGCCTGTATTTGCAAGCCGTCTTAGACAGAAGTAGATAAATTGAGTTTTGATTAGAATTTCACCATATTACTGATACATGATTAGAATAAATTTGATTTCAGTACAATCAATACATTACTGAGTTTCGGAATTGAAGTGTTCCAGTGCTCCTAATTTGATTTTGTTGTGTGCACTACGATATATTATATAGCAACGGTGGGCAAACCGCGGCGGCTCTTCTCGCTGGAAATAATTATATATTATCTAAATTCAACTGAGAGAAACTGTAGCGCAACAATTTTTTTTTAATTCATTAAGCGGTTGAAGAATATATACTTTTGCAATATTGTTATTATACGTTTGTGTAAAGTTCTTTTCAGTTCACGGTAATCTAATATTATTAATTTCAAAAATTATGCGGCTCTCACATATTTCTGACTTGCTGCATGCGGCTCTTACCTCTTATATTAAAAACTTTTGCCCATCGCTGTTATATAGTGTAACTCACGACACAGTTTATTAGATTTAGCTGTCGATTTCAGACAACATAGCACGGCACAAAATATTATCCCGTTACGTTAATTAATATGCAATTCCATGGAAAATTAGTAATGTTTCGTTGCAGAGGCCGTAAGAAGTTAAATTCAGAAGAAGCGCTCCGGCAGTTGGAAACCGTTCACATCTCAAAGGAGGTTATGGATAGATCATGTTTTCGAGGAAGCGAAGTTCTGCAGCAATTGACAGATATATTCTCTTTGCCAGAAATGTGTCTTCTGGCCAACGTCGTTGAATATTTCGCATCAAAGTCGATAAAATTTGACTCGATGAGAGTATTTGAAATGGTCGAACGTTCAGTGCGTGAAGTTCACACCGACGGTAATTAACTTAATTAATAATAATCCGAGTGTGTTTTTCATCGTCCTTAAATTTTTTATTTATGAATTATTTTCAATTTTGAGTTGCGAAACAATCACAACTATTTTAAGCTGGCTGTTAGTTGGTAATTTTCATGGAATTCAATGTGTTGAAAACATGTTTAAGCTTTTACACCGATTCATTATTGAACAATTTCACGGATTTATGTCCGTTTTTGTCTGGAGATTTATGATTGTATTGAAACGTCATTGTTTTCATTTTTTCAACAAGCTGTCCCGGCTAACAGCTATCAGGTGTTTCCAAACGTTACCAGGGAAATTTACGTGGGAAGTTTTATTGAATATTCATTTTATTGATCTAATTCTATATCAGGGTACCTGTACGAGGAAGTAAAAGCCAACGTTGACAAATATTTACGAAAAGATTGCTTGCTGCCTTTGATCAGAAAATTAGAGAAAGACAAAAAGAAGCTTTTTCTATTAACAAACAGTCCATACCCATGCGTCAGTGTCGGTATGCGCCACATGTTGGGTGACTTCTGGAAGGATGCATTTGAAGTCATTATCGTAGAAGCCAACAAGCCAAATTTTTTTGATCAAAGACCACGGCCATTCAAGACCTTACAGTTTCGAAAGTGTCGCTACAGAACTGTTTCTTGGGACACTATCAATGAATTAAAAAAGGGAGAAATCTACTGCGAAGGATCCAGTGGTGAATTGATGAAACTCATGGGATGGGATAATCGACAGGCTAGTATACTTTCTTGTTTATTTTTTTTTGCATCTGCATTTTACCACATCTCAAGTAATTGGACATTCAGACATCAAATTTATTTCTCATATTATATTCAGGTAATGTACTTCGGCGATCAGATTTACGCCGATTTGGAGACACCAAATCTTTCAAGTGGATGGTCAACATGTGCTGTTATTCACGAACTTAAGCATGAAATTGACATAATGAACTCACCTGGCTTTTACAGAAGCGTTGTATGGGTACAAACTCTTGAAAGACTTATCGACAGAGCGCAGGTATGATTGAAAGTCTCATACCAGAACAGAACAAGGATACATCTAAAAAATTATCGTCGTCGTTGATGAATTAATTAAGTTTATTTCAGGTCAAATTTTTGAGGAACTGAATCGGGTTTCGCAATATCGTGCGACCGAATAAAATGAGCGAATTTATGACGGCATTTCAAACCTAATAAACATGCCTCTTGGTAAATATTAGACGCGCGCATTTGTATACAGCGCTTTTTAAAGGAACGCATTCCGCATTGGCAACTGTAACCTAATCTTCTTCACTGTCACGTTACATTATGCATTAATGATTATAATTTTATTTAGGTTCACCAAGACGCAGAATCACGGCAGCTTGTTCGTGACTGGCTTATCGAACGTAAAAATGTGAAGGCCGATTTGAAAAATGTTTTCAACAAAAATTTCGGATCAGTTTTTCGCACATCTCTTCAGGGAAGTTATTTTTCCTCAAGATTATGCCGGGTTGCTGATATATATACTTCTTCGGTAATGAATTTGTGCAAGTATGGACCGGATAAAATTTTCTTCCCCCCAAGGTACTGTTACGTTTCTATTTTCGACATGGCGTATTTGAAGTGCAAGCCTTATACATTGTCTATTCTGTTTCCTCTTGGTATTTTAGGGGCAGTCTTCCACACGAACAACTTGTCAGTGTTGCCTATCGCCATGATGGCTTTGATGCGGCATTGGAAACTGCTTTAAAAACGTTGGATTTTCTCAAACACGGGATGACCAAGACACCGACCGAAATTGACACATGACAGTACAGTACAATGTATGATGTGGCCTTAAACATTGCAACACTTTCAGCTGTAACATGTAAAATTTCATTTGTACCTTTCTGTTCTATATACCTATTAACTTTTATGCAGTGCGTTTGTTCAGAATTTTGTACCGAATACACTTTTTTGAAGACAATGATTTTTTCAAAGCCGTAGTTATTCTTTTCACATAGACAATCAATTTTACCCACAATTGCAATCACTTTTCGTACCAAATTTCTTTGACTTTCTCACTCTGATACACTTAATTCGTACCTTCCAGTATTATTTTTTTTTACCTTATTATATTTTAGTTATTGTGAATATAGTACTGGTTTTGTAGTCGTTGCCGTTTCATACACAAAGCTCTGTGCTGTGTCCCACCCTAATTGCACTGGCCGTTGTGGGATAATTTGAAGGTTGGCGTCCGAACTAGTTTGATTTTCCGAACAAATTCTTGAGGAAGAGCGATTAGATTCATCTTTAGTATGACTTATGTTTATCCCGGGAATGCGTTTTATAAGAAGAAAACTCCATAGCAACATATTTGGATTTTGTTATATAATTTTTTCGTAATCGTGCTTATCGTTTACAACGAACTGGAATTACTATACACGTATACAGTACTGATAACTTATCTTGGGGACATAGATTTTTGCTGCTTCCATTCCATGTTTTTGCATACACATAGCCAATGTTCCCTCTAATTTCTTGTAGTATGTGTGCGCAGAAATTTTGGTATGTGCGCACTTTTTTGGAAATGGCTAATATTTGTGCAAAAACCAATGAACAAATTTTGGCGTTCTAACCGGGTAATGGGTGGGCCAACAACAAACTTTCTCAACCTGCCAACCGAGAAAATTGTTACATTACATCGAAATACGTCTGTGCGCAGTAAATCTATGCGTGTGCGCAGCCTCTGAAAGCTGTGTGCGCGCGCACACGCGCACACTTTAGAGGGAACACTGCACATAGCTATTCCGAGGCCCGGGGTTAACGACTACACCAGGAGGCGTATGGTTTGGTAAATACTACTACTGCCCTACTCCATGAAATATTGAAAACGGATTCATGCATCGCACTGCCCTCTTAAAAAGTTTGAACACCTTGCTTGTATTGTTCTCCAGTATTTAAACCTGACATGGGCAAATTACGGCCCGTTCGGTGTTTTAATCTGGCCGCCTGATGCTATCAATTTCTGCTTTCAAACGATTCTGCATGTACTACATAGTTGATGTTATTGAAATCTACATGGTGCAATAGGCGTGTTAGATTATGATCGTATTCTGTGTAAGTTGTATTTAAGGTGGCCACAGACTTTAAAAAAACTTGTAACACTGTTCATAAAATGTAACTTGTTACGTCACACATAGGGCCCGCCAGTTAGTTACCAGTATACTTCTGATATTGAAATATTTAATCATTTTCGTCCCGGATACATGAAGCGATCCGCACACATTTGAGTCAAAATTATTGCTTGAAAAAATCAGTTTAAATTAGCTTTAAGCACGTCACGCTTCGTTTCTGATGGAAAGACACAGACAATAAAGAAAACAGTGTTTGCATGTTATTACCGATATGTTGAGTATAGGGCGGTCAGGCACTCAAAAGCACAACATGACTGCCTCGTTAGTTTAAACTGCGGCCGTTGGAAGCGAACAATATAAAAACGAGATAGAGATCAGAGATCGCCGACTTATCGATCTAGCGGCGTGTATCCTTCGCTCTGCTACATCATTAATTAATAACTCGCTAATTATACGACATAGTCCATCCAAAATCAATAGACTTCTGGTCCAAGATATGATGAATGCACATGCAAAATTTGGAGCAATTTCACGTCTGCGTGAAATATTTCACTCCTAATAATACGCATCGTTAACCATGTTGATAAATACAGTGTGTTGCAATGGAATAGTTGACAATATTTTGTCTGGTAAATGATAACAATTACCTGGGAATAATAGTCCGGACGATACCATTGATGGCAAAAGAAAACGTTACGTAATTGTTCTTTTAACAAAGGTTCCGTTTTTTGAATATAATGCAGCGATAATTACGTGATGTTTTCTCTTCGGATCGCTTGAGACAGTATCGTTCACGCGACAGCAACAGAAGAGCAGAATGTAAAAAAAACAAATACCGTATTTCCCCGAAAACGTCCATTGGGTCTTATTCTAATTGTCTTCCAAAAAAAAATACCACTAGGGCTTATATTCGGGGTGGCTTTTATTTTCATTTATCCAATTCATGATAATAAAATAGAGAATTACGAGATTATCACAAATACATATATGAAAAACGATATCCATTTACTTATAAATAACAAGTTTTTATTTGAAATAACCAAAATATCTACATAACATAGATTATTATGAATCGTTTGAAACGTGTGGAAGATTTCTTGCTATCGACTAGGTCAAAAAAATAAAATTCTCGTTATTGACTAGGTCTTATTTTAAAGGGAGGGCTTATATTGAAATCATTTTTTAAATTCAGGCTAGGTCTTATTTTCGGGGTGGGTCCTATTTTCGGGGAAACAATGTATTACTGTATCCAACAGTTGACGCGGGTTAGTTCTGTGTTTATTTTGCAGAACAACTGTAAATTGTGAATGTAGGTCCCGGGATTTTTTTGTGATATATCCCGAGGAATTTTCGTATTTTGGCTTTTACATTGTCTTTTTTAGTCGTATATTACGACACAATGATGAACCAAAATATTCATTTCTGTTCTGCTTTCGCTGAAGAAGAATCGACAACTTGCAAATGAAAGCTACAACGTTGTTCAGTCGTGCTTTGTTGTCGGCAAATACAAAACCAATATGCGGAGTTACTGCAAAGCCTTTACTTGGAACAATCTCTCGAAAGTATTGCGAAAGAAAGGAGCTACCAGAAATACGGAAAAGCTATAACGATCTCAAAAACTTTGTACGAGAACGCTTTAAACCTAATTTTCTCATACAACAAGAGCACGTATTCCCAGTCAACCAAACAGACCTGTCGCAGATTGACATCTACGGATTCGACTATGACTACACGTTGGCAGAATACTCCGACGACATGCAAATATTCATATACCAAACGGCAAGTAACATACTTTGCAAAAAATACAAATTTCCGGCAGATATCATGAAAGAAAAGTACAATCCAGATTTCTGCGTTCGAGGTCTTCATTACGATATCAAACGTGGACTGATGATGAAAATTGATGAACGACATATCGTGCAGTTGGACACCGTCTTCCAGTATGTATTTTTTCGATGGAATATTCATGTCTAAATGTATATATACATCATATAAACCGAAAATATATATGATTTCTTATGTGTCATAGACACAATAGTTCTTTACACTAATTGTTGATTGTTTTGTGGACGACAGTTTATCGGTAAACGGCGAACAACAACGGTAGCGCATACACCAATTGAGTAGTCTTTATCGAGGCAATCTTTTATTATCAACTTTGACGTACCGCCACGATATAAATCAGATAATTCAATGATCACCCTGTCTTCTTAGCAGTTTTAATATAATTGCAGTAATAAAAAAAAATAGTGTAGAAATAGCTGTAATAGACTGGGCTAAAATTCTTCACCGGTACTTTTAAAAAACAGATTATCGTATGCGATGAATGACTTTTGAAAAAAGCCCCGAAAATTTTGCAATGGTAAAGTATAGGAAGAATTTTTCGGGGGTCAAAGAAAGGTCTATTGAACACGTCAGTGGACATAACGTAACGATCGTTTCAATATTATGTTGTGGTTGTTGTTGTTCTTATCCTTGTTCTTTGACTCGTTTTTAAAAAGCTCTTTGATTACTGGACCAATTGCTTTGAAATTTTCAGTAGTTAAAGATGGATTTTTTTTCTAGAAGGCTATTACTATTTTATTAATTATAAATTTCGTATGAAATCTGATATTTTGTCCATTTTGCTGTATTATTTTATCCCTGAAAACACTGGCTGTCCAGTTTGATTCTGTATATTCCTGCTACGCGAAACTCGGATTTTTTTCGAAGGTACCGGTAGCGTCAAAAGTAAGGACTGCTTCGCTCTAGTCAACGTGCCCATATATTTGAGCATTTCTCTCCTTGTTTTAATGTTGCAATTCCATGAAAAATTTGCAATGTTTTGTTGCAGCGGCCGCAGGAAGTTAAATTCTGAAGAAGCGCTTCGGCAGTTGGAAACCGTTCACATCCCAAAGGAGGTTATGGATAGATCATGTTTTCGAGGAAGCGAAGTTCTGCAGCAATTGACAGATATATTCTCTTTGCCAGAAATGTGTCTTCTGGCCAACGTTGTTGAATATTTCACATCAAGGTCAATAAAATTTGATCCGACTAAAGTATTTCAAATGGTCGAACGTTCAGTGCGTGAAGTTCACACCGACGGTAATTAGGTTATTGAAAATTAATTCGAGTGTGTTTGTCATCATTTTTTATTTATTTATGATCTTTTTTCAATTTTCGGGTTTGAAACAATCACAACCATTTTAAGCTGTCTGTTAGTTGGTAATTTCCACGGCATTCAATGTGTTAAAAACGCTTTAAAACTGTTATACGGATTCATTATTATCAAGGATTAATGTCCGTTTTTTCTGGAATTTTGTGTGGCCCGGAGACGATGAATTTCAGCCCGATAACATTGAAACGCCATTGTTTTTATTTTTCCATCGAGTTTTATCGGCCAACAGTTACGCGGTATTTCCACCGTTACCAGGGAATTCTCTGCGGGAACTTTTATTTGAGCCTTCATTTATGGATCTAATTCTGTATTAGGGTACTTGTTCAGGGAAGTAACAGCCAATGTGGAAAGATACTTACGGAAATGTTGCCTGGTGCCTTTGATCACAAAATTAGAGGAAGACAAAAAAAAGCTTTTTCTATTAACAAACAGTCCATACCCATGCGTCAGTGTCGGTATGCGCCACATGTTGGGTGAGTTCTGGAGGGAAGCATTCGAGGTAATTATCGTAGAAGCGAACAAGCCGAATTTTTTTGATCAAAGACCCCAGCCATTCAAGACCCTACAGTTTCAAGATTGTCGCTACAAGTCTGTTTCTTGGGACACTATCAATGAATTGAAAAAAGGAGAAATCTACTGCGAAGGATCCAGTGGTGAATTGATGAAACTCATGGGGTGGGATAATCGACAGGCTAGTATACTTTTTTATTTATTTTTTTTGCACCTGCGTTTTATCACATATATATCAAGTAATCGGACATTCAGACATAAAATTTATTTCTTGTATTTTATTCAGGTTATGTACTTCGGCGACCAAATTTACGCTGATTTGGAGACACCCAATCTTTCAAGTGGATGGTCAACATGTGCTGTTATTCACGAACTTAAGCATGAAATAGACATAATGAACTCACCTGGCTTCTACAGAAGCGTTGTATGGGTACAGACACTCGAAAGACTCATCGACAGAGCGCAGGTATGATTGAGAGAGGGTAATATATACCAGAACAAGGATACCTCTAAAACTTTATCGTCGTCGTTGATGAATTAATTCAGTTTATTTCAGGTCACAGTTTTTGAGAACCGAATCGAGTTTTGCTATATCGTTGAACCGAATAAAATGAGCAAATATATTACATAATTTCCAACATAATGTCATGCCTCTTAGTAAATATCACACCCCTTTATACAGCGCATGCATTGGCAATTGCAACTTAATCTCCTTCACTGTCACGTTACAGTGTACATTAATAATAAAAATTTTATATAGGTTCACCAAGACGCAGAATCCCGGCAGCTTGTTCGTGACTGGCTTATCGAACGTAAAAATGTGAAAGCCGATTTGAAAAATGTTTTCAACAAAAATTTCGGATCAGTTTTTCGCACATCTCTTCAAGGAAGTTATTTTTCGTCAAGATTATGCCGGGTTGCTGATATATATACTTCGTCGGTAATGAATTTGTGCAAGTATGGACCGGATAAAATTTTCTTCCCTCCAAGGTACCGTTACGTTTCTATTTTCGACGTACTTCCAGCATATAGCATGGCATGTTTAAGTACAATCCGTACTATTCTGTCTTCTTTTGTTATTTCAGGGGCAGTCTTCCACATGAACAACTTGTCAGTGTTGGCTATCGCCATGATGGCTTCGATGCGGCATTAGAAACTGCTTTAAAAACATTGGATTTTCTAAAGCACAGGATGACCGAAACACCGACCGAAATTGACACATGGCAATACAATGTATGCAGTGGCGTTTAGCTTCACAACATTCTCAGCTGTAATATAAATATACTGTATATAAAAGTTGATTTATTCCCCTCCTATTTTACCATCCCTTTGCCTATTTTGCAGTGCGAATATTTGAAGAATATTTGATTTGATCATTTTTGAAGAAATCTTTTCACAGTCAATTTAACCCACAATGGCAAACGTTTTCACATTTCGTACCAAATGGTTTGAATTTTGCACACTTAATCCTAAGTTTCCAGTATTATTTTATCTTTGACCTTATTATTTTTTAGTTACTGTGGATATAACAATGGTTTTGTAGTCTGCCGTTTAAATACACATTAAATACTCGAAGCTTTATGCTGCGCCCCAACCTAATGGCCGCGGTGAGGTAATTTGAAGATTGGCGTTTAAGCTGGTTTGCTTAGTCTCAAACAAATTCTTGATGATAAGCGAATAGAATGTCACTATGACTTATGTTTTTTTCCCGAAATTGCGTTTTATATGAAAAAAAGTTATATAATTTTCCCATAATCGTGCTTCTCGTTTACAACAAACTAGAATCACTATATGAGTTATCTTGGGGATATATATTTGTAATCCATTTGACGTTATCACTAATTGTTGATGGCTCCATCAGAATCTATCTGCCTTCATCCCATGTTTTTGCACACGCATAGCTATTCCAAGGCCCGGGAATTCCGCCAGGAGCCGTATGGTTTGGTTATGTACTATTACTGCCGTACTCAATGAAATCTTGCAAAATGGATTCATGCATCGCACTGCCCTCTTAAAGAATTTTAAATACATCACCTTTGTTGTCCAGTGTTTAAACGTCCCACGGAAGAATTGAACATTTTTCACGATTTCATCTTTTTTTTTTATTGCAAAAACAAACTAGAATAACTCTTATATATATGGCGATCGAAAACAGCATAAAGTAAAACAAAAAATTTAATTGTACATACTGATCGTTTATTGGCAACTCTAATTGTAACAATAAAACAAACTTGTTAAAATACCATTTCCTGAAAGACAATTTTCTAAAGTGCGCTACGCTTCAAGGACATTGTGGAATAAAATTTATGTACTGCCCGCGAGCTGCATGTCGAAGCGATTGATGATTTCCCTAGCTGCGACTTTCTTGTTTATATTGTCCGCAATGCATATTCAGCGTCTGTGAACAGTGGTACAACAATTGAAGACTTATTAGTTTGAGTTTTGAGCGTTACTCGTTGAATAGGTTTACGAAATTTAAGAATAAATCTCTGCCATTATTCTGGGTACTCCCGAAGTATGTGAACCAAGTAGGCGGACACCGGAACGTAGTATGTGTACCAGGTTAGGTTTAGGCCATAATTTCATTCCAATTTTCTTTATTTTGGTTTTATTACGAGTTCGGGGACTAGCCAAGTATTTGTACCTGAAATTATGGCCTAACCTGGTACACTTACTACGTTCCGGTGTCCGCCATATTGGTTCACATACTTCGGGAGTACCTTATTTTGCCCTCTTGAATGTCTTCATTTTGGTCCAATAGTCGAAAACTGCACAAAACACGGGTTAGACTGTGCTTATGTCAGGACTTTTTGAAGGTTACTTCTTGGATTATATGCGACAAAACGGTGATTTTGGAGGTGCAGAACTGATTTCACCTTGCGAGAATACTCAAAAAATGATATGTATAAATTCAGCAATAATGAGAAGTATTTCCGGGGTCAAGAATCGGTAAAGATCATGCAAACAGGCGATTCAAGCTCGTGAAGAATAGGATGCTGACTGCAGTGCTGACATAAGCTATTTTCTCTGAAAGGTTACGTTGAAAGTGGAGTTCAGCGGCTCTGATACTTCGATTTTGGTGGACAGTGGAGTGTTAATAAATGGGAAGCGCACATTCCCAACTATTTGAAGTCAGTAAGTTGGACTGTATCCTCATCTAAAGTGCTTTCGCTTTTTCGTAGAAAACGTGATTTTGACAGTCGGTGTGATGAATTTCCACGTTTAGAATTTTTGCGCTTTCCTTCTGTTGGAGGTCCATTTGTAGGACTTGTTGGCTTGTTTTCTGTTGGTAGGTGGTCTGACGTCATTTGGCGTTTCGCAGATTTAGGTCTTTTCTGTACCGGAGAAACCGGGGGAGTTGATACACTGCGACTCTTCTTTTTACGAGATTTTGTCCCTGTGCCACCTGAAATAATATACTTGAATCTCAATACCCAGATCTCAAAATCAACAAATTTTGTATTCAAAATTTTCAAATAGAATTGTTATAGTAGCATATTATTATAGGCCTATATATATTATTAAATACAGCCTAGGTAGGTATATGTGATAACACAGACTCCAAGAATTCTTTTACTCGATGCTTACTTTTGTCATCCGGACTTCGTGGTGATGTCGGCGGGGTTTCGTTGTTGTTGGTTGAGACTATATGCCGCGTTTTTGAAGAAGCATCGGACTTCTTGCGCCGCACTTTAGCGCTATCATTATATTTTTCCGCATTGGAGTCGTGGTTCCTTCCTGGTGAAGGTGTTCCTGGAATTTGGATTAGACCAAGTGTACTCATATCAGTATCCTCTTTTGCAACAATGCGGTAGGTTGATGATTTCCGTTCGTCCTCATAGGATTCGATGTAAACCGATGGATGATTTCCCTAAATGTAGACCATATGATTAAGCATATTGTGACCATATTTCATGTTGGTTCGTTTTGACATATGTTGTGTATGAATCGTACATATTTCAAGTACTCGTAGGGAGCCAAAATTTCCGCCTTAAATGGTATGTCAACAAAGTTAGGTTTAGCGATGGGTATATATATGATTCCGATCGTCATTTGAATACCTCCCCTCGTGGAGAGCATATTGGGCTGTCAGTTGACATCGGAACTACACAACAGCTACACAAAATGTATATTGCGAATCGAGTGCAATATTTACATGAAGACTTAATGTGTTCGAATGTCTTTAGATGAAAATGGGATAAATGTGCCAAAAACCAGTACAAAAAATAAAAAGGTGTAAGCATGGAAAACGGACGAAACACTTTCTACGGAAGGGGCAAAACAATGAAAAATAGACGAAATATTTCAAAAACGCCCGTGTGGATTTTCCAGGTTGTCGATTGAATCTTAATTAAATAAAGCTCAAAACGGTTTAAATACAGTACCATGCGTCATTTTCGACATATACAGTATACGTACATTATTTTCAAAACAAAACAAAGCCATGTAGGCTATAACGCAATTTAGATCACAATGCTCTCGTAAACAAGGTCCGTATACCGTCATTGAAAATTACTTTTCTTTATCTTCCTATTAACGAATTGCTGTCCAAACCTCAAGCGTCAACTCACCATCAACGTTGACGACTTTCTAGACGACGGTAAATCACCACCAACTTCGTACTTGTTGCGATTTATCGAATGTTTCCTTATTTGAGAATCATCTCCACGTATTACTGATACCCAATGTGATCGAATTTCTTCGTGGTGCAGGCAGAATAAAACCATCAAGGACAATCCCTAAAATAAGAAATAAATGTTTCGTTGTTCGCATAGTATTTCACCATATGACGTTTACAGTTGCATTCCAGGTGGGCTTTTATGTTGGCCGAAATGTGCTGCAAGATTAAAATGACTACCGTGCGCTTACTAAAGGGTTAATTATGGTATCAATCGATAAACGTGATGATTCTTTAGTTTATAGCACGACAAGTCTTTTGCGTGACATGAATGGAAAGGAAGCGTTTAAAAGACTCATAAACTCAGTTAGCTTAGAAGTTTATATAGCGCATATATTTCAATCGGTTGAAATCTGTAAACTCACCAAAATTGACGAGCCAGCACTGAATACAATGATGCCGCCCAGTTCTTTTTCACTTGGCTCTCTTTGGTCAAAACAGGAGCTGATGATGACTGAAATAAAGCTGAATATTAATTTTCGGGTCGATGGTATAGCATGTGATTACATTCTATCGCTTCATTATACTACTAAAACCTTAATTTATTAACGTATGTCGATGTCAGATATCTTATGCAAGATTCAAGATCTCAAATTACCTATAGCAAGCAATACTGTTATGACCGTGAGTCTTATAAAATGCATTTTGACGTTTCTTCGGCTACTTGAATTTTGCAATCTTTCATTTTGCTTCGCAAAAAATACACCGTGTAATATCATGCCAAATATTATCAACATCCCAATAAATGTCATGCCAACAGGAACCATTGTTCCGCCCCATTGATATAGCTTATGAACAAAGCATCTGAAAATAAAAAGATTATTTATCAGTAAGCAGTATCTATTTTTGCAAATCCATCTGCCGAATTTTTGTACATCAATGCAGTCGTTTACCGCTTCATGGTGGTAGCCAAAAATTAGATCTTGGTTATCCTTATGGACCAGTTTACTTGCCGATACTACTAGTTATGGTGACAAGGCTGACATAGTGGTAACATGGCGACAACAAATACTTACTGTGGGCCATAATATTCTCCGCCATGGATGCCTCCAACATGCTGGGTGGCCACAGCGGCGCATATAATTGCTATACCGAGTGAAATTCCATATGCAGGAATGGATGCTTTGATGAAGAAATGACTAATGTGTCCTCCCATAGGCCTTCTGAACATTACCAGTATAAGCATCCAATAAACGAATAGCCAAAACCAGGCAGCCAAAACGGAGAAATGACAAACTATTGCTCCTGTAAAAAGAAAAAACACATTGTAAAATTTAAATTTTATCGCTCTCGGTGGGACGGCAAATTTAGTCTTTTATGTATCAAGCTTTGAGAGAATTCCTCCCATATTTACTGCATTGCAGCACGTTAAACTTATCACTCAGTAGGATTTCATAGAGCTTAAAGATATAAAAAATATTCCTTACCAAATAAGCAAACATTACCGGAGTCTCCTGTTGTCTGTCGCTCGTGGTTACTGATTAAATATGCGAGATAGTATAAAAAGAGACAGATGCACAAATTCACCATTATAATATGCGGCCTCTTTATGTGGAATTTTCTGAAAAAGATCAGTATTATTTCAAATGGTCACTGGAACCCATAATACGGGCCATTTAACAAAACACAAGATTCACTATTTTGAGACTTGCAAGTTGCATCAATATCTAAATATGTGAAGAAATTTGGGGAGCGTTATTGATATGCATATTATACACAATCCACATGCATTACGTACTTTCAGGCACCTGCTTATTTTTTGTTGTAAGCTCGGAAATGTACTTGTCCCTAATCCTAACGATCTTTTTATTTCAAATAATAAACAAAAAGCGAATTATTGATCACAAGATTTAATCGTGAAATTTTTGTTTATAGTTGAACTTCATTCGGCTAAAAGCCAAGGTCATTTATATTTGTAAATTACGTTATATACATTTCCGTCTCTTATAATCTGACTAGCCAGCATGACTTGGCGTCGATTATAGGTCACTAAATGTCAGTTATCAATACATCATATGGAGAATTTCACGAAAAATGTCATTAAACCGGATAGTTATATTCAAGACGGTAGTGTCAATCACATGGAGTGAAATCCTACGTACTTCGTTATTTTCAGGGTGCATGTACTAAAATTTTTGAAAGCTGGAGATTTCGCAAGGAAAAGCGAGTGAACCCCATTCTGTGAAGGCTAACTCACCCGTATATGATGTACAAAATGCCCAAAAGACATCGGTGAGGTCTATTTATAATTGTTCGAAAAAATTGTATGTAATATGATTTTTAAAAGACAACAATGATTAAATTCATGCGTGATTATTACGTACCTGTATCCGATATAAGAAAGCAGCGTCAGTAAAATTCCAGCGATTGCAACTGAAGCGCCCACGTATGATACAATATTTCGAATCAATAAAGATTCAGAATCCATATTGGCCGCTGAAAAATACAGAATATACATTGGAGGGAACTAATTGTAACAGTTAGAACATATTCTAAAAAGAATATAACGTTTGTGCAAACCGTCCTAATTTTCTGCAATTTTTGGGTACAATCATACACAAACAGAAGTTCAAGCTTTAAACAAATGTTCCTCATTTTTGTAGATGTAATTGAAATATTTATGGGTTCTGTCATTTTAAATCTGAACCCGGATGATCTCAAAATTATTTCACTAAAGCTCCGGTAAAACTTATCATAAACTCAATTTTAAATCCCCATGAGTCCAATTCAGTGTAACGTACAACACCCAAATTAAACTCTATCGAGCAGGCTACAAAATGGCGACCATTGAAAACTCCTCAATCCTATTACATACTCGTTGTTCCATTGATTCCATCACCTGAATTTAATTCTGTGCCCGGAAGGTCCAGAGCAGCAACAGTAACATTAGCCGGTTGAGACATTTTTTTATTTGACGATGATTATGAAGTCAGTATTTTCTGAACCAAAATAAAAATTTCGTTTATATGAAAATAGATTGGCCAAAAACATATATTGAAACCAGATACAGCAAGTAGTCAAAATATTTGTATCTTGTTCTGGAGAGTTTTTCAGCGTTGGTTATCAATTAAATTACGAGACATTTAATTCAAAATACATATTCATGATCAATTATATTTCAATCAATTGGACCTCATTTATACGTTTTGTACATTATACTTATAAATAAAGCAATAGGTAATAGATGGCGTATCCGATCTAAACGATCTTTTATTTTACTATGACTTGAAACACCAATTGGGGCCATGCAAAACATCATAAAAACATCATCATTATATATACATCATAATAACGTAGACGCTTTTGAAATACCATTCATAACATACCTTTAAAAAGATTCCTGTTTCTGCAATTTGAATTCTGATGTATATGTATGTTTTTTTTCTTTCAAAATTAGGTTCATTAGAGATAGTTTCATAAGCGTCAGATGCGTTTCTTCTTCAGTTTTAAGATATTAAAATGTGCGTGATAATTACATTGATATTTATGCAGTAGATGCTAATTACTTCTGTGTAATAATGAAACGATTAATGTGAAACATAGACAAGCATGTCGGAAGAAAATCCACATAAGAATTCGATTTTAATGAGTTACTGTGTTTTTGTACCCCAAAAAGGTGAACCGTGATTCACAGCGTATAAAAAATAAAATTGGGGAGCTGAATTTACAAAAAAAGAATATCATTTATTGTATATTTCTAACTTAAAAGCATAAATTAAGTTAAAGATCAAATTTCACAAAGTTTACAATAATAAATATCATGAAATGTAGTATCTTTTCTGCCTTACAAACATTTTCTGATTCTATTTTTCAACTGGAAAGTTTTGACATTCTTTCTGTCGAACAAACAAAATAAAATAAAAAGTCAAGAACTTTCGCTTCATAGTTGAGAAAAAAGAAAAAAGTGTGGACAATGCCGTTTTAATTACAAAATATGTAATTGGTTTTGTGATCAAAATTTTATATCTGTGCGACAGTAATTGTACAGCTAACTAAAAGAATGATTCTTCAGAAATCGGATGAAAATCTACAAACAATAAATGTGTATCCACCAGTTTAAGAAATGAATCGCTATCGAACTGGTTAGTTTTTCCAAACCTGAACTGCATGGTAACCAGACTGGTAACTGGTAACATGGTCATAGTCCATCCAATGATTGGACTGACTAATTATCCCCAATTGGTATAAATATTAAAAGGTCATTCGATCTATTACATCACGTCTACTGCTAGGGTGTCTTGTCGGTTTTGCTATTCCATTAATATAAAAAACCTATTCGATCCATACTCTCAACTGCAGTTTTTTCCACACGTGGAAATTAAATAATAAAATATAATCATAAGTATAATGACCTAAATGACATTAAAGTACTTTGCATTCTAGTCTGTTCCATATTTCAACATGGTGATATGAAACCGACAACGACCGTTTCTTAGGCGTTCACCAAAGATTTGCAGAGTACTTCAAAAACGCTTATATTATATAATTTAATGCTAGGCCCAAGAAAAACCCACCTGGTAGTCACACGTTTTGTAATGCTCACGTCTAGCCCATGATAACTTTTGAAAAAAATCTACAGACGGCTTAAAATTTAATTATCTGTACCATGTATCAATACGTTTATATAATTCAAATTATTCAATTGATTATTACAAAAGACACTAGACATAGAAAGCTTCATAATTCAGTTTTGCCAAACATCTATTTTATGTTTCAGTCTCGGAAATATTTGATCGATGTTTAAATCACTGTTTAATGAAGGTCCACTGTCGACGAGGTTTTTCATAGAAAAAATTTTCCCTGGTTAACTGAAATAGGTTTCATTATTTCCTGAAATTATATTCAAAAAGAATACCATGGCATTCCAAATTAGAATTTTAAACAAAGAAACACCGTACTTTTAACATTTATACAATCTAAAAAAAAATCTAAAACAATCTGATGCCACTAATAAAATAAATCTTAATATTTCAAATAGCTCTATTGAAACACTGTCTTATATTCGACAACCGATTTCCTGAGTTTATTTTCCACACTGGAACAAATTATTTTAACCTTGCTAGCTTCTGAAAATTATGCTAAGATTGCCTTTTCCAACTGATCATCGATGAGATCTTTTGTTATATTACATTAATTCCCACTTATACTTTTTCTTTTTTTTCAGCTGCCACAGCAAATTTACATTTAGACGAGCTTCAATCATGATTTAAATACTTTCAAATATGAAAGACATAAATATTTACTTGTAGAATCAAATTTTAGACGGTTCTTAACAAAATTCACAAAATTATTAGATCACATTCCATCCCTATTTTGTGTTATACCAAACGATAAAAGGAATACCAGTACAATACACTATTTATAGTATATACGAGAGTATATATATATATATATATATATATAAATATAACATAAATTCAAAGAAAAAAAATCGATCATTATATCAATTCAAAAATGGTGCATTTTACCTACTAAAATTCAAATTATAAAAATTCTTGGCCTATAAATCATCTGAATGTCGGTGGTCAATTTCGTATTTACTCGCAAGAAGGCTTCGTTCGTTACGTAGCGCTGTGCTCTCCAACTCTTTTTGTGTAGATGACACGTATTTAAGGCACTGATATATATATTGAGTCCCGTTACTTTGATAGGGGGAATGTTCACAACAAAATATTGAATAGAATAAAATTTCCGATTTCTATTATGGGAATTGCACCATCGAGACGATGTGCCTTGCTGTAAGCAAGAAATCGTATTCAGTTACATATTATCCATACTAGATTGTTTATTACTATAAATGATTATGTCACGTCCATCCGTGAGTGTGACTATGCTTAGTTGTGATGAAATATGAAATACTGACAGAGATGAGATCACGTCCGGTAGGATAACACTAATATAATGTAGTAGACTGAATTAATGATACGAAGATCATATAAGGCATACATGGCGCATACTTGCCAAAGCATCTGATCATGTATACCAAATAGCAACCTATTTTTGATGTCATTTATGACAGGAAATTTCACCATACACCTGATTCATTCTACATTACAATAATGTCTTTCAATAAATCACAAATTTGAATCACGATATATTTGAACTCAAAGAGAAAAAGTGTCCGGATATATTTTATAGAGACTTGAAAACAATTTATCAAAAAATGTTATAATCGGCTCAATATAAAATTATATTTCATTTCTAGTTCCATCATTCATTCGCAGAATGTTCACCACCGAAAGGGAAACACACGATATTTTAAATTAAATCTTTACGGGAATATATGTTTATGATTCCCTTTATTACTTCCGCTGATACAGATTACGTCACATCACCTCTTTCTAACCTTATAGCTCAAAAAGGTATAGTTAGTTCCCTTTACAATGACCAATGATTATGACCTGATTATTCCGATTTACGCCCCATCTGCTAAAATTTTAAACACTGAAATTCGCCTAGAATCCGCAGTAGAAATGTTGACTGACTATATTTTACTAAGAATGTGCTAACTATTATGAGGTAGAAACATTGCCAACTTTTTTGACTTCCGCTCATATTTAAAAACGTGCACTGAACGAGTAGTCTATTTTAGGTTGCGTGAGGAACATGTCTAACAGAAAGAATTGATGCTCGTACAGGCTTGGATCACGTACATAAAGACGAAACTTGTTTCTTTTCTGATGTGGCTAATTTCTCAATCCAAGTTCATTTCGAGTTCAATCCCAGTTGCACAATATGTGAAATATTTCGAATACAATTTACGAAATATATGTGCCCCTATAGGTGTTTTGGCGCACAATAATACCATAGAATGAAATACAAAAAAATATAAGACAAATGTGAAAATCTTCACATGGTCTATACATAAAATATTACCACTTAATTATTATAATTAATTAGTAGCCGAAACTGTTTCACCAAAACTCGATCGATCTAAGCCGGAATTACTGCGAATACTCTTTCTACTCCATTTTTCTTCAAATGCATATCTCTCTATCCGTGATATAGTACTATAGTATAATTACCTTAAACTAACATTTCTTCAATCTTGTGATTTAAACATAATACCCGTAAACCCACACCTCAAATTATTCTAAATATTTGAACGACTGATTTGTATTTAAAAACATAAACAATTTTCGCCTTTCGCTGGAACTCAGAAAATACCAAGTTATTAGACTTGAGTCACATTTTAATTGCTTGAATGAAAACTAGACCATACCAAAAGTATTTACTGCATGCGATAGTTTTAATTCTAGTTGTTAATTATCACAAGTACACAACACTGCTACCAACCTCAGTCTTTATTTACTCATTTGTTTTGCGTATGTGATATCTATTTCACACCCCATCAGCAGGCAAGCAAAGTGCGAGAACCGTCGATTGATGGAGAAGATCGTTTTTCAGCGTATTTCAACGTACTGGAACACTGGGAAGGAGTTATTAGAAGGACTTCAACTTTTTCGTTAACTTCTTGGCGAATTTTGATAATGAAAATCAGTCACACCCACATTAATTTTTATATTTTCACTTCTACAATTACCTATAACGACTCGTGGGGCGAAAACACCTTTGGAATATAGAATGTTTTAAAATAATTGTGAATCTAGATGCCTACAGATAGACAAGCAACAAGAATGTTTTTGTTTTACTAATATCTATCAAACAAACAGTCTCCACACAGTAGTGATTGAGAGCAAAAATGAATCTATTACGCAAGCGATGACGTTGCAATCACAAGAATGTTCAATTCGCTATGTGGTCAGAGGACACATGGTCATGTCCTGCACTGAAACCGGTAACCTATTCTTGTAAGCCGCAAAATTTGTGTATTTGTTTTCTGTAAAATTTTTGTTCGGAATGAGAACCCCATTTACTGCTCGACCGATCAGCTTATTTTCATCAAATGTAAATATACCATTTTATATCCTAAAAAGAATACTCAATTGGTTTTAACTAAAACTATCTAACTGAAATTTGAAGTAAATAAATAAAACTGATTCCAATCTTTGGAAATACAATAAGATCAGAATATTAGGTTGGTACGATATGCCATTGACTTGTTCACGATAGCTCATGTTTGAATGAAAATTTCTACCAATTCCACAAACACTCCTTTAGAGATGATTTTTCGCAGTAAGTTTTCCTAGAAGAAAGTCTAACAATCCACATATCCCTGTCCCTTTGCATTCTACTGTCTTTGATAAACCACAATCGCTCTTATTGACATACGCCTGTTAAATTTATAGACCTATTCAATTTTAAGGCTTTCGTTGCTTCATATTCCCTTTCTAGGTCTGTGCTATGTTAAGTGTTTGTATTGAGGCTACGCGGCGCCTGTGCGTACTGTACGTACGCCCAAAACGAATTTGTATTGGTCTACATGTACGCACAGCACGACGCTTCCTAGTCAACACTAAAGTGTGATATAGGTATAGTCATTGAGTGACTTGTCCTAAATCTCGATATCCATGCAACCATTATTCCACAAAACAGACTTAACCGTGGATGAAAATGTGGCATCCATCGTTTGTATAGCATGTTACACTTATTACGACGACAAGCACTTCAACCGTTTATCAAATGAGATCGGAACAAATTTCACTACTGTTCTGTAATGAATTCATGAATGATCTCAATACTTACGAGCGTTAAAACGAGGAAATGAATAAAAGTTGCGCGAAGTCTGGATATGACGTTAAAGACGAGCGATTATTCATCGGTTCATGAACTTTACACACAAAAGAAAACAAATGCAAGCAATTTTATGATACACAGATGTAAATAGGCAATACACACTCTGCCACCCGGGTATTCGTATTTTGGGTAATTAAATGTAGTGGGAGCATTTTGTATACTTCCGTGTATATTTTGAGCAAGGTCCAATTTATTGTAGCCACAGGACGAGGTAGCGTTGAATAAGGTTAAATCTATTCAATCCATATATAATTCTCTCATTGAAAGTTGTAGAGACTTCCTTTTTGATTCTAATATGCTTATGCTAAGCCAATATAACTCTTAACGTGAGCATTTCTCCCATAGACTCCATTCTCGAAAACGGAATTCAAATTAGAAATGAATTCTAAATATATTAAATTTACTAAAGAGAAGTATTCATTAGGTGCATATATGCAACGTTTATAAAGAAAGAACAAGTATATTTATCAAATACTATATTTGTGTCGCAACAAACATCCAGATGTTTATTCGTATTTGCTATGGTATTTTTATTAAATTCGAGGCAACTTATCCAGAGGTGAATGAAACTGTCTCAAATTTCTAACTTGCAAAGACATGGACTACGAAAAAATTAGCTTTAAATTGCCGTGTGTCAAGGTATAGAAAATGAAAAGACAAAATATATACAGCAATTTATATACTTTTACGTCACCAATCCGCGCATTGAGATGATCATCATATCACTTCTAGCACCAGTGGCATAAGCTGAGATGGCATCATATGAAAATTATAAATTCGGTGACGTCATGATATGATGTCATATTTTGTATTTTACACAACGGGCTAACCCACTGTGAAATATTCTTATATTTTTGTAAATTGCGGCATGACGTCATAAAAGGTATTAGGCAACTATATTTTATAATACATTTTTTCTAACAACAATCTGAAAAGATCGAAGCTGTAATAAAACGCAATGGTGCCCGGAAATGTGATGTCACAATACCCTCGCAACGCCAGTGGTTACTGAGTATTTGCCCGGGAAACTTTCTCGAAGTTGACTAATATCCGATTACATGGAAAATATGTCATAGAAATGTGACAAATAAAAATTCGAAACTGAAGTAATTTTTGTCGCTATCATTCTGATCTGGAATCTAATAAACTACAGTTTGTAATCATATAATCGTGAAATGAAGTGGCGTCCACATAAACTTGCTAGAAATTTATATATATATGTATATATATACCGTAAGAACTCTCATAGAATCTAAATTGAAATATGATTTCAAATACCTTTGGTAATACTCGCTCAGTAAGTGATATTATTTATGCGCTTATTCCTGCCAGAATTTCAATAACACGAATATGGTAATGATATTCGATCGTTTAGGTTCGGCGTTACCACGAGTGAATTCATCGGTAAAAAAGCATATATAAGGAATCATGTATATCAAAGTATATTAGTGTGAATAGGGAAAATCATTATTAATATATAATATACTCCGTTTTTACGTAAACATTTTCCTTATCATAAGCTGATATTCTTTGTTCACATTCGGCTAAAATTGTACCTGATTGGGCTTAAATAACTAGCTACTACCAGCTGCGAAAGTCGCAAATCACACTTCAACTCAATAAAATGAAGCCAGAACGCAAATACGTGAAAATAACCACGATAATTGGTATATTTCTGAAGCCAAACCGAAAGGAAAAACTCCCACCCGGATGGCAATATTTGTTTGTTCGAACCATCCTGAAAATATGCTGTACATCGTGTGACCAAGACGCATATATATATAAAGACCTGACTCTACAGTCTACTCTACATAGGGTTACCATATTTTTGTGACTTCAAATCGGGACGCCTCGAAAGACAACGACCCCTTAGCTGTGATTTTGTAACGTACCGTTGATTGACGTTTACGATACCGGTACAAATAATTCGAATTTAGACTAATTAGTATTGGTTTTACATGCGATACGTCTGCCATCAATGAGAATCAGCGGGAAACGAACGCATTCACCTTCAGTAAGTAGGCTAGCGCTGCGCTACAAAGAATCAACCGTAACGAGATGTGTTTGTGTCTTATGCTGGAAAAGCGGGACTTTTGGCTGACTTATCGGGACGGCGGGACAAAACGCTGAAAAGCGGGACTGTCCTGCCTAAAGCGGGACGTATGGTAAGCCTAACCATACACTAATGCTTTGCAATAATGTTTCTATATTCAGTGAAAAATTTATTGAAGGTAAATACCCCAGAGTACCCAAATCTTGTGTAAATATATCTTATTCACTTAATCTAAACAGGAATCTGAGTTCAGAAGGTTAGACTTAGCGAGGATTCAACAAAACATCAAATCATATGGTGATTGAGTTCTAATTTTGAGCTTTTCTCGTGAAATCCAACTAATATAGCAATAATAATCAGTGCAATCCTCTGGAAAGGTAAATTGCACTAGTAGGACAAAAATGAAGCGTCGGACAAATTAATATTGCCGACATAAATAAAAAAAAGATCGATTCTAACTGTTCTAGCGCTATTTCTACAATTCAAAAAATGTCAACATTATGATTTAGTTGCTGACTTATAAGTATTGCAATTCACCGTCAATATGAATCTCGTAATATGGACCACGTGAACTAATTTGATCAATGGCCGAATTGAAGTGAAGACTACTCGTATGCTGACATGGTCGCAACACTACCGTTGAGGTAGGATATTGTTGCTGTTGCTACACTCTTTGTGTATGTATTGAGAGCAATTTCTGACGAGCTACTTCAGCCGTAGCACACACACATATATATATATATATGCGTTGAATTGCTATGCAATACATTTTCTAAGTTTCAGGACAGATTTGAGCTTAGTTTGATGCATCATACCCGAGTGATGCAATTTCCAAAGACCTGATACTCGACAAGTACAATATAATATCAACATTCTATACTGTTTTAACAAACACTGCACGTTGGTTGGGTATCCATGTCTATCTAAAAACACTGGTATATCATGGTATTCGAAATGACTTTTTATTCATCGAATTACTTGGACGAATTTCCAATTACGTCACCGCACAACATACTTCCGAGTATTGTGTTGCTGCGATGCGAGAGATGACGTCATTCGGCCCAGATAGCGGTGTTTGCAAAACAGGTAGACAACCGCTTCTCCTGATTTATCGATTTATTAGAATGGATGAAATAAAACAAATTTAAAATGCAATTATGTTGTTTCACGTATACGAGTATGTTACAAATTGCACTTTGTTACCTGGACGTATTCCAGGACACGACAATATGACTACTGGCTTGGTGGTATTTCCCTCAGAATCTACGACATTCGATGAAAGTTATGACGAATGTATGGTTTAATTTCCCCAAATTGGGCGAACGATTAAAAATATGTCTATTTTATATATTCAAGAAGAAGTCTACCTATACATGAGACATGATTTATAAATTACTCGAACCAGGACGGAATTAAAAAATTACTCGAAAACGGGACATCTTACACAAAACCTGTTACCATTACTCGGAAAATATCATAATAACGTAGCATTCAAATAGTTACAGTGTTTCAAGAGACAGGGATATGATTCATTTGATTTCAATATTGTTAGATATCAACAACCGCGAATGACACATGTCTTCCACATTGCGATGAACATATCGTAACGCATTATGTTACAACCATGAAACTAGAATTCGGTTGGAAACCGAAGACTTATCGATCGAAGGTTAGGGGATTCCCCAAAACAGTGGGGTTACTCCATAGTGACACCGTGTGTCCCATGACTAATTAATTAAGAACTCGCTAATTATACGACATAATCCATCCAAAATCAATAGGCTCCTGACCCGAGCTAAGATGAATGCTCATGCAAAATTTGGAGCAGATTGAACCTCGCTTTCGTGAGATATCGCGTGCATCTAACACACAGACATACAAATATCTATCAACATACTTACCGATCAAGATCGATAAGTAATAAGATTCAGCAATTAATTTTCGTTAATTTATTAAATATTCACAATACAGTAAAATACAAAATCACATATTGTGATAAACGCACGTTATTGACTGGTGTACTTGATTAATGTATAATCCAATTTAATGGTAATAGATACATCAATATTATATAATGTATAATGCGAACTATGTAGGTGAAAGCCATTAGGCGGAATTTTGGGCTCGTTGAGGGATAACTGGGACCAACTTGTTATTTCTACCACTATGGTATGAATACTTTGTAGTTCCAAAACTGTGACAACGGAAAACGAAGAACTGTGTGATGAATAATTCTTCATTTTTTGAACTTTTAACATTTACAAAATAAGAATGGAAATTTGAAGCTTCCCTTCAAATGTCGCACTCATTCCGCATCTCTGAAATTATCAACGATCTTTCAACGATGTCCATTTGTTCCAAAACTTCCTTGGTATCTCGAATCCGGACGGTAGATGTCGTGCTAGAGTCGTGATAAAATTTTTCATCGTTCTCGCTACCGTAGCTTTTTTACGGGGATCTGATTGGTCAATCTCCGTAGCTTCGACAATCGAAGAAATAAAAACTTCATTTATATCAGGTTTCCAGCTTTGACGGTACCATTCTGACTCTATATTGATGCCTCTGCCGTAAAAACGCCACTGGAATTCGCTATATCTAACAGGAACATTGGGTATATTCCTTAGAAGGAGCGGCACATTTGATTCACTTCTAAAGGAGTGATAAAATTCCTCGTCGGCAAGATAAACTGTTGAACGCTTGGTTTGTTTTAACCACGTGGCATAGTGATCCAGTTTGTATATCCAATCCTGCCACGAATCTTTGTACCATGAGGGTATTTCAGTCGTTTCATTTTTGTTGCACAATTCTCCGGAACAGCAGTACATGCACATCGAATTGTTTCCAATTGAATTACACGAATTTTGTTTCGCAAGGGTCCGCCCTTCGATTAAGCATGCCTTGAGGCAAATACAAAATATCACGGTTATTGTCTTAATTTTCATTCGCCATTCGGTTATAATATAATGTCCATAAATCATTTATCGTTGAAAGAAACACATTTTACGCAGTTAGCAAAAGGTTTATACTTTGAATTGTTTTATATACAGTAAAAAATCTCGGGTTGCATTGATATTTTTCATGCTCAAATTATATATTCTTTTCATGTATATTTTCGTCAGAAAATTATAAACTATTACCTTCAATTGTTTACATCTTTTCTCTACAAAATAAAAGTTGTTTTCCTTTCTGACAAGACTCTGGCAACCCTCACCTTCTTCTGTTCTACACATATTATTGAGATTATTACAATCAGCATTCGAACTTGAAGTGGGGCATCTTTGACATTGTGACCTGCCTGAAAAATAGTAAATTTTAGTACAATGTTTTGCTTAACTATCTTCCTCAATTTGCTACACGGTGAATCCAGAGAAGCGTAAATGAGTTATATAAAACAAAGAAATAGGATTCCCGCATATTCGAGTTTAATAAAATAGTCAATAATTAACATGATCGAAGTTTTGCATTCCAATTTCTAGAAGTCCCAGAACTGAAAAATATTTTACTAGTGTAATTTGCTTTTTAGTCGTTACCACTCAAACAAGCAATATGCGTGCTTAAGTGTACAATTTTTTCAAGTATGACAAATATACTTAAGCTTACATGGAGTGGTGTCACATGGCACTATTTCTTCAGCATGATCATCACAGCCTTCCCCGTTAATACATTCTCGATATCGACTTCGTGTTCCACTACCACAAGTCACAGAGCATGAGCTCCATGACATCCATTCTGCCCACTCTGTTAACATTGTTTTAAATAGACTAATTACATAATTTTCTCATTCTGTTGTTCAGCCATTAATGGTAGTTATGAATAGATAAGCAATAGTGTATAATTAAAGTTATTCTTTTTTGTATTGAATCGAATCTTTAATTACTCGACTTTGTATTGCAAAACTTCAATACAGATGGAAGTTAGCATAGCCATAGCTACTTTAATCTCACATATTATGCGTCGACAGATAAAAGCGAGTGGTAAAGATTTGATTATATATATATAGCGTTTAGCAATGGCGCTTACCATCAAGGCACTACAACCAATATTTTTAGGCATATTTAAGTTAGGATGAATACCTTCGCAAATTAACTTCGTTTGATTATTTCTGCAACACTGTTCAGTATTTGCATGATACGGTTTGCTTCCACAACATCGACGCATTTGAACATAGTCTGGCCTCATTCTTTTCATGACGTGGTTTCGTTTTTCGTTACTTTGTACTAAAAAGAAAGACACCAACTCTCAAATATATAAACAAAAAAGTCAGAACAGTGTTCCTATGAGTTGAAATATTTTTTGGATAAAAAATTGGGCGTCGTGGAGCATAGGAAAAATTGTAAAAGTTGATAGCTTCTTGTACTAGAAATTTAAAATCGATGGAAGCGATTTTTTCACAGCAACCCCTAGCACAAATATCTCAACAAAACTAACAACATCAGTTGCGCAAAACGATAAACACCAGACTAAAAAGCTCACATTCGATTTTTTCCTCATCTATATATACAGTAAAAATAGTCAATGGTACTTAACCTTTACCCTGCTTACCTCTTTTCAAGCACGCGAGTGGCCCTCCCGAAATACATCCGAAATTTATGATAACAAAATAAATCCACGATGCAATAAAAACAGAAGTATTCATTTCAATCTGCAAAGCTCACACTATAGTTCTATTTCAAACCTTTCCTACTCAGCGACAGATTCAAGAAAACACAGTTTGAGTGTTTCAATAGAAGGGTCGCGTGGAACGCATTAAAATGGGCGTGTCTTCTTAATCGGTTGTTAATGCAGAGCGAGATAACTGGATCGATGTCTTAATAGCTATCGTTAATTGCCGGTTATGCCATTATAGGAAATGAATTAAATAACGTTATAAACAAATATGAAATTCGGTAGAATAACTTTGAATAATTGTAAAAATTTGATGATATTCACAAAATAAATTTGGGTGTTTGCTTATTGAGAACTTGTAATGAATCGAAATTGTGCCAAATATGGAACCACCGAGGATCACATCACACCTTGACTCCTATTTTTCTCCTTCGCATGCTTTACAAAAATGTTGGCAAATATTGGGTTGCTCTCAGACTATGAAAAAGTTGTATGAAACGAGAAAATTTCCTTTTATTCTTTATGACATCTCATGCCAAATTATTATTTTCAGTTTTATAATTGGCCAAGCCACAGCGCTATATATTAGGCGATATTTCCGTTGCCGATAAATAATTTTCTATGTAGAACTGTACAACGAAACAGGTATTGAGTACAAATATTCCAATTCAATATTGAAAAATACATCAGCGAATTAAATTATTTAGCTAATTGTAATAGCTTTCAAAAAAGTAAACTGTATTGGTTCCAATACGCTGAAATATTCTCAAATATTCACTTTTGTGGTTGCTATCTCAATTTTTGAGTATCTTCTTTGTTTAGTGACGTAGGGACTACCAGCAAGAAGTTCAAAAAATTTTTATGCGAAACGGATGATAATTATACAAATATTCTAGAAACGGCGTTCAGAAATAGCATTTGCATTCAAGTTTATTGGAATTGTCCCGGATAAACTCCTATATTGGCAAGTTTATGAGTATTTTCCATACAAAATGCACGTAGACTGAACTAAACGTCAACGAGAAAGTAAGGTTGACGGCATAAATTCCGCAATGTAACGACATGTCAATAGCTGTGTCAAGAGTTATATATATTTGTTTTTGTGCAAAAGTCCACGTATTTCTCCCAACGGCGAATAGAAATGTTTACTAATCGAGTTCAGGATTATTACTCTATAAAGGAAACTTTGAAAAATAGCCCCATGTAAACAAATATACTATACTAAAAATACCGGCTATCTTCATATTAGTATAAGTAGAAGCCAAAATTGAAATATAATTCTACAATTTTGGTTACGGAAGGCTTTACACTGAATGGGAGTATATGAGTCTCGTTGTCTTACAAAGCAGGCAGACAATCATGATATTGCGCAAGAGAGAGAAAAAAGTATTTGCTGAACCGAAAAAAAATGAGTTAGATCTCAACTAACGTAAAAAAAAATATTTTTCTATTTTATAGGCAAGCTAAAGAATATTTTATATTCAGAGATGAGAAAGCTAATCTTTATTTTATTTGTATTGACTGCATTCGCGTACGTATGGAACCTGATGTTTTCTTTCTTGATCAATTTGTTGATTTTGTACTTTTTTAAGCTTGGCCATTGTTTCCATTATCATCATATTGTTTTTGTCGCCGTTCTGGTGTTTGAGATCCCATGTTATACTAGGTTATGAAAATTTGAATATTCCCTCAACTCAATTCCGGCCAAATTAAAATCACGATTGTTTCTGTAATGTCAAACCACGATTATTTATACCTTTTAATAAAGTAGTTGGTTTTACTGGTAGTTTATATGCACTTATGCACTTGTAAATGAGTATCTCTAAGTTATAAACGTTATTTTTCAGAGTTCAATCGTCGTTTGCACGCGCAGGTTGTCCTGCAAACGGTGGAAGTTGTTCAGTGAAATGCTGTTTGGATGAAAGAACAAACAAATTTTATTGTTCTGTTACCGATGAAACAGTAAGTTAATAACCGAATAATTCATTGCAGCACCATAATGCTTCTGGAAAAATATCAAATATCGTAAAATCGTGTCTTGGATTGGCAACATACCATGTTTCCCCGTTTTCAATTTTCTTTCGAAAAATACCACTAGGGCTTATTTTGGGGAGATGAATTTATTTTCATTTATCAGAAACAAAATTAAAATGTAGAGAATTGCAAGATTTTCAAACATACAAAATAATTAAACCGATATCCATTTACTTATAAATAACAGTTTTTATTTGAAAACGGCCCGCTATCGACTAGGTCTTATTTTAAGGGGATATATTATATTATATATTATATTAAAATCATTTTAAAATTTTGGATAGGAGGATGGGTTTTATACTCAGACTAGGTCTTATTTCGGGGAAACACGATATATATATATGCGTGTGTGTGTGTGTGTGTGTGGGCAAGACAGATTTAAAAACGCAAGTTTAATCTTTTCATTTTTTTCAGCACTTTGGCATAAGGCAATGTTGGAGGTAAATTCTCGGTTCGTCAAAAGATATACACACACGTGTGGCGGATGTTAACACAAGGGTTGCCAAAATAAAATATATAATATCTACATTTGAATTTTTGTGTAGGAACAGTGTGTGCAGATTCTCTCTAGAATAATGTTGTCGAGGCACGGGAAAGGTAGAACTCGACACCGATATCGGCACGCAACCTTCCAACTTCTATGTGACTTTTTACCATTTAAACTGCAACTTTATAAGTTTAAGGACGATTTTCATAATCACTAAACTTGAATTCTTTTTTGAAGATACAACGTAAATATTACCTGAACTAACAGAAACAAAAATCTAAAATTTCGAGATTCCGTTAAAAAGTGTCTTTCATTTTGATACTTAATCCATAATTTTGAACTCATTAAATAATTGTTCAAAGATGCCCCATAACAGCTAATTTTGCAAAACGCTACGCTGACCTAATGGAAACTGTCCATTAACAGAGCGTGTTTGTGGTTACCATTGGTTACGAGGTAAACACTTGAGGGAGCTTTAATCCGAAGGAACGATTCCTGCCATCTATGTCAATCGTAGTAGGAATTAGTTTTGTTAAAATATTTGGATCGGTGCAAATATTCTGAAAGATTTCTACAACGAGAGGGTATTTGAAGTATATTTTTTAAATATCAAATAATTCTAGAAATAGAATTTACACCGAAGTGTTTACAATCTATGCTTTGGCGGGGATTCAAAGGGATTAATACCACATGTATAAACAGGAACACGACGATGATTCATGTTTGAAATCTTTTGTATTGGCATAGGAACAATCCACGATTTTTGTTTAAAAATTTGTTGATCTTTCTGCTGTATACATTTGTCAGATAAAAAAACAGAGTAGCACTGAGAAAAAGAAAGTAGCACCAACTCATGTGGAAAAGTTTAAAACTAATATATTCGTAGGAATAACTACAGACGAGTTGCTATGAATCTGATAGCGTTTTTATCTCGTAGAAATACCATAACAGAATGGGCCAAAAAGTCCCAATTGCTGAAATTATTGGGATTACCTCAGACAATAGGTCTAAGTAGACAGGCATAACTCCAGCGATCATTTGTTGTGGTAGTGCGGTAAACAACTAACCTAGGTTGCGATGGACGAAGGCGCTTTTTATGGGATTTACATTGCTTTTGTGTTGTGGATCAGGAGTAAAGTTTATATAAAATATTAATTTACATGAAATGATATGCCTTGTTTGACCAAGCATACGACAAACGTATTTCTCACGGGCCATACTTCATCATTTGGATATTTGCCCATATAAAAGCCAGCTTTCTCGGTAGCCTACAAGATCTGGACCTCGACAATGAAAGGCTGATTTCTGAATATATAGTTTGCTATCTTCAGGTACTACACAGTTCACTTCTGTCCCTAGAGGCATTTACTTGCGCCAAACTACGTTTGTCTTTTTTGTCAAAAAGATAGCTTTGTTGATTGTGACTTAATCATAGAAAAAAATGGAGACAGAGTAACTCATTGTGCAAAACGGATAGTCAAATTGAATCAGGTTTATTTATTCATGTAAGTGAATGACGCGTCAGGCCTTATTATTATGCAGGAAAAAACTATGTACATGTGTCCTGATTTCATATACTACCAACTCTTTTCATTTAAAACATAGTTGTTGGCTTAGTTAAATTCAAGATGTCGTGAGGCTCTTCTTCAAAATATCGAGGTAAATTTACTACAAGTAGCTCAATCAATTAAACATTTTTAATCCTCAAGCATACTTATTTCACAACTTGCTGGTTTTAAAATGTCTTCTGTGGATTATTTCGATGTGTTAAATTGCTAAATCATTTTATCGTAGACCCGAGCGCCCGGGATTCGCATTGAGCCATAAAATTTCAAACCAGATTATCATCCCAAGAGTTGCAATCGGTGTGACTCTTTGAGAAGATCGAATTTATTTGTTACCTTGAAGCGGTATAAAATGTGGAGTTGCAAAAAATATACTGTAGTCAAACTTGTTTAACAGACTGTGATTCCAAAACTTCTCACTGATACAAAAAATAAATTGCTTGTTGGCCGATTTCAAATTAAAACTCAACTCGTTCCGAGTACAACGAGAAAAGCCCCGATCCCACTTACAACTATATGCAATGATCATCACTGCCCGAATAAATCATTTCCATTGTTCTATTATTAGTTTGCAAATATGAAAGCATACTTATCTAACTAATATCTAAATTGTACAATATGGGATCGGGGGTGAGCAAATCACAACAAACAAGACCAGTCATCGGATACTCAGAAGATGGCAATACGTCTGAAGCCCAGGTTTCTTATTATACAAAACGAGAAGAATATAATTCAACGGGCACGCCAGCAACGAGCAAACGTGAGTTTGGATGAAATCCACTTTTTATCAAGACATAACTTGAACCTTTTTTTTTTAATTTTTTGAAATAAGTCCGCTCTGCAAGGCTGACAAACGGTTTGATATCCTGTATGCTTCAACACGTACCTGTATTTTGGAATAATGCTATTTTGTTAATTACTGATATTCGCTTGACTCGAGATGAAACATACTTTATCTCCCTTTAGCGCTTTTTTGTTACAATTTATACAAATATATATATTTTATTGCATTGTCCAGTCGACACTCTAAAATTCACAAAAAGTACACATTCCTGGCAGATATTCTCTGAAGACATAATCAAAATATCTGTAATTAGGCTGGATATGAGCAATTAGCTCACTCTATTTTTACTTTTCATATAAAAGATAGGTATAGATACGTTGCACCTCTAGTTTAAGACTACTTTACCTTATTTATTACTTGGTCTGTATTTTGTATCAGACTGCACTCAAGAATGAATTAAAAAAAAAATTTTGATGCGCCATAGCGTTCAATGGACAACTAATTTATGCTACTACTGCATGATTTCCAGATCTGCAAGCTAGACGACTACGCTTTCAGGTTCACACACCAGCTCCTCATGCCGTGTCTTTTTTCTGTCATATCCAGTATTCACTCATTATAGCATTATACTCGATTATTGCCTGATTACTCAATCATCAATCAGACGATCGCGAGCTATTTTGACGATTTTAGTCGATCGCGGTCGAAAGCAGGTTGTCCACCCTGTCATACACCAATATAAAACTGCTCCATTTCACCATAATATATCTGACATCTCCTACACGTCAAAGAACTTGTAATAAAGACAGGAAATACTGCGGTGTTATCCAACTCAGTGGCTCATATGTGAGAATGGGAATGTAAGTTCTCGGTTAATTCTCGGCACTATCTTACCGCAGGTAGTTGATTGTTCTTGGTTTGATCTTTAAAAATTTTCATCTCGAAAACTAGGTCAATTTAGTATAAATGATAAACGCCAAAAAAATTCCAATATTTTTTTTGTGTCAGTGAATGAAAATGGACCTACTATTTCGGCGGTTGTAATGTCGGCTAAAAATATGGCTGCTTTAAAAAAGAAAGAAAAGGAGGAAGCTAGAGAGAATATACTGTTAGAACATCCAGAGTTGGCAGGTAAAATTGTATCATTTTTTCATCAAAAGTTTAATAACGACAAGAGTATTCTTCAGCGATTCCTTCGTACCATATTTTATATTTTTGTTAACCTCACTTATTTATGTTCTTCGAATTAGAAAAATATACTTGTCTTATTGCATTTAAATTTTCTTTGGCGAGATTCATTATTTTTGGGCGTTTTGCAATTTAGATGTTTTCATCGCAAAACCAGGACCTTATATATGTCCTTATGGAAAACTTTTTTATTAGATGCCATGGATTCTGTGCGTGATTATATGCAGGAAATTTCAAATAAGAGAGACGATGACGTCACAAGAAAAAATATGAATTACAATACTCGACAAACACTTGACCAAATTTACAGTCTATATTTTGACTGCGAGGAACAGGTGGGTGCATAACGAAATATTATCAAAGAATATTTTATTTAATTATTTTATTTTACTTGTTTGTATATAGTGAGTTTTTGAAATTGAACCTTGAGTTTCATCATCATACCAAGGTTTAAGTTATTCAATAGGCAATACCATCTAATATTTTTTGGACACGTAGTGGACATAACGATCGTTTCAAAATTTTGTTGTTATTGTTATTATTTGTCTCCGTCAACACGTTTTGAAGAAATCGCCTTTCTCTTCGTATACTGAACCAATTGCTTTGAAATTTTAAGTGGTCAAAGATAAAAATTTTCTCTAGAAGGCTTTTACTTTTTTTTTTTCGCTATGACGTCATCAAAATTATGTGACTCTACGTGCCCATATATTTGAGCATAGCTCTCTTGTTTAATTGTACTGTATAATAAATTTTCACTCTTCAGGAACACAAACGGATACTGGGAGATCAATTGTCCCAATACAATGCAGGTCAAATATGTACTGATTATTTGAAAGTGTTATCCGAAGATGGTATTAATACTCCAACAAAAGGGTAAATGTTCGATCAAATCTACTGTTTCTATAGCAACAGTTTTCCGTTGTTTAATGACTATATTAGTATTGTGGGCAATTACATATCTCGAGTTCGAGATCCAGGTAATGATAAAACGAGAATAATACGCTGAACATTATCATTTCGTTTCTTGGGCGCCACATAACCTTGAGTGCTTTTGAATAGGGCTTGGCATTTTGAATCGAATAGTAAATTATTCGAATCGGTTCAGACATAACTTTCGAATCACCGCCATCTTTTTTTTGTACGTCAAAGGCCGAGGTGAATTCCTTGATTTTTTTTATTGGAGCTACATTTTCAAAATGCAATTGTGACATATATATATGACTTTTTTCTTCCGAGGTATTGATGAAACATGTTTTTTTTTATTGTGTGTGAACACTCAGCGAACTGTTTGAGAGATGAGTTCTATTTTTTCAGTAATTTATATGTCTGGAGCTCTCATTACAATACAAAAATTACATATAATTACATGACTTCCAAGTATTTGAGATTCGATTCGAATTCGTATTCGAAAATGCTCAGCTCTGAGTTGGCTTTTGTCGTATTAGAGAAATTAATAAGTGCTTTGCTTAATCGTACAAAACTCTTTGATATATATTCGGAGATAGATATACTATTATCAGGCTAGTTTTTCTATTGTAGGTACGATGCTGATTGTTTGTACACGGTAAGGTCAGTTTGTTGGAATTACTCTGATGCAAGCCTAGAATTCGCTGCAGAACTTGGAAGAACTGGATCGTTTTCGATTTTTATCTCTGACATTGTGACTTTCAAAAGCCAACTAGATGATGATGTAAGTGGCTATATTAATATCATTTGCGAACTTCTATAGAAGAATGTCAAATATATCTTCAAATGCTACAATCACATTTTGTTTGTATTTTATCTCATAGGTTAAGATGCTCTGACTATTCAAAAATACAGAAAACATTTCATATTTCAACTCTCTGTCAACTGTATAATAGATTTTAGTAGTCTTCTTCTATTTATTCGTTTCACTCTGTTTTGTGGCATATATTGGACACACAAAAGTTTATAATAACGATATTAATAAGTACTTAAAATTTGTTTGCAGTTTATTCGACGTACAATTATAGAGCCCAGTGTTGCCATTCTACACAATTGTGCAAAGGCTCCTGGCAGCAAAAAATACTTCACAAGCGCAAATGCCTTGGATGCAATTATTCCTTACACGAATGTCACATATCAAGAGGTGTGTATATAAAAGTTTATTAAAATACGCGAATGCTTATACTAGCAGAATGTTCTGTTTATTTACTCCAGTTCTTTATTTTTCTGATACATGTGATTTATATAATTTTGTAGAACAGCGCTTTCAACTGAGCGAAGTTATCAAAGCAGATACTATACCTCAAATATCTCATCTAGCCATATAAAAGAATAAATCTAATTCTAATTTCCTGATTTGGTATCATGTTATCAGAATCTTCTCCTAATGCATTTCTATAATGTTTTCCATTCAAAGCTGAAAATGGTTGCAATGATGACATTGTCGTACATTATTGAAGAAAAGGATAATGATAAGATTTCAGCAGATGGTTCCATGATTGAATTCATCTTAATGGTGAGTGTCAATTTATTAAAATGCGCGTTTGAAATGTTAATTTAAAATCACAAATAATGTCATCCACAAGATTAGTTAGGATTTCTGTGAGAATGATGTGAAAAAACAGGAGACATATTGAAATGTTACAACAGCATGGCTCATAATAGAATTATATGTAATGCATTTATTTATTATATGAAATTGATTAATAAAACACTGACTTTTTCGACCGGGCGGTTCCCGAGTGGATAACAATCAATTGGAAATAATTAATGTCTTTCCAGAGAAACAGGATTTTGTATTTAGATGATAAAACTCAAGTTCCTCGATATATTTTGAAAGTATTCTTGTGATCCAAACGACGTATAGCCTTATGCCCTACACGATACGTTTTTTACGGTACACGGCTATACATAGTTTACAGGTTGTTGACATTAGACAAATGTTTTTCCCTTTTTCAGTATCTGAAAGAGTCTATCAACGGAATTGACCACAAATATGAAGGATTTTCAGCTCATGAAATTGTGTCTGGAATAATGCATCTCGCTTCAAATGACGACAACAAACTTAAAATTGTGAAACAAGGAGTTTTGCCACTTCTGGTAGAATTACTTCAAGATGGTGTGCTTTGATTTCATATTTATTCTTTTATTCATCGTAAAACAAAACTATACTTTTAACAAAAGGTTGCAACTTACACATGTTTAACAGGAGTTAACTCGATTGATTGATCTTATTTTCAAGGACTTCTAAGTCGATGAAATGAATCGGCAAGAGCTCGGGATGGATATATTCCTAAATTGACTTCTGATATTAAGTTTCGAACTGCAATCGATAAACGGTCGCTTACTCAGATTTTTGTATTAAAATATTGGTGTTCTAGTTCTTCAAAATATAAAAAAAAATATAATGTTCCCCAGATTATGTGTCAAAACAAATATCAATGAATTAATTATAATGCGTTGACTGAAATGCTTTTTTTTTATTCAGGTAATGACGCTGAAAAGAAAATCTGCGCCAAGACAGTTTGGGTGTTGTCATTCAAAGACGAAAACAAACCTTTGATACAAGAACAAGAAAACATGATGGAACTTTTGAAAGAACTAGCTGGGAAATCAGGGTGCTTATCATCTTTCGTACACTTTTTTTGGCACACGATTCCTCACCTATTTAATGCAATTTTTCGTTTTTATGTAGAAAAGCAAAAGATGCTGCCGCTGGAGCATTGTGGGTATTAGCGAATGTTGAAAGACTTGAAAAGAAACGATCTAAAAATGAGAATAAAGGTACGAAATTTATCTTTGAAATATTTCCCGGTATTCAAGTCTTTTGTGTAAATAAAAATCAGGTCATAATGATTTATATAAAGATTAATGCAAAATTTAGGATGAGGAATTATGTAGCCTACCTTAAACGAGGCAGCCACGATCACATATATAGTCAGCGCAGTTGGGATGGTTGACTTAGCATACCCATTCAATCAATATACATACCATGGCCTTACACGTTAGGGATGGGTTATCCCTTTTAAGGCAAAAACGATTTTTTGCTGATCTCTATCATATACACATTTACAGTATATACCGGTATACGAAAGCCAGTGAGAAACTTTTTATTAAAAATATTTTAGAAGAGAATAAGGCGCTCGAGTCGAAGTCATCTGAAAATGCAGAAGTTGAAAACAACCAACAGCAACCAGCCAATGATAAAACGCGGGGACATGTTATGATTAGTTACCAATGGGGATGCCAAAAACTGATGCTACGGGTAAGAAAGCATGCACACGATACATCGTCTCAAGTGTGATTACAAGGGTAAAATTAAAAATTTACAATAATTTGATGGCAAACATATTTAATGATAACATTAACGTCATTCTAATTTCCCTGTCTTAAATGGAAACATTCAAGAATATACAGAGAATAAATGGATAATATTGCGGAATGTTCTAAAATCGAAATACTACAAATTGTCATGTAATCGATTCAAATAATGAATATATAATTAGAAAAGCAATCGGGATGACATTTAATACAACTTTCATTAAGGTTAAAGATCGTCTCACGAAGATGAATTATAGAGTTTGGATAGATGTTGAATCGATGGGAGGATCAACACTTCAGGTATGTTATACATTCATTTTTGCAAAACAAATACTTTGTGTTAGCAATGAAAAATTCGCTTCGGAATTCACAAGTATAAATGGCAAAACAAACAATCTTAAATTTATACATAGCTGTTTTTAATATAATATTGGGAAACTAACCAATTTTACACACGGGTACATCGTTTTATGATTTTGAATCCAGCAATAACTCTCTATTACATTTTCAAGGCTATGGCGGAAGCTGTTGAAAACTCAGCAGCAGTTTTAATATGTATGTCTCCAAAATATAAAGACAGTCCTAACTGCAGAACTGAGGGAGAATATGCATACAAACTGGGTAAACCGCTGATTCCTATCCGAATTGAAGCGGGCTATGATCCTGATGGTTGGCTTGGTGAGTTAGAGGAGCAATCACATTATATATGTATATATATAGTCAAAAATATATCCGGAAGTTTAAAATATATTCAGCAATGAGTTAAAATCACTAAAATCAAACTAGCTCTTTCGACTTTCAAGATAAAATATTTAATATGAAACCATTCAATTTCATCATAAAAATTTGCGCGATTATTGAATACACAGTTTGCGGAAAATTTTTCCTTATGTAGATTATTCTCAAGTTCTTCCGATACTGTTATTGCTGATGCTTTCGTTTCAGTACACATTTTGGGTATGGCTTTTTCATACAAATCCTACAAAATCTTGATGCAGATATATGAATGTTGTCAGACTAATATTCGAATATTATACTTAGTCACAATTCAATGTAGTTAGTACTCGTATTTCAAATATTTTAATCATACAAAAGATGAGGCTATAAAATGACCACTGATTTGAAAATGAAAAACACAAAACGAAGGAAACGTGGAAATCAACAACTCGGCAAGCGCGTAGTGCTATTTGTATTTCGTCTAGCTTGTCAGTCAAAATTTTAAACTGTTAATTCGTTCAATTGTTTTCATTTGACAAAACGGAATCCATAAATATACACAAAAGCATGTGTATCCAGTGTCATACAAAGAACCAGGCAACAGATTATCAGAAAATACTCAACAAAAACAGTTGAGCCAAAACGCAATTCAGGAAATCTTATTATTTTTTACTACAACAGATAAACCAGTTTTCAACGATTTGTAATTATTCATTATTTATATTAAACTTTCAAGCAGTCTTTCTCAGCTGTGAAGCGACGACTCTGCCATTTAACATACAAATATTAACCATGTTTGTTCTTGTTTTGGACTTAGGAGCTTTGCAAGGCGCAAAATTTTGGGTTGATTTTAGTAACCTGGTGGCGTTTGAAGTTATGTTTTCTAGACTTATCAAAGAACTGGGAGACAAAGGCAAAGGAGATGCGCAGGTATTACACAGTGATGATATTAGTTAAATAATTCCTGTTTAAGGAATCCTGTGTTGTGTGATTTTTTATTACTAACCACTTCTCATTCAATGTACTCAGATTATTGTGCTCAATTATTCATTTGTTTATCTATCTTAAAATGACTTTTATCATATATTTGTAAAGATTTAAATTTTCAATTTTGTTCCTACCTAACTCACGCTAACCACAAAATATCTCACGTTTTTAACTTTTTCTAAGTTTCATCCATTTTTGCGTAATTATCGCAGAGACAAAACGCAAACATTGCCGGATTCCGATAAAACCTCGTGATTTGGCTTCTTCCGCCAAGCAACGCTCGAGAGTAATAAACAGCAGTTTTTAAAAAAAATGTACTGTCGTCAATCCATTGTTGGAACCTTTGTGGCTCTCCGGCGCGCTTGAAAACCACTTAAAACATGGAGACAATAAATTGTATTTGATCATTATGTTTTTTTCGGCTGATATTCCACCGCTAATCCCATTTTCTGCATGCGAACGCCGCGTAAATTGCTTCGTTTGAGATGCGATATATCATGAGTATTGTTTTATCTATATACATCGTAGAAAATGTTTAAAAAAAATCAATTTTAAATATATAAGATGTAAAACTATGCTATCGTAGTCGATCACGAATCTTGCTGTCATGACTTGTGAGCACAAACAAATTTGGGAGATTATGACAAATCAGGAACACTATGTTATAACGAATCAGCCCTGTGACACCTTTCAGAGAGTTAAGATAATTAACATATTATTTTTGTTGTTACTTAACATATCGTCACGCTAATAACCGAATTGCGTAAGTCATTTTTGGCGATTTTGAGTTTTTTTTTTATAAAATAGGTATTTATGTGCTGATGCTGCGCACCTGTCTGTTAACTCAGATTTTATTTTAAGAATTCCGAAACCTATAAAAATGAAGATTCAGTATGACATGCACATTCGTGCAATTGTTTCATCATAATGAATTATCATTGTTATCGCAGGACTATTGTGATGCACAAAGGAAAAATAACCTCGGCGAATGATTTTTGAGTTTTTGTATCTCGGACTCTAGCTTATCGCGTATTATTTTAATTTATACTACAGTATAGAAAGGCGTGCACTTGTGATATTTACTGTCCGAGTCCAATACACCTTGGTTGGCTTTTATATTGGGTGCATTGCTGTTTTATTCTTTATATTTTATCTTAGTCTTATTTTGATGGGTGTGCAGAACGTGTTATATTGATGGAATATATATTTATAAACATAAAAAATAATGTAATTGAAACTGATAAGCTATTTTGGGGATTAGACATTGTAGATACTGAGAATTACATTCGTTTTTGGAATGTTTAGTTTTCAGGACTGGTGCATATAGTAAAGTTGCAAAATTGCGTATGTCCCCAAGTCATATTAACATTTTTGCCTAAGTCACAGTGCGCCATTATGACGTCACTTAACTGCGTCATACAAATTAACTTAAATCCGGCTACGATAAAAAATTGAACTATGGCAAATTATTGACTCTCAATGGCATAACAATATCATTAGGAAGTTTTTTACGTTTTTCTCAAAACTGCTTAAAATGACTTACGCAATTTGGTTATTCGCGTGACGATATGCAGATGTTCCCATATACATTTACATTTCAAAAAACCATTTGGGACAACTACTTTTTGGTGAATATGTTTGCAGGATTTACAACTGTCTCCAAGTCAAGCTAGTCGTGTAATTGCAAAAGTGCCTCCCCGTCTGTTAGAGCGGCGTAAACCGGTGAACAACTGGACAAAGGAGGACGTTTTGAATTGGGCCACAAAAAATAAAATTCAATCGTGAGTATTATTTAACCAATTTGACGGTGAAGAATGTTTCATTTTTAAATGATTTTATGCCACTCTATTTCGTCCAAATTATTCTTTTACTAGATTTAGAACATTCATACCACCGGGCGTGTTTTTGATACATGAATCCATTTGAATACATGATGAATCTTTGAGGCACATTTACTAAGGTAGCATGTCACACACGTGGAGTTATCGATGACATCTTTGGCGCCTTGCTGCTTCAACCTGCTGTTATTAATGTTCCAAATAGGTAGACAAAAACACTATACAAGATTCATATATATATATTAACTCCTTCAATACAGCAGCCTTTTAATACAACAACAATATACAATCGGAACCAATTAGTATGTGTGTCGTCCCATTCTATAGAAAAGGGCTACAGTCTCATTAGTTCTGCATCATTAGTGTTCAACTTATGAAATTTTTTTTCAGTCGAAAGGTTCAAAGTTTGAACGGAGAGTCTATTGTTTTCTTGAGTTCTATCAAACTATCAGCACCAGAATTCTTTTACAAATACGCTTCAGAAAAGCTTGGAATTACAGAACTTCCGGACCTAATTTCCCTCTGTCGTGGACTGGAAAGATTAGAATTATAGAAAACAATGTCGTTCGTATTTTTGTACAGAATTAGATTAGATATGTTGACTATGATTTTCGTGTCGGAATAAATACGTTTTATTACAAAAAAGTTTATTTTTCAAATACATAGGTGAAATAAATGATACCGTGTAGTGGCGACGCCGTCACCGTCGTAGACTATACCACAAAAACGGTATCCAGGCCGGATAGCGACTGTCATAATTGCGACTTCATAAAAGCGACGTAATCAAGTGAGCGACTGTCAAAACAGCGACTGTCATAACGGCGACCGCATCGAAACAGCGATTGTTATGATAGCGTATTATTTCGTGTTAGGGTTAAAGACCTCTCTACACACGTATGCACGCACAAACAGGCAAACACTATGTAGTGAGAGATTGAAACCAAAAGGGACTTCAAAATAACATTTCATTTGGACAAACCCTAACCCTAGCATAACAGTCGCTGTTTTAATGCGGTCGCCATTATGACAGTCGCTTAAAACTTATCATAGTTAAACTTTTTAGGGACTCGGATGCTACTTAAATTTGGCTTATAAAAATATATATACTTGAGTGCTTTGTGGGGTCGCTTCATACCGGGTTCAATTAAAAACTAATCGGGTTCTCGCAGTTAGGCAAGTACGGTTTATAAATATTCTGCAATCCGTGTTATCGAGTGCCAGGCATATTGTTGAATCATTTTGATTCAGTCATTCAAATTCTTTTTGGTGATTCGGGGCTTTCTATAAGGCGTACGAATAGCTAATTTTATTTGTGACCACAGATCCGACAACATATTTCGTGGGCTAGCCTCTCAAGTTGAAATCTCGTTATTCGATGGAATTCTTTTAGAATTAGTGTGCTAATACGAGGAGAATTCAACAATATATATGTTTTGTAAATTATTCACTCTAACTATCTAAATGCATAGTTACAAGTTACGAAATTATGACATTTCACATAGCTGAGACGAAATAGCTAAATAATGACATTTACTGAATTACAAATAAGTATAAATGTTTTAACGATTTTATATTGATAGTTCATAAAAATTGTTCAAATATGTCACTGTACATTAGTGGTTCTTAACCTTTGTGAGCCTGCCGAACCCCTGCGCTATTCCGCAAGCTCCTGTTGAACCCCAAATTTTTTACTAAAGGCGCAACCTCCAAATTTATAGAAAATTCAACCGTCTTTAATTGACAGAATATGAATTCGTTGCCTTACTGTTGATCATAGGCTGTTTTTTCGGGTTAAATTTAAAGGACCTGCTTAATCAAGAGTACCATCTACCGAAATAAGCCAGGTTGAGCCAATGGTTGTAGCAGAACAAGTTGCAACGAACAGTAAACCTCATTCATTCATTAAATTTATTTGTGTCACTTCTGCTGCTGTTTTTGGTGACCAACTGAGATTTACGTGGTTTCGTTCAGAAATAGCAATTCCCATGTCATTTTCGCATTGGAGTCACTATCAGTTGAGCAGATAATTGTGCATGTTTTTAATGTGAGATATTTTATGCGTGCCTTTCTTACGCATAATGGGTACCCAGCAGTGCATTTTATTACACAAATATATGGTATTATTATATGTTTCACCCATTTTAAATATGTGGTCGGCACATTATTTGATAGTTTTTCTCCGTGTGAAATGTTTTCCAGTGTGCTTTTTTGTCTAGAAGCATATTGAGTGCCCGACATTGCATTATATTACGCAAATATATGTTATTCTTTTCTGTTCCGGTCATTTCAACTTTTTACCGGTCCGCGAGTACATTTAATCTAATTTTACCGGTCCGCCAGGGTAGAAAGGTTGGGGACGGCTGGTATATATTTCAGAATTGCATTGAAAAAATATGCCTAAAATTTAAAAAAAAATGGGTAATTTACCTCGAACATAAGCGTAAGTAAAAAAAAGAAGACGGCGGCGATTCCAAATTTTGCTCTGAACCAATTCGAATAATTTACTATTGGAATATTCGATACGAAGTTCCCATCCCAGCCCTACTCGTTTGCAAAAAGATAATTTTTTTTGTTATTAAAGTTGTGCCGATAGAAAGGGCAAAACGGCGAAAGCAAAATGGCAACATTGGCGATCCAGAATTTGAGATACTGTATCGAAAACATCGGTGACTCAAGTCATACACATCACATATTTCAACCTGTCGTCAGGTGGGTATAAAACCATTTGCCTATTGTTTCACAGAAACAGAGATACGATATATAAAAGCGGCTGAGCGCTATATTAAGGTCGTCGACGGGTGTTGATATTTTTACTCAAAGCTCCGCCATGAAATATTCTGTTCTGGAAATACTATATTTCAGTGAAATTCAAACGTGCCCTAATTTCTCATTCATTTATGTGCACTTATTATATATATTCAACTTGTTCGTAAAATTGATCTACGTTTTATGACTAGGTTATAAATAACATGTCGTTTACGCAAATATTCAGGTTTCAAATCCCGAGGTTTGTAACAAACTTAGATACTTGGAAATCGGAAAGCATCTGAAAATGAGGTCATATCGAGGTACATCGAAGCGCGTGACGTCTCTCATTGACAGGTCTTATAAAACATTTATCTGCGCAATACTACACAAAAATAAGCTATTCCATGAATGTTGAAATATGGATATCTGCCTTAAATTATAGTTAATTTTACATAATTTCTTGACTCGGGAAGAAAAGTAGCCTACTTCATAATATGCAACAAGTTTACACCTTTCGACGAAGGTCGAACCACTAATACAACTCCACCGAACCCCAGGGGTTCGATCAAACCCAGGTTAAGAAACACTGTTGTACATTGTAAAAATAATAAGTTTATGTTATGCAAAAAAGTGAAACATATGATATGGTTATCACTCTTTCAGCTGCTGTACCCGGAAGTATGACTGGATTGGAAGTCCCAGTCCATAATACACAAAAAAACGAAGCTTGTTTCAGCGTTTATGCAAACAATTCGCTTACTAGCGGGCTGTGACGTAAAAGGAAATGATGGATGGAGCACTGGTTTTCCTCTCTCTCTCTGTCTCTCTCTCTCTATTGTTACTATTTGAATACATACTTGCACCTTCTTTCAATCATCTATAGATAGTTCAGGATGATTCTCACTTCCACATACTGCTCCATTCATTGACCGAAAAAGCACCTGTCATTCGATTACTTTGTTGCATTGTTATTCTAAGTTCCTTGTAGTTGGATCTGAAACTGTAAACTGATGCAATAGTTTCGAATTCAGAGAAAAAGGGACAAAACTGTATATCTGACTCGAAGAGCTGTGAGCAATTTGTGTCGTGGAAGTTCTGCGCTTAACAGTTTAATTATCAGCTGCTAATCTGTTTAGCACATCGATTTTAACCGAAAAAAGACGTTGACTATAAATGATTTCAAAATTGTGGTGTAAGGATTAGAGACTAATTTTTATATTTCTATAAAATTTTTATCAAATGCAATCTCAGAGCTGTCGACCAATAAAACTTGATAGCTTGGGTTTGAATAATACTGGCACGTTTAGGTGAAAAACATCATAATATTACAAGATGCAATGTTCGTTAAGTACAATGGCCATCGTCTGTGAGACAATGCAGAAGCTCTTAAATACGATAGAAGACGACATCAGAAGGAAGACAATGAATGATGATATTCGGCAAATATTCGAATGTATTTCCAAGCTACATTCCCAAAATTCAGATCAGGCAAGTACATATAATGAATATAAAAAGAAAGTACTTTGGGTGGACTATTAAATCTTGAGAGATGAAAGCATAGCGTTCACACTATGATATCAGCATTTTCAAATGGATTTATGCACTTAGTTTGAACATATTATTTTAACTCGGAGTCGATTACTTTCTGTAAAATTATATGCAGTCATTTATGAAACTGTGTTGTTAACTTGCTACAATTTTTTTGCTGTGTTGTGTGAAATGGACCTATTTCATTGTTTGCTGGTTTTAGTAATAAATATTCAATTATCCATCATTTAATTTCTGAGTGATGTAGTACGGCACAGCGCTACAAAATTGTATTCATGTTTGTCCGGTCATCTCTATTAATTTTTTGAATCAAGTTTATCTAGCATCAAAGGTTGACTGAGCAGTTAATTATTGACTAAAAGCGCGTTCTTACATTCAGATAATATTATACTTGTTCTAGGTTTAAATTTATGGGTGCAAACTGACTAATCGAATCTTTTGTTATGGTTGTATTTTGCTGCGCAGGGAGAACTACTGGGAGACAAATTATCACATCACGGAGGCGGTGAAATATGTGTTGACTATTTGAAAGCTTTGTCCGAAGATGGGAGAAATACTCCGACTGATGGGTGAATTTTTGTGTTTCCATCAAACGTTTACTCTGTTTCCACTCTATGTAATCATCACGCATTGCAAATTAAGCTTTGTGTTAATCAGAAAAATTGAGAATATGGTCATCAGACCTTAGTACTGAAGCATTTAAGCTTTATTACTTGGCTTATAAAAGTGCTAGAATTAAAATTAATTACGATTTAAACCAGGGTTCCCCAAATTGGGGTTCACGGAACCCTGGGGGTCCGTGATGACTGCACATGGGGTCCGCAATGATATGAGGAGTCTGATCGATCGATCGATTATTGATTTCAATGAAAAATTCATTGCGTCTTTTTGGTTGGGCGTTTCGGACAAATATGCATTTCTGTCAGAAAAAACAAATAAAGTTTTATTGTCTTTTTAACGACCTACATGTGTGAGGCAGAATTTACAGCTCTTACCAATATGATGACAAAATACAGGTCGAGACTTGCCGTAGAGTCGGACCTACAAGTTTGCTAGCCACAAATTGCTCCGAGAATTGATAAATTGTTTCATGAAAAGTAACCTCATCCATCACTTTAACGTCGTTTGTGGTGTATATGAAACGATATCTTACCTCGTTGGTTAGGCACAGAAATTGATACCGCATGGTATGGGGTCGAAACTAAGATTCACAATCAGGGGGCAGCGGCCCAAAAAGTTTGGGAAACTCTGATTCAGGCAACAGTATGTTTCGATTTTTTGTGCTAAAAATTAGAAAATATATTGTACAGGTACGAAGCTGAATGCTTGCAAATGATAAAACACGTTTGTTGGAACTATTCCGATGCAAGTTTAAAATTTGCTGCGGAACTTGGAATAACGGGGTTATTTCCCATTCTGGTCACTGAATTGACAACTTTTGAACACAAACTGAATGATTCCGTACGTAGTGCAATATTTGATGTTACTTGAAACTATTTAATTTTTTTAATAGAAAATCACAATGTAAGAAAGTTGTGTGCTGGAATTCTTGATGTGAAAAGATTGCACTGTATGGACGGCAGCTGATCAAGTTTAGTGTATATTAACAGTATAAGCACATAAACATACTACGTCACTATTACATAAAAATATAGTTATAATTGCCAAGATGATAATTTCGGCCACACAAGATTTCATACCATAACTTTTCTATCTGGTAAGTCGTGGGCGCATATATTGAGTTTGGATTCGAGTTTATATAGGCGAACAAAACATTTGCATTCTCGCTTAATTGTTCGGGCTGTTACTTCTAAATTTGTCTCGAGTCTCGAGTTCGCCATCTACAGCTACTACTCAAATAAATTTCTACGTTCAACTGCGTTTACACTGGGTTTAAATAATTTTTGACTGTATTTACAGATGATTCGGGATACAATTATATTACCCAGCTTATCAATATTGCATAACTGTGCAAAGGTTCACGACAACAAAAAGTATTTCAACTGCGCAAAGGCATTGGATGCAGTACTTCGCTATGCGAGTGTCGAAGACCAGCATGTTAGTATGTAGAACAAAACGATTTTAATGGCAATGAATAGCTTTATCAAATTGAAGTATATAATTTAGTTACATAGTTTGATATTTTTTTTTGAATGTATTGGGTATTCGAATTAAACGGAAATGGTGCATGCAAATACAAGTAGATTGAGGCGACCTAGATTTGCCATCAGTTCTGATAATAAAAAGCAACACAATATGGTGCATACAGTGCTGCTCAGTTAAGCCATGATTTTATGGTATATATAACATATATAACAGGGGTGGCCGCCATGTCTTGTCGATCGCCATGTCCCGAGTAGTCGATCGCGGCTGATATTGAGTGAATTTAATAAAATACTTTAAAAAATTGCCTTGAACCAGTTTCATGCAGCGCCTGACAAATTAACATGTGAGTAGGCAATATATCTGAATTGTGTTATTTGAATAAATCTTGATTAAACGATGAAACTTTACTCCGGGCACAACTACATAATCAAATTACCAAATTAAATGGAACATAAAAAATACAAATTTTCGTGGCGATTTCATTAGGAGCCCACAGAGTCAGCCTATTGGCAGCGGAGGAATTTTGCATGCGTGTGTGCAGTTATCTATCTGCATATTCAGTTTTTGTGTATGAACTTATTACCGATCAGTCGATCGCGAGCTTTTTTGAAGATTTTAGTCGATCGCGGTCGAAAGCAGGTTGGCCACCCCTGCCCATGTATAAAATATGTGGCCATTTTGTGTATAATTTTTAACTGACGTACAGTAGCAGAAGTTTTTTCATGCCAAGTTACTCTTTATTTTTATTACGAAGATCAAAATGGTTGCGATGTTGACATTAGCATACATTACGGAGGAGGATGGAAATGGGACGGATAAATCTGTGTTCGACTTCATTCTGATGGTGGGGATTCATTTTATTAAAATAAACAAAATGATTACAATGTTAGAAGAATGTTTAACATACTCACCAATAGGATTCAATTTTACTCTTGTTTTTAGTGTTTTATCGGAATTTAAGTGCGAGTTTTTTTCATTTGTCCATAGAACTTGAAACATTGTATGGATGATGTAGATCACAAATACAGAGGATTCTCGGCTGAAGAATTAGTTTATGGCATAATGAAATTAGCTTCAAACGATGATAATAAGCTTCAGCTTGTAAAACAAGGAGTGTTGCCAGTGTTGGTTCAGCTACTTCAGAAAGGTGTGTGTTCAAACATTTTAAAGGATTCCTATCTTTTATATTAAATCGATCACTTTTTCATTTCGCACCAAATACTAAACAGATTGTGACAAAAGTGATTTAACCCGAGTTATGGCCTAACATTCAATGCCAGCCAACAAGGCCATATTACTTTATACAATGTCTTCAATACAGGAAACAGCACTGAAAAGGAGGTAAGCGCCAGAACAGTTTGGATTTTGTCGTTCAGAAATGAAAACAAGCCTATGATACGGAAAGAAAGAAACATGATGCAAATGCTGAAAGAACTAGCTGGAAAGCCAGGGTACGTATATTTCTCCGACCCGCCATGTTTATCGGAAACCCCACTCGGATTTGGACAATGAAAACCTTAGGCCAGTGGTCCCCAACCTTTTTGACGTCGCAAACGCCTTTGAATATTTTTCATATATCGGGATCCCTTTCACGATAGTTGCTAAATTTAAATTAGAGAGAAAAGGATATTAATCTTGCATGCGTTTCCTACGAAAAATACGTTATCTCGAACCAATTCAAATATTATCATTGTTTCATTATCCCGTTATCTCGAAGTTTACCGAGTACCGTATTTTCGACTGATAAGCCGAGTTCAGGACCTAGGTTTTCGACCTGATTTTCTGAGGTTGGCTTATTGAGGGGATTAGCTTTGTACCAGAAAATACTGAAGATCAAAATCATACGTTTAATTTCACAAATGCAGCAGATGTATATATCTTTTCACGGCACAATAATAAACAATATTTTTTCGCATCGGCCCATTGTGCGGTGCGGTACCAGAAAATACGGTAAGGAAACGCATAACTCGTACCCTTATGAGTCATGTTACGAGTGTACATTTCATTGTGCATGAAAGGTTTTTTTGCAGTCTATGAACTTACAGAATACTAATTCAATTGAGATTATAGATAAATTTGTTTCCTGCTTGAATGCAAAAAGTATTACGCACTCACGCCTGTTAGCAAACATTGTTCGCATCATATGAGCCTTTGCAGTCGCGCAATTTCCTTGCAACAAACTAGGATGATATACACAATGGCCCTTACAGTTGAGAAATTTGCAAGCAATAATTCAGCAGAACAAACATAGGTAAAATTTCAAACCTGTCATAACTATAAGAAATTTCCGCCGTAATCGTTAAGTTATCAACAAATAAAAATCTAACGCCAAAGGGGTAAAATATATTACTCATGGTTGAATCAAAATGCGTAAATTGGTATTCAATGTTTTAATTTTTCTGCTTATATACAAATATTATTTTTCCATCACCAGTTAAGATAAATTTTATAGAAAAAGGTCCTACATAATTATTTTTGTTTAGCGACTCACTAAAAAGTCAGTGGGAACCACTGCTCTAGTACAGGGGTTCTCAAACGTTTGGTGCTATGGAGCCCTTGAAAAGGATGACTATTATGAAGCCCTAACACAAATTTATAAAAATGATTGTTGTCCTTTGGAACTTATATATACTTGAATTATCTCATTGGTGCCTCATTTCGACGATACTGTTGTCAAATTTTATTAATATCTTCATTGCTTCTTTGAACAGTGACAAAATTAACCAATTCAGTAATTTAATAAGTAAACGGATAGCTCACGAAGGTTTCACTCACGGAGCCCTTGGGCTCCGATTGGAGCACATTGGAAACCTATACCGTAAGAAATGACATTTGTGAGGCTCCTGGTTACCAACTTTCGATCGTCTAATGTCCAAATAAAAAATCAAGAGCGGAGTCGCTGTTTATCGCGACATTTTGAGTATCTCACGTGGTGTCTTCTTATTTTTTGTAGAGAAGCGAAAGAATCAGCTACCGGAGCCTTGTGGGTTTTACAACCCAAAATCGAATGTGACGGTACGAAATTTTAAATATATATATTTAGTTTTATTTACATAACTATATTAAACCATTATGCTTGCAGGCTACTACGGAACTGTGTAAATATTCCGATTTTGCCTTGGAAGAACATTCAGTATATATATATATATATATATATTCGAATCTCACAAATGTAAAAAAACCACTAATCAGGTAATACATCCGAATGGCTAAGCTGCATTTGCCATTGTCACTGGTACGGCCGATGGAAAGTTAAAATTGAGCTAGCTAACTGTTTTTGTGAAGGTTTCATCTAGAAGTGATGTTCGTTTATGTTCAGCCTACTACTTTTAAGCTATGCTGCAAAATTGCCGATATATATATACTTCGTCAAGCAGACAAACTTGCAACTAAATATAGAAAATGCTAGAATACTTGTAGGTTAGATCAGTGTGTAGCTGCTTAAACTGCGCACGATTACAACAATAACGTGACTCAGTCCTATTGATATGGAATAGTGTTTTGGACACCTTAGCAAATATATATTACTCATGCTGCAGAAAACGTGAACTGGATTTGTGCAATCCTTCAAATAACGTATAATATAAAGATTAGTGTTGTACGTATTATTATATAATAACAAATATTCACATATATAGCTATAACAAAGTATACTATTATTTTTAGCTGTGGGTTATTGTGGAGGAAGCTCTGGTAGTGACAAAGGCAAAACACAAAAACATGTCATGATCAGTTATCAATGGAAATATCAAAAACTGGCTTTGAAGGTATACTGACATATGTGCAATGTTATATAAATTGCTTTTAATGAGTTCAAGCAGTAGGCTATATTGTAATTAAATGACATTCCGACTATTTTGACAATATTGAATGACAAGCCATAAGTTGAATTGAAAGAGTTTGAAGCCAAATCTTTGATATCAAAATCTTTTGCTATAAAAGTCTAGGGTTGGGAATTTCCGTGAAACATTTTAACCGTTAACCAGATAAAATTAACGGGTTAACCGCAGCGTGCAGTTTGACGTAATAAGTTGAAATTAAAGCTTGTTACGTCACAGTGGTGTCAGAGCGATTTCGCAGTTTTGGTCCACTTGAGACTGGAGCGGTGGAAAGTTAATAGATCCAGATTTAAATGTGTAGCGGAAATGTCGCAAAAATATATGTATGTAACTGCTACACGTGTACCATCAGAGTGTGTATTCAGTAGCACAGGAAATATTGTGATTTCAAAGCGTTCGCCAATACTTCCCGAAAATTTCGATATGCTAATTTTCCTGCCACAAAATGCGCACTTGTTGAATGGCATTGAATAGACGCTCTCGCACTAAAATCATAAAACATTATATCGTCACGCTAATAACCGAATTGCGTAAGTCATTTTTAGCAGTTTTGAGTAAAACGTAAAAAACTTCTTAATGATATTGTTATGCCATTGAGAGTCAATAATTTGCCATGGTTTAATTTTCTGATCGTAGCCGGATTTAAGTTAATTTGTTTGACACAGTTATGTGACGTCATAATGGCGCGCTGTGACTTAGGCAAAAATGTTAATATGACTTGGGGACATACGCAATTTTGCAACTTGCCTATATGCACCAGTTCTGGGAACCAAACATTCCAAATACGAATGTAATTCTCAGTATCTACGATGTCTAATCCCCAAAATAGATGATCTGTTTCAATTACATTATTTTTTATGTTTTAAAATATATATTTCATCAATATAACACGCTCTGCACACCCACCGAAATAAGACTAAGATTAAATATAATGAATAAAACAGCAATGCACCCAATATAAAAGCCAACCAAGGTGAATTGGACTCGAACAGTGAATATCACAAGTACCTCCCCCTCCTATACTGTAGTATAAATTCAAATTTATAAGCGCTGAGCTAGAATCTGAAATGCAAAAACTCGAAAATACTTAGAAGAGGTTATTATGTCTTTGTGACGTCACAATAGTCCTGAGATAACAATGATAATTCACTATGACGAAACAATTGCACAAATATGCATGCCATACAAAATCTCCATTTTTATGGGTTTCGGAATTCTTAAAATCAAATCTGAGTTAACAGACAGGTGCGCAGCATTACATAAATACCTATTTTAGAAAAAAAACCTCAAAATCGCCAAAAATGACTCACGCAATTCGGTTATTAGCCTGACGATATTCAGGACTGACACTGATTCTGAACTTGTCATTGTCAAATTTTCATAATCAGCAATATAATTACACCTACTTCAATTATTTTTATATTTTATTGGTGGTTATCAATTATGTTAGTGATGTTCTTTTGAATCAAACGCCACGGGAGATAAATTTGCGGTGAACTAATTATTTTTGAAGAAATTGTAAAGTATAACGGGGATTATTACCTGAAATGTTAGTTAACGGTCAAAATGAATCGTAACCGTTAACCAGCCAAAATAGGTTAACCGGTTTACCATTCCCAGCTCTGTATAATAAACATTTATATGTCGAAAAAATTCGGCGTTAGTGACCCCGATGTATTGTACAGCGACGAAGAATTGAAATTTGAATAAGTGTATTGGACGCTATATGTCCAGGCGAATACTAATTGTTTCTAATTGAGTAATCAAAATATCTAATTATATGATGCCTAAATAAAGATCATATTTTCTAAATACTTTCAAAGATTAAAGATCGTCTGAGAGAGATGAACTATAGAGTGTGGATAGATGTTGAGTCGATGGGCGGTGGATCGTTGCTTGACGTAGGTTGCAATTCAATTGATTCTGACTGTACTAAATATTAAAATGTTTAATTTTCTATTTGAATAATTTTTCTATTTCATGCATTTTTTGTTCAAGACGATGGCAAAGGCGGTTGAAAATTCCGCTGTTGTTCTAATATGCATGTCTTCAGAATATAAGCAGAGTCCCAATTGTAGAACAGAAGGCGATTATGCGTATAAACTGCGCACACCTATAATCCCTATCAGAACTGAAGTAGGATATAAACCTGACGGATGGCTCGGTAAGTTTTCGAAAGAAACGAGATCCTTTTCATGCACATGTATACAATCATGCCCACCAAGTTTAAAAGTAATTATCGCAGCACAAGTCAAAAAAGCTTTAACGGTAAAAATAGAAAACGATTTCGCAAAACTTCATTGTATAAGGATTGAAAAAAGTTAATGTATACGTTACGTTACATAGTAGAAATTGTAAAAAAAAAAATCGACCGAACTTCATTGTGTGAATTATATCTAGTATAGCAAATCATTTGTCATGTTTTTATCTTAAGGGGCTTTGATAGGCAGCAAATATTATTACGATTTCAGCAACCCGATGGTTTTCGATGCTATGTTTTCTAAACTTGTTGAAGAACTGGGAAATAATGGAAAGTGCGATGAGCAGGTATATTGGCTGTCATTTTTATTTAGAACATTTGAGCATTTGAGATTTTATTGATTAACAACAACGGCACAATTGGAAGCAATCCTCGCATTGATTAATTTACTCTTATACCGACTTATATGAAACGTTCGGACGTTATTTGACACACCTTTGAAAACCTTGTAGTAAATTCGGGTCAGAGATCTGCTGCACGCGATTCGTGGTCGGCCATAAGACCAAGAGTAACTCTTGATGTATTGAACTGTGATCAACATTACTATTTTATTTGTGTGCTTATGTATACCTAGTCCTAGAGTGTGCAAATATTTCCCCGTGTTCATTTTGAGTCCATGGATGTCTGTTTCGCGTAAGATCGCGGTATTTTCAGCACAGAGTGCGGCTATTGATTCTTTGGCTCAATTGTTGTTATTGGCTGAAACAATTGCGCTTTTCACGTAACTAATGAATCGTTCTAAATTTTCGGACACGAAAATGGGAGAAGTTGCTATAGGAAGCTATAAACTGTATTTTTTTAAATTATTCAAGTATTTTCTTTATAAATAGGATGGGCCAAAATCGCAGGATGCACCAAAATCGCAGGATGGGCCAAAATCCATAGTGGAAGCCGGTGAAGTACTTACAAACGACTCTCCCTGTCAGAAGACAAAGTCCGTGAATATCTGGACAAAAATTGAGGTGTCTAAGTGGGCCACAGAAAATCAGATCAAATCGTAAGTTCAGATAATGGTTAATTTTGATGTCTTCAAAAAATAAACACAAAGTGGGAAATATTCAGTCAATGTCTTAGGTCTGTTTATATGATCTGAAATGTATGTTTCCCTGTGTCGCTTCAGGTCTTATGTTTGCCTGAATGTAGCCCAACGATAGGATTCTGTATTACTCTAATAAACGAAATCAAATAGATTTAAAGCAAATATGATGTATATCACTCAAGCTCTCCTCAGTTACTTTTTTCGTTTCCAGGCAAGAAGTTCAAAATTTAAACGGTGAATCTATTGTTTTCCTAAATTCACTGAGATCGTCGGCACCAGAATTTTTCTACAAATATATTTCAAAAAAACTTGGGGTGACTGAACTTCCTGACCTTATGGCTTTTTGTGGAGCATTGGAGAACTTGGAATGATAGAAACTAGTGATACTTTGACCTTTGATTTTCATCATGAACAATACCCGTAAAATGGGTTGTTTTTCGTTTCAACTATGTGTGTTTGTTCTATTCGCAGGTATAGTGAATGGGATAACCTTTTTTGTAAATACTTACATCCTAAAATTGTTTAAACGTTACATTTGTTGGTATTTTCGACCGATATCTTTTTTTGGATGCTTGAATTAAGGCAACGAACCTGTATTTTATATTATAGTTTAGTTATTGAGTGAGTTTTAGCTAGGAAGACCGAAACTCCATTTTTAAGACAGTGGCCATTTCTGAAATGTGTCATCTAACGTTTTATACTTCCTTATGACTGTCGTTGCATGTGAATAACCTTTCGTGGTGACTGTGAAGAGTAACGCTATTCTCCACTGTTTGAAAGACATTTACATTCGTCGGTGACGTCAAGTTCTATGTGCAAATTTTGCATTAGCTTGTGGTGTTCTGCGTTCTGTCAATTCCCGATATATATATTTATATTGATCATTTTATGAATATGTTCGATAGGATTTAAGATGAAATAGGCTTTATGTGTATATGCCTACGTTCAAGAAGTTTTCACTTTTTTTTTGGCTTTTCACCTTTGGTATTGTAAAAATAAATATGATTACAGGATTGCTCATTTTGTTTTATTTTAAAGCAGTGTTACCTGGCTTGGTCAGCTTGCAACTTTTTTAAACTTTGAGCTGCCAGATTAAAGATTTTTGTATCGCAACGGAATCGAATAGTTGTTATCCACGACTTCAACTATATATAAGTCACGAGAATTCTTATTTTCATTTTGCACGTCTTGGGGGTGCCAAACATTCTTTAGTCCAGGGTATCCCAAACTGTGTGCCGCGGTCTTGAAGGTGTGCCACGAATTTTTACAAAATTCCTAAGATTTCTTCACAATAATCAACAATGCAACATAAACTTTATTACTTTGCAATCAGTAATGGGTGTAGTTCGGTATCACACACATATTTTTATATATGGATAAGGTGACCCAAAAACGAAACCCAGTCCATTAGGAACATATTGTATGGATTCTATTTTTTTGGGGTCACTATGTATAAAGATTTATTATTCTATGCCCACCGATAGGTTATGTAATATGCCACACTTCTCTAATACATAAAGCGTTATACGTTTTTAAGAACCCAACACAAGAATTCAAATTCGCTCAAAGCAAATTCGCAAGACTTTAGCTAGACAATCTTCTTAAAGCGGTCCGCAATTAGGAAGTTGAAGAGACTAACAATGCATATTATGCAATACAATATATATCGTCACGCTAATAACCGAATTGCGTAAGTCATTTTTAGCAGTTTTGAGAAAAACGTAAAACACTTCCTAATGGTAATGCTATGGCATTGAGAGTCAATAATTTGCCATAGTACAATTTTTTGATCGTAGTCGGATTTAAGTTAATCTTTTTGACGCAGTCATGTGACGTCATAATGGCGCACTGTGACTTAGGCAGAAATGTGTCTATGACTTGGGGACATACGCATTTTTGCAACTTTAATATATGCACCAGTCCTGAAAACCAAACAATCCAAAAACGAATGTAATTCTTAGTATCTACGATGTATAATTCCCAAAATAGCCAATCTGTTTCAATTACATTATTTTTTATGTTTAAAAATATATATTTCATCAATATAACACGCTCTGCACACTCATCGACATAAGACTAAGATTAAATATAGAGAATAAAACAGCAATGTACTCTTATATAGTAGCCAACCAAGGTGAATTGGACTCACCTGAAGACAGTGAATATCACAAGTGCACGCCTTCCTATACTGCAGTATAAATTCAAATTTATAAGCGCTAAACTAGAATCCGAGATGCAAAAACTCGAAAATCCTTCGCCGAGGTTATTTTGCCTTTGTGACGTCACAATAGTTCTGCGTTAACAATGATAATTCATTTTGACGAAACAATTGAACAAATTTGCATGTCATACAAAATCTCAATTTTTGTGGGTTTTGGAATTCTTAAAATAAAATCTGAGTTGACAGACAGGTGCGCAGCATTACATAAATACCTATTTTATAAAAAACTTAAAACCGCCAAAAATGACTTACTCAATTCGGTTATTAGCCTGACGATATAGTACCACAAAATATTTATTTAAATTTATATATATTTAAATTTCCATGATTCTGCGAATATTAATTTTATGCGCTGACAGAAATAAAAAGATAAAAACGATAAAGACTTGTTTCAATTGACCCGCGAAATCTTGTTTTAATCTTATTTACTGCCGAAACGCATAAAAAGGCTTTAATAAAACTGATTTGTAATAATTTTGCCGTGACTTTTTAATCTTGTTGTTGGTGTGCCGCAAGCTGAAAGAGTTTGGGAACCCCTGCCTAGTCCACATCTTTAGAGTTTTTTTTTAGAAAAGTCTCCAATCCAACGAGGAAATAATTCTGGCGTGTAAATGAGTTGCAAGCGACTGGTAGGACTGTATTCTTGAGAGGATAAATGTCAGTGAATACAAATTATGGTATAATGGTAATCACACTTAGGTACTGACCAAAAACCTTACCCTTACTTTATGTTTTGTATTATGACTTTTGTACTTTGTGACGGACTATTGTATCTGTTATTTGTTTGAATTTATTATTTGATTTTCACGAACTGCAGGTAATGACGACAGGTAGTTTTATTCCAATGGTTTAGTTTCATCAATTATTTGAGTGTAAGACTTATATATACCCCCAAATCTGGTTGGATTTCGAGCAGTAGCTATAAGTTCATGCTGTGGCGTGAAAGTTTAAGACGATTTATTTCACAAAAGACGACGATGGTACATCTTGTTTGTCAAACGTAAACAATTGAATACAATTCCCGATCATATCTAACAATAGGCCAAGTCAGACGGAGCGCATAGCGAACGCTTATTGTTAAGGCGGGTCTGTAAACAATGGTATACTGGAGCTACGAAAGGTTGTGAACAACGGAGATTGAAAACAATTTCGGTGAGTTTAGCCAGTTCACTGTGATCAACTATATGAGAGGAAAATATTATCATTACAGGACATCATGCAACTCGAAAATACAATACAATGATTATAGTACGATATACTCGTGTAAAAATGCAGGACAATGTCATTTTAGATGAGCAGGTGAATTCGTTAGGTTAGGTATCCGATCATTTTGTTCAGTCAGAAATTATGTATTGCCAACAATTTATTGCTTGCACATAGCTAAAAAATCATTAAGTGGTATAGTTTATCATTTTGTACAGTAGGCTGTTAAATCACTTGTGAGAGTAGAAATGTTTTGTATGACTATATAGCAACTCTGTGTTAAAAACTGTTTAGCATCACAAAAGCTGCCAAATTCGCAGCAGCGTAATGTTTCAAAAATTCCATAAATAATTTTTCAATTTACACGTATTCGAACACATGGTTGCGTATTGAGATTCTGATTTTTAATACGATCTTACCAAATCTATCGAATTATGCCATACATTGACGTGTGCATTGTTTGTTTTTGTGTAGTTTTCTAAACTAGTACTAACAGTACTGGTACTGTGAAATAGGAATGTGTTACTAGAAAATTGGTAAAGATGGGATCTGGAGCTAGTAAAGGAAGAGTTGAGTCTTCAATGAGACACACAGATGATGAATTGTTTAACAGTCAGAATTCGACCAACCACAATCCGCAAAAATATACCTCTACGGATCAAAGTGAGATTACAATTTCTATACAAAGTCGATAAAATTTTGAAACCCGGTTTAACTATTTTATTGCACAAATGTTTCACGCTAGGCAAAAGGTTTGTTTAGTTATTTCTGGAAGTTATGATATTAAAAATGATTTGTATCTCAGCGAACCCAAATGCTTCACTGGCTTCATCATTGCCGGGTATCGTGATATCCGCCAAGAAACTTGCTCACATAAAAAGAAAAGAGAAGGATGAACGCAGACAGAAAATACTTTGGCAATATCCTGAATTAGCTGGTAAGTAAGTAAATATCGCCACGCTAATAACCGAATTGCGTAAGTCATTTTTGGCGATTTTGAGTTTTTTATAAAATAGGTATTTATGTAATGCTGCGCACCTGTCTGTTAACTCATATTTTATTTTAAGAATTCCGAAACTCATAAAAATGAAGATTTAGTATGATATGCGCATGTGTGCAATTGTTTCGTCATAATCAATTATCATTGTTACCGCTGGACTATTGTGACGTCACAAAGGCAAAATAACCTCGGGGAAGTATTTTCGAGTTTTTGCATCTCGGATTCTAGCTTAGCACGTATTAATTTGAATTTATACTACAGTATAGGAAGGCGTGCACTTGTGATATTCACTGTCCAAGTCCAATTCACCTTGGTTGGCTTTTATATTGGATGCATTGCTGTTTTATTCTTTATATTTAATCTTATTTCGGTGGGTGTGCAGAACGTGTTATATTGATAAATGTATATTTTTATACATAAAAAATAATGTAATTGAAACTGATTAGCTATTTTGGGGATTAGACATTGTAGATACTGAGAATTACATTCGTTTTTGGAATGTTTAGTTTTCAGGACTGGTGCATATAGTAAAGTTTCAAAATTGCGTATGTCCCCAAGTCACAGACACATTTCTGCCTAAGTCACAGTGCGTCATTATGACGTCACGTAACTGCGTCATACAAATTAACTTAAATCCGGCTACGATCAAAAAATTGAACCATGGCAAATTATTGACTCTCAATGGCATAACAAAATCATTAGGAATTTTTTTATGTTTTTCTCAAAACTGCTAAAAATGACTTACGCCATCCGGTTATTAGCGTGACGATATATAATACTTATTAAACAAAGCTATATATTGCTATTACTTTCATTCATAATAAAACCTTTACCTAAGAAGCAAACAACATTATTTAACCAGTCATGTGCAGGCTATGTATATATAGTAGATGTATGTATATTGTTGAACATTTTGTCCGCAATTAATGGACTTATCGTTTACAAATTTTCACTACTAAAAGAATATTTCACTCAAACTTTTGCTTCTTTATTTTAATTCATGGGAACAATTTTTTAACAAATATCATATGGGAAAACGATATTCCGTCACCCTTGTCGGTAACTATGAGCAACATTTGTGTCGATATAGATATTTGACCTTTTTGTTATCTAGATGCATTGCATTCTGCCCAAGAATGGATTCAGGAAATGTCGAAAGCAAAAGATGATGACTTAATGAGGAAAAAAATGAACATGAATACTCGGCAGAAGTTTGATGATCTTTACGTTCTGTATTTTGACTGCGAAGAAGCGGTTAGTAAAAAATAATATGAGTATATTTATATATAAATGCGACTGTTTATTAACTAAATCATTGTTGCATATATCTACTGAAAATAATAAACCACTACTAAAATGAAGTTAAACTAACGGAGAGTGGAAAACAACTATAGGTTGAATTACATCATAGACAGTAAATGCATTGCATTTTCATTTTAGGCGGAAATCGTCATAATGTATATAGAATGTTCATGCTGCATCTCCATTATACATTTGCATAGATTGTTTGCTCGACTTGTTACAATGTGTTTTAAATAGAACACAGCATTCAGTTAGAAATTGTTGCTTCGTGTTACAATATAAAAGTGCACAGAGTGTGATGTTTGTTCGACTCTTATGGTTTATCTCCATTTCACCATGACGTGTTGTTCGAACATGACGTTTTCTGGCTATTGTATTCTGCACTAAAGTAAGAAGCAGAGGATTGATTGGCAAATAATGTTTATTGATATTGTTTTATTTCAAGGAACATAAGAAGATTCTTGGAGATCAGTTATCCAACGATAACGCAGGTCAAATATGCGCTGATTACCTAAAAACGTTAACCGAAGATGGTAAAAATACTCCAACTGAAGGGTATTGTTTTGTTTTTATTTTCCAAGTTAGAATTGTTAATGTTCAGGTGGTAGGGTTTCTCTTGTCCCCCCAAATCTGGATAGATTTTACGCAGTAGCTGTACGCATGGTTCGTGTTTCTGCATGTCGCCGACGTATTGCCTTGTTCAAGATGATCAGAGCTGCAAAGTCTAAGCTGATAAAAGCCTAGAAAATCCCAAAATAATTTTACCTACGGGTTATGAATACATACATATAAAATATCTTCTCTCGACATTTGATATCGAATTATTTTTACAGTTATGATTCTGAATGCTTGTATACTGTGAGATCTTTTTGTTGGAATTATTCCGATGCAAGTTTGGAATTTGCGACAGCACTTGGAAGAATGGGGTCATTTTCTATTTTCATAGCTGATTTGAAAACGTTTAGAGATAAGCTGAATGATGAAGTAAGTACTATGTCTTACATGAGGACGACGATGCAAACCAACTCTTAATGTTCATCTGTCACCCTCTCGGTCTGCGAATTTATAGAGTTAGATTAACGCGTTATTTGTAGCAAGGTTAGCGTCACAAATATCGTTTTTGGGTTCACGATCCATGCCCAATTTCTCTCCGTGGTTGAATCATTATATATATACTTATATTTTCAGGGTATCCGAGAAAACATCATACTCCCGAGTATTTCTATTTTACATAATTGTGCAAAGGCTTCTGACAACAAGAAATATTTTAAAAGTTTGGATTCGGTCGAAGCCATTTTTCCTTACACTACGATTGACAATCAAGAGGTATCGGGTATATCTTTTCTGATATTATAACAAAGTAATAAATGGACTCATATCTGAAAAATATTCATGGAAGATTGATTTGAAGGTTGCCTCAAATTTTAACTATGTGTTAACAAATAAAAAAAAACGTTACACAAATGAATTTTTTGTTAAAAGTTTTCAATAGGTCACCGTGAACTTTTTTGGGACATAATAAGGTTTGTTCAGATTTAATGCTCATATTTGAAAAGCTTGGTGATAACGTAACAAAAACTTACAGAAAACTTTGCAAATATTTTAGATATAAACGTATATATATCAATATGATATTTTGTGCTTACATTGAGAATTTGTTTACTAATTTAAATTTTAAAATCAGTCCATAGTACAATTCATCTTTTTCGGCATTTTATTTTAAGATAAAAATGATTGCAATGATGACATTATCGTACATTATCGAGGAAAAAGATAATAATAAAATATCTGCTGATGGGACTGTAATAAGTTTAATACTATCGGTGAGAAATTTTGACTATAATTGCATTATTTGTTTACACATTTATTTGGCAAATTGTTCAATATCATTTGAATTCGATTTTTTACAATCGGCGCCCTATCTACATGTAACTACTTGGTATTTTCGTTGCTTTTCGGGGAATAAATTCAACTGCAACATATATTCAGCCAAACGATTCCAATGCAATTCGAATTGATTGCAAAATCATTTGAAGAGCGAAAGATTTATCATAAAACTACCGTTAAACTCGAACAAACGCATATGTATTTTGTTCGTACGCAATAACTACAATATTCTACAAAATGCTGCAAAATGCAAAATTTGAAAGTTTTCAAATAATTGATTCGATTCAAAAGAAATGTACAGTATTTCGATGTTTAGGCTATATTACATTCGGTGTTGTGTAGGACGTTTTATTATCTTGCGTTTGTACATTTTCAGTACCTCAGAAATTCAATAAATAGCATTGATCACAAATATGAAGGATTTACAGCTTACGAAATCGCTTCTGGAATAATGCACCTTGCTTCAAACGATGAAAATAAACTCAAGATAGTAAACCAAGGAGTATTACCGTTGCTAGTTAAATTACTCCATAAAGGTTAGAGTTGCGTCTTATTTTTAAAAAGCAGGAGTCTTGTACTCGATTGTGTAAATAATATGTGAAAAATTGAAACCAAAATTAATTCATTGCAGGCAGTGATTCAGAAAAGGCAATAAGCGCTAAAACTGTCTGGGTTTTAGCGTTCAGAGAAGAAAATAAATCCAAAATACGAGAAGAAGAAAACATGATGAAACTTCTAAAGGAACTTGCTGAACAGAAAGGGTAATTCATTTGTTTTTCTAATATACATATCTAAATATCAACTAAATTTTTTCTCGTTTTTATCCAAGGGAAGCACGTGAGTCTGCTTCTGGAGCATTATGGGTGTTAGGTGATGACGAACGAGTTGAAAAAATCCGTTCTTCATTGAATTCTACGGTAATAACAAGCTCGTCATCAATTTCCTCGTCATTTAAATTTAAAAAGAAGGAAATATTGAAAGGAAAAAGCAAGGTAAATTTGTATAGATAAACTGTAAAAGCCAAACATCACAAAAACAATGTTCTGCGACTAAATCAATAAATATTCTGTTTTTGATCATAAATTTAAAATAGTGTGATTTAAAAATCGATGAATAAATTCAGTTTGAAAACTACTTGAACCGGCAACATCTGTATAATATATGAATTGAAAGTAAATAAATTTGAAATCATTTTACCTCTTGAGTTTAATCAGTCTGCCAATGTGGATACGGTTGAATTCAATAATCTCCATTTTACATATGAATGGTCATGCTCATGGCACATTTTTAGACACGGAGCGGAACTGTGAATTGATTCGTTAAATTGTTAATGCTCTTCTTATTGTTCAAATTGTTGATGTTTTGCAAAAATCGGTTTTTGGTCATTTTTAATAACTATATTTCACCCTAAAGTTTGCTGTTTTATGTTCTTTCTTGTGAACACTTCTAATGTCGTATGGGAACCTATTTTCCGACAAGTTCGATTGTCGGTCTTTTTGGTGAACTCGATGCTCAAAATAGTCTTGCCGATACCTTTGCGCATTCATGGTTATATATTTGAGCTTTTTCGTTCTATATACTATTTGCAGAACAGCTAAATTTAAATTATTATGCATGTGTTCATCCTATTGATTGCATTCTTTTTGCTTCAAATGTTGGTACGATGCGCATTTATTTGTTGTGAATTGAATCATGTTAACCCACTTACTTTTGTGATTAAATTTGGTATTTCTTTGTCAAAAATGTAATGTTCAATTTTAATCTTTTTTATCAAGTTAAAAAGAATAAATGAGAGCGAAAGAAGTCGATACAAAAAGGGTGATATACAGGGATATAAATATAATGAAGGTAGGAATGCTGCAATCTGAAATTACCCTCATTTGCTGACCTATTAAGACTGCAAATTTATACGTAACATCAGTGTTTGATTTTAATCCGTAAATGTTTATATAAAATGGCGACATGTGACCAAATTTAATTCAAATCAATTTTCTTGATATTTTTCAGATTCTCTCTAATCTGAAGATATATACTAATTGACTGCATTGATAAAAAATTATCGCATCTATTCGTGCTACAAAAGTTGTCATTTTTATTTTTTTTTATTTTGCAAAATCAATATGAAGGCTCAGTAATTATTTCTTGAATGAATGGAAATAGATTGAAATTAAAAGATAGAAGAATCACGACATAAATTTTTCTAAACAATATATTGATATAAAACAGAACTCAAAGAGGAAGAAGAGGCCGAAAATAATATATCAGAAATATCTGAAGATGAGCAGGACGACGAAGAAGCTGTTCCCGGCCACCCTCAAGAGAAATCTCAAATTTCAGAAGAGAGCCCAAGACGTCCTGGACACGTCATGATCAGTTATCAATGGAGTTGCCAGAAATTAATGTTACGGGTACATCATACTGATTTTTGTTTGCGCAAATAAGTATGAATACTGAACTTTATAACAAAACACATTTTGTATTGCGAAACAAAGGTAGGTTTGTTGAATCCTGTGACACAACGTGACTGATATTTCCGCAACTCTTTTGTTCTAAAAAGTATTCTGCAACATGTGTAATGACACCACAGTATACGCGTAAAATATCTAAAATTTTGGAATATTCATTGATTAGTAATAATTTTTGGTAGGATAAAACATCCCACATTTTCCCTCGAAAACCACCAATAAAATCCGAAGCTGTTTCAGACCACTTAATCACATCCGACAAAAGATTTGCACTAGATCACGTGTGGAATGAAAATTTTAGACAATGTTTTCAATCACATACAGTTCAGTTTTTGATTATACCTGTTGTGGAATCAATCTATACCTTTCTCAACAAAGTAAATAACTATGATCATTTTTATCAAATTGAATTCTGATACATGTCACTCTATATTGGCTCGTATCTTCCTCTATATTTTCAGGTCAAAGATCGTCTTGAAAGAATGAGTTATAAGGTTTGGATAGACGTTGAATCAATGGGAGGATCGACGTTACAGGTATGTATGGCACTAATAAAACTTCATTACCACTTTTATATTGAAATACATTTTGCTTCCTATTTTCTACCAAATAAGACCTAAATTATAACATTTTATGGAAAGTGTTATATGTGTGTTTATTTGAGATTTCGTTCCAGGCTTTAATTTTAAAAGGTAAAATTAACAACTCTTTACTTTGCTATTCTATCCAATTATTTGATTAATTGTAAATTGGATAGAATAGTCAGTCATGTTGTTTCCAGCTACAGCATCTCTGCAGTATACGGATACGGATCCACTAGCATAAAGGCATAGAGAAAAGATAGGGATTTAGTCTCGCGCGAACAAATTCAAATTTATTTTTCTTTACTTTGCCATGGCAACTTGATAAGACGTTTTCTTCTCGATGAAGCTTGTTTTATGTAGCGGGAAATTTTGGACTTCAGCTACTGCAGTTTATTGTTTTTTAGTTGTTTTGATGAATTGTAAGAATTGAGACTTTACAAAAGCATTGGCCAAATTGATTATGAATTTTGAAATCCTATACATACATATCCTATATTCTACCCTTTGCGATGTGTTTTTGAGCTTAATCAAGAATATATGTTACAATATTGTGATTTGATCTTCAGGCAATGGCGGAAGCGGTTGAAAACTCTGAAGTTGTTTTGGTATGCATGTCTCAGAAATACAAAGAAAGTCCAAACTGCAGAACCGAAGCTGAGTATGCCTACAAGTTAGGAAAAACTCTCGTTCCTGTCAAAGTTGAATCAGGATATGAAGCTGATGGATGGTTAGGTGAACTATCGTTAATGACTTCAATAAAGATAAATCTTAGCCAATCTACATATTCAAAAATGTTTCACAAAAATCCTCAGTACGGGAAATTTTCTCATTGTTTTTCGGCTATTTATCTGGCAGTGCTGAAATGCTTCAAATTAAAGTAAATATGTATAACGACATATGTGTCGCACAACAATTTATATACTGTTCTTAAATTTAGTGCTTAAGTATGACTGACTCTCTTTTCACCAATTCGAGAGTGAAAGGGGTCGGTAATAAAATAATAGTAAAAAAACGTTACTATAACCTGACATATTATATAAGGATTAGGCAGATGTTGAACATTCACAATAAATCCGATTCAAATATCTATCAGTCCGACGATGAGCATTCATTAAACAGTATGCAGAACTTGGTCCAGAACCATATATAATTATATACATACAACCAGGGGTGGGATTCAATTTTGTCAGCCGGTTCCATCACAAAAGTCATATTTTTCACCCGGTTCTGTTACAAAAAGTCAATGACAGTAATTAGTAATGCTAACCGGTTCGCTGATCTCATAAAATTCCGTGAGACGGTTCTATAGAATCGGTTCGGACCGGCAGAATACCACCACTGCATACAAGGCTTACTCAACACTCGACATTAGTCTCAGACGCAGAATCTCGACCAGGCGTGACAGTCGGTCGCGCGGTCATTTTCCCAACTATTGCGTCACAATCACGTTATGGAAAACGACTTAAACAAGTCATAAAATCATAGTTCCACTCTAATCATTTTTGAAATTGATACCTCAGTTCTCTTTTTATCAGTATCTTCATTTTTAGGAGCTCTACAGGGAGCAAAATTCTATCTTGATTTCAGTAATCTGAATGCATTTGAGAGCATGTTTTCAAAATTGTTGAAAGAATTAGGAAATAAAGGAAAAGCTGACGAAGAAACGGTAACGGTTTGTAAAGAGTCATAAACAGTACATTTTGTATCAATTCATTGTGCTTTGTGTTCAGAATATTTGTAAATTTCAGGATGGACCAATAACCCGAGCTAGCGCGAGACTTGTGCATGCTATTCCCCCTAAACTGGCACCACGTATACCAGTAAATCAATGGTCAAAAGAGGATGTCTTTGAATGGGCAACAAAAAATCAGATACATTCGTGAGCACTTTACATTTTATCGCATATTTATTCGTACTTACATCATAAAACCGAGCGAACTACTGCCTCCTAGCATATTATTTTATTCTTATTCCGGTTTCTTTCAAATATCGAGCCAATAAATATAGCTTTAACTTCAAATGTATTACATGTGCTAATTTAACAACTTTGTTTAAGTTTGCAAACGAAAAATTGCCGTGATAAGTATGATGTTCTTTAGAACAAGACCAACCTCAACTGTTCGTTTGCTGCTTCAAACACTATAGGCGAAATGATATTTTATATTTTTACATTATGATTATCTCAAAAACAAAACAATAACAGTTTTCACGTATGGCCGGTAAATTTTTCATTTTATTTGTTGCGTCTTAGTATTTGTTTATTCATTGAAACAATTTATATATAACTAAAAATTTAGTAGATTAATGCATCATTATTTTAGGCGAAAAATTCAGAATTTGGATGGAGAATCTCTCATGTTTTTGGGTTCACTTAAATCATCGGCACCAGAGTTTTTCTACAAATATATTTCAGAGAGATTTGGACTGATTGAACTGCGTGATCTAATGTCAATTAGTCGAGGACTAGAAGACTTAGAAGCCTGAAAAAACGAGTGCATTCAGCATACTTCAGCTATATGACTAACAAGTTTATAGCTCTGCCTACAAAAGATGTATAAAACTGCTTTTGGCATATTTTACATACACATAATATATTTTTGTTACATTTTTATACGGTTCAGCAGAGTTTATTTATCTATATTTATCTATATAAATATCTAATCCTAAAGTTTAAATTATTATAATATCCATTTTAGAAGTCGGTTTTTTGTTGTTGGTGATAACTTTCCGGTTACTGTGCAGAACATAGTTGTTATTTTTTTTATAAAAAAGAGTCAAAGTATATTGAGTTCGTGAGTTTCGATTAAAGGAATCTATACTGATATGATGATATTTTTAGGAACTACGTTTAGGAACAACCGTACGCGCTTCTTTTACGTTCGTAACACTGTTTCCGCTTCTCGAAATCTGAGTTAAAATATACTGGAGATGTTCAAATTGATTCTTCCTGTATTAGTTTGAGATGGCGTAGCTTCAAATTATTTTACTAATTTGAAACAAATTAGGAACTTATGTTATAAATAAGCGTAGTAGAAAAACGAAGAATGTGTAGTAAGTTCAGGCTTTTACTGTAACGCATAAAAGTTGAGCACACCAATCGTTTATATACTTTAATATAAATATAATGAACCCATTCTTAATTCATTTTGATATGACATTTCTGCTCAGCTTCTTGAAATAAACTGATATATATATATATATTAACATTTAAAATGTGGAGCAAACTCTTCAGTCTTCTATTAATATTGGTTGTGTTCCAATGTGTTTCTGTTGATGGTAAGTAATATTTATATTAGCAACGTAATTCAAATTCACAACCCCAAAAAAAAAATTAATTTTATATATAGTCAAAAAGTATAACAGATTTGTTAATTGATATCAGTCAATGTTACTGTAGAAAATATACTAACATCATGAGATAATTTCACATATGATAAGAGTTAATTTTTTGTATTCCAAATACGGAATCGAGAACTGAAAAAATTGCAGAAAATCATAAACACAATATTCTAACAAATGTATGACAAATTACATTTGTTCAGCTTCCTGGCAAACATTTATAACTGAACTGAATGTACACCAAGTACTAAATTAATTTTAACATGAATGATATATATATATATATATACGTGTTGTCTAATACCAGAGCAAAGATTTTAGAATATAGTTCTATTTAAAATGAAAGATGAACTGATATGTTTTCATCTGTGGGGCCAATAGAGAAAGAAATGAGAATGACTATCCACTATTTCTTAATTTTAAATTAAAATGCACTTCTAACAATAACTGGCGTATAAATAGCTCCATCACTGTCCTCAATACTCTGTCAAAGTGATTACAAGTAAGTACAAGTAAATCATAAATATTTTTTTTGCAGGAGTGGACATCACATGCACCGACACCTTTTCAGATGTGGCGCTTTCACTTTCAGATCCAACATACTTGACTCTTGAAACTGGTTGCAATTATAGCCCAGGCTCTGAGCTTGTGTGGGGTACGAATCCATTCTCAGAAGACTCGGCGATTGCCTTCGCTGCAGCATATTTTGGAGTGATAGATTGTAAGTATACTTGTTATTAAACAAACAGTTAAAATAAATATGCAATCTGACAAGCATAGAGACAACTGGGCATATATTTCCCATTTTACTCTGATTTATTACTTCAATCGTCCGATTTTGTGGCACGTATTAGCATAAGTATTGTGCTAGATAAAATGCTATTGATTCTGTCCACCACTCACCTGTATAAAGTAAAGTTGTTTTGGTGATAATTTGCAAATTTTTGTTGATCGATAATCTATCAGTTTTCTTAGTATTTTTTACATAAAAGTATGTCATTTCAGCGTGCTTGCTGAATAGGTCTGTTTAGAAGTTTGGATGAGCCTTCAATGTGAAATTATATTTATTTTATTCGATATATTTTTGCTTTATTACTATAATCGCGCAGGTATTACGTTCGTTCAATTACCTATTTCACCTAATAATGACTAAAGGGCATTTTCTATATTAATCAATAATTTTGATCATGGCCAATTATATTCTAAATATATACATAGTTCTATTTTCGTTCAAGATAATTTTATTTCATATTTAGTACCGACAGGAGGAACTTTCAGTGTTACAGCTCAAACAATAACTGATGTTGTCTATGCTGCTGGTGTAGCAAATGGAATTACAGCGTATAGTAAAACCGTCAGTTCCGGCACTACTCAATTCCAAATAGGTAACTTGAGCGGAACTCTTTTCTAGATGTCGACAACTATCGCTCGCGGTCCGATGACTAATTTCTGCAAAACTTCACACACAAAAGAGCCCCCATTGCCCGATTTTTACCATCCCACGATGATATAATGCAGCAATACCGTCAGTAATGCCATAAAAAATCAATAAGGACATAAATAGAAGCTACTATTTGTTACTTAGGGAACTTGAATCAAGTTTTAATATTAATTGACAAAATTTGTGACAAACAAAAACTTAGTTTGTACACAAAAATAATAAAAATGTCATAAAAAATGATTTGGGAAATATAATTGTTTAACTTCAAGCCCTCAGGAAACGCTTACTCTACTAAAATTACTTCATAACTGACACTGGAAATATCTTTTTCTTTTAATTGTTGATTTTTTTCATAAAATCATTGATTCAGTTGATGGTTGTTCTGAAGTCAAATATTGGGGATGGCAGTTTGACCCATCAGATGGTTGTTCTGGAGAATATTACGAATGCAGAGGAAGTGAGTTGTTTTTATTGTTAATTGTGATGGAAAAATATTTTTCTCATATACTTTTTTTTCTAATAAAAACGATTTATTCATATAATAGCACCGCTACGATAGTAGTAACATAGTGAGTATCCGTGACTTATTTGGATGCTGTTGCCAGGATTAAGTGAAACAAGAGAGCAATGCTCAAATATATGGACACGATGTCCAAAACGAAATGGTATAACGAACTCCATTAGTATGGCCATCAGATCACTAAGATGTGATCACGGAACCACGGCACAGTGCGCATTTTTTAATTTTGATGATGTCATCACACAAAACTTTAAACTGGAAACGGATCCCTATGGAGCCCAGAAATAATTTCTAAATAAATAGAAGTAATATCGTTCTAACGACAACTATAAGCTTTTACGACTGAACTTTCAAAGCAATTATTTCTGTAGTTAAAAAAACAGAGATTTATTCACAACAAAAACATAACAATTCACTCCGTGTCCAAAATAGCAATTTGTTTACAACATCGTTCGCGGCTAGGTTGCCATCACTCAACTCAGATATGAATAGCTTATATATAGTAAGTTATTTATTAAAGCATTTGAGCCTCGACTGGGCTTGGAACAAAAAGTCTACTGACAATAGCGAGCATTTTAAGGCCACAGTACCAATGATTTGGAAATGATAGAGTAGAGTAGAAATTTTGAAAAGCAGAAATATGAAAACATTTTTTTATCGTAGGTGTGACAAAAAAATTTTCATGCGATGAAAGTTTTGTGTTTGACCCGGTTGTCAATGAATGTGTGTACTACCTATTGTACGGAACCGATATTAAAGCCGACAGTAGTGGAAGCAGCAATTGCAATCCTGGTGAGTTGAATAGCAACAGCCTTATTTATACATTATACTGCAAAGTTTCCCAAACCTTTTTCGGCCGCTGACCCTCCTTTGTGAATCTTGGTTTTGACGGATCCCCATCCTATGCCGCATCAATTTATGTGCTTAAGCAACGATAAAGAAGAATGTTTTACAACGCAACAACACCAACGACATTATTGTAATAGTTGAGGTTGCTTTTCACAACTTATCAATACTCAGAGAAATTTGTGACAAGTCAACTTTTAGGTCCGATTCAATGGCATATCTCCTCTACCTGTATACTGTCATCATATCGGTAAGAGCTGAAAATACTGCCCCACACATGTAGGTCGTAGCTAAAGACAATGAAATTTTAATCGCCCTTTTTGACAACAATGGGTATTCGTCTGTAACGCGTATCGAAAATAGCTTTTGAATAAAATCAAGCAATAAAGATCGATCAGATGTCAATTCGGCTAGTTTTTCTTCTTTGCGTCCTGAACGAACAATTTTTTCAGCAAATGGTTTTAGAATCCAATCAAGATAATATGTACTATATATATATATATATATATATATACTTCATAAAATGTTCAGAAAGCAATTCTAAATGTTGTTGAATGTCAGAGAAATCAGTTTCGTATTAATGAAGAGTTTTGCAGCAATGTTATCACACAGAAACATACAAAAATCATCATCAATCATCCTAGTTTTCCATATGTTCAGTTTCTGTATGAAGGCCTTTATTTTGTCTTGACTGCGTAAAAATAGTGGCATCTCTTCCCTGAAGTGACAAGTTTATTCGGTCGAGGAGGGTGATTATGTCTGCGAGGTAAGCGAGTTTCACAATCCAAATTTCATTAGGTACAAATAAAGCTAAGTCTGCATTATCATCTCGGAGAAAAATGAAGACCTCACTTCGCAGTTCAAACACGCGTTCAACAATTTTTTCGCGTGAAAACCATCGAACTTCTGTAAGAAGCAAAAGACTTGAACGGACGCCCTTTGATAGAGTTCACAATAATGACGCATAAAGATAAGAGTGCAGACAAAGATTGCCCCAGATGTTTTGAAACAAGCAATTCGCAATGAATCATGCAGTGAGTTTGTATGATGTTCGATGATTTTTCTCTAACACGTGTTACAACAAGTGTTTTTCCTTCATTGAAGCTACACCGTCGGTACATATACCCAGTACCCACACATCGCTCCCACTGCAATTCATATTGAGAAAAGAAATAGCATTGAAAATACATTGAAAACATCCAAATCGGTGGTTCTATAATGTATTTGATAGCAAAACCAGAAATCTTCTCTCATTTTTTCACCCCAACAATATAAGTGATTGTAGATAAGTTATTGTGCATGGCTGGCAATCTGTACTTTCTTCCAATTAGATTGCAATTTTAGTTTGTTACAATCTGACAAGTAATTGCGCTTTTATGTCATTTGAAACTTCGTCTATTCTTATTGAAATCGTGTTGTTAGAAAATGGGATTTCGTTTAATTCGCTGCACATTCACATTCAAAA